CACTAGGCAAAGCTCTGCCTCGGAGCTACATCCCCAGCGAAGAAAAGAGTTTTATCTCTAAATTAAATGCACAAACACACTACAGAACTTAATCTCTGTCTAGGAGCCAGAGGGCATCCCTCCCTGCAGGTCTGACCACACCCTGCCACGCTACCGAGTTCACACACCAAAGCTCAAGCCACTAAAAGCCACTTGAATGCAAACTGCACAGGAGGAAAATCATGTTAAGCACAAGACCAAAGCTTAGCCTGGCTATGTAAGAAAGCCATGCCCAACACACAACTCAGCTACCTCTCACCCGCTAACCAGCAAAGACAAACAGAGCAACCCAGCACTGTCTAAGCTATGCTAAGCAGGCACAACTATGCATATACACACATACATACGCATATGCACACACGAAGCTATATACAGAAATGTGTATGTGCACGTGTCCATGTTATGTGTCTGTCTATATACACGTGTACACACACATACACATATGATCTTTCTTTTGAGACAGGATCTCTCTATGTATCTGGGTTTGGCCTCAAACTTGAGATCCTCCTGCCTCTGTCTCCAGAGTGCTGGGATTATAGGCATGTACCACCATGCCTGGTTTATATAAAATCTTTCAAAAACACTTAAGCCACAGATGGCAGAATTCCAAAAAAGACAATTTTAGGTTTATCACGTTTGACCTTTTTTTAGATGAAGAAAAAACCTGGGACTCCAGCAGAGCTGAGACAACAGCATAATCGCACCTACTCATTTATAAGCACGCAATGTTACTCACAAAAGGCTTTTATGACGGTTACTTTCTTTGACTCTCACTAAAGCCATTTTCCTCATCTGTTCCAAAGGTTCAAAGGCTTGGCAGATTTGCTTAAATCACCTCCCATCACCCCAAATTCCAAGTGTCATGTCTTCCCACCATGTGACACTACCACCCAGGACCTTTGGGCAAGCCCAAGCAGTGGGTTCCACAGCCTAACAAGGTAAGCATTCAAAGATTAGTTGAGGCTGGAGGCGTGGCTTAAGGAGTACAACGCATGCATCACAAGCATGAAGCCAAGTTCAAACTTCAGTACTGCCAGAATAAATAAATGTGTGTGTGTTTGTGTGTTAAACGGGGGCTGGGGTGCAGCTCAGTGAGCACTTACTTCGTAGCACGCCAGAGGTTATGGGTTCCATCCCGAGCACCACAAAACAATTAGTTGAAGGGGTAAACGCAGAACAACTAGGAGAAAGCTAAGCCAATTGCAGTTGACCAACAGGAGAGCAGGAGACTCTCAAAAAGGGAGATATTGACAAGTGGAAATCTACATGATGAAACTAGAGAACCTCCAGGAGCCCCAAACCTCAGGAGAGTCTCCAGTGGTTGTCTCCATCAGAGCCACCTGAGCTCCCCACTGCAGACTCCTCCCAACTCTCCTCAACCACTGTCACAGGACGCCCTGCTGCCCACACAGCCAAGCCCAGATTTTTCCCCTGGCCTTCAAGGCCCAGCTACCTAGCCTCCCGATTCACTCACTTATCCTGGCTTTTGCTGGACCATCCCCTTTATCCCACAGAGCCCCACTTTCTTTGGTGGCACTGGGGTTTGAACTCAGGGCCTCACACTTGCTAAGCAGGCACTTTTACCACTTGATCCACTCCACCAGTCCCCCACTTTCTTTATGTGATGCCTGGACTTGGCTGTCTTGGCTCGCAGTCAATGCTGGTTCCTTCCCCATCCCACAAAACAGAAGTAGTGGCTAGTTTTTTTTTTTGTTGTTCTTTTTTTTTTGGTGGTGGTACTGGGGTTTGAACTTGGGGCTCCATGCTTGCTATGCATGTGCCCTACCATTTGAGCCACTCCACCAGAACTGTTTTGTGGTGGGTGTTTTCTACTTAGGGTCTCTTGAACTACTGCCCAGCACCTGGCTGTTGTTCTTTTCTTAATGAAAGTGAATTCATAGGATATTCATCTTCACCTATGTAACTACCAAGTACACGGGCAACTGGCAGGATTGACACGGCACCCTTATCTGAGAGCTTCTGCAACCTGCAGTTTCTGGCAGAGAACTGACTCACATGGTCACTCCCACCCGGCCTGCCTCAACCCAGACCCTTCCCAGAGGTTAGGCTTAAACACACACTCTCTCTCTCTCTTTCTCTTTCTGAGGTACAGGGGACTGAACTCACACTTGCTAAGTAAGAGCTCTACCACTTGAGCCACACCCTCTTGTCCTCTCAGGGAAGAAGAGATCAAACCCAGGGTGTCACACATGCCAAAAAAAAAAAAAAAAAAAAATTTAGAAAGGAGCCGGAACTTGGAAAGGGAATGTGTCCCTTTCTAAAATTGGTGGAGACATCCAGGTGTGCTGGTGGACACGTGTAATTCCAGCACCGAGGAGACTGAGGCAGGAGAATCACTTGAGCCCAGGAATTCCAGACTTAGCCATAATAAGACCTCATCTCACAAACAAAGCAAAAAAATTAGCAAAGTGACAATAAAATAACTTACCACCAGGCATGGCTCCTGTGTGTAGTTCCAGCTAATCGGGAGGCAGAAGCAGGAGGTCGCTGAAGCTCAGGAGCTAAAGACCAAACTGGGCAACAACACAGCGAGATCCTGCAGCACTCTCAAAGCAAAGCGAAAAACTTACCCCTAAAAAACTTTTCTCATGAACGTTCTCAACAAGTATGGCCAAAGCCCCTTCTCGCTGGCGTACAATCAATAAAGCACACCTGGAACAGCCCCCTGGGTCAGGGCCCAGATTCACCCCATCACAACACCCCGCTAGGCAATGGCACCAGCATTGTAACCAGTCAGCTTCCAGTGACAGGCTGTTTGGTTTGCAATTTTCCATAATGAAGAGGACTGTGGGGACCAATCTCACATGAGCTTTAGCTTTCTTGTGTAGCTAGTTCTCCAAATACAGTCCTAGCAGTGGAATTACTGGTGCAAAGGATGCATGCATGCATCTTACATTCTGATTCTTTTTTTTTTTGTGGTACTGGGGTTTGAACTCAGGACCTCACGTTTGCTAGGCCGGTGCTCTACCACTCGAGCCATTCCATCAGCCCTTAAATTCTGATTCATGTTGAGAAACTTGACACTATAATTTAACACAGGATCAGGCTCCCTTACTTCCCACGCTGTGCCCCTTCAGGAGGGCTGGGGAGGGGCCCCAGACCTGCTGTCATGCAGCTCACAGATGGCTCTGCTGTATGTGTATGCAGGGGACCAAGCGACTCACTCCATTTCCCTAACTGAGCACAGACTCTGAAAGCACTGACCTAAGGGACTGCCAATGGCAGAATTTGTAAGGAAGCTCTGTGGGCTTGTGCCGGTTCCCCCAAAAAGGAAAGGTATGGCACAAGCTTACCTCAGAGTTCCAGTTCAGCAACCAGGGACCAGGTCCTATCTCCAGGCTCACCTGTCTGTATCCCTATTGTCCCTCCAGGTTTCCCTCCTCTGAAAAGACTACCTCTTGCCTGCTCTAGTGGCCAGGGCCCAGCAACTTTATGTTTCTTACCTTAAACTACCAAGCCTCCCTTTTTCTTTCAGAGGGCTGTGGATAGAGCACCACTTGGCCAAGAAATGGTTTGTGGCTACCACTCTGGGTCTCAGGTTCCCCATCTCTGTAATAGAAAGCACTGGGCAATGTTAACTGACATTTTACATGCAAAGACATCTTGGTTCTAAGTATCTGCAAGGAAGTCTAGCAGCTACAAAGTCCCGGTGCACCTTAAGTAAGAGTCACTTCACTCAGTATTAGGCCTTTTGCAGGTGGGGGGGAGTGGATACTGTTCCCAGAGTTCTTTGCTACTAAAGTGCAATTAGAACTAAAAGCAGCGTGATGCCTGTAGTCTCAGCTATCAGCTACTTGGAAGGTTGAAACTGGAGGATAACAGCCCACGAGTCTGAGATCAGCCTGGACAACTTATCAAGACCCCAAGAAAACAGCAAAAATAATAAAAGAAATAAAAGAAAGAATTAAAGAAGCAAAAAGACCAAAAGCTTTTGTTTTCAAGGCTGTTGATTTCAAAGCTCAAGGGCCCTAGATATGTGTGATGAGAAAAGAGGCCAGGAAAAGGCCTCCCCAGGCTTGGGTGAGTGTCGGCCCCTTCGTATTTCAGTGTGGTGGAGAGAGTTAGCCAGTATGTAGAGGCCAAGGAAAACCTCCAGGGGAAAATAAACCGGTCAAGACCGCTGGGAGCACCTAGACTGATCGGACTCTGCTCGGTCCAGGAGCAGCAAGCTCGGGCTCCCTGTCAGACCCACCTGGGCCAAACGACAATGGCAGACTGTGACAAAAGCAAACGCAGACCCTCTCTGCGGCTCCCAGATAAGCAAGCACTACCCGTCACCGAGGACTGGGTGGGATGGTAAAGTGCGGTGGGTATCACCACCGCTTCTTGAGCCCTGCCCCCTCGTGCGTGCTAGGCCTTAGCTACCTGCTTGGGGTTTTGTCCCACGAGGCCTTCTCCCCCACCTCACGAGCTGAGGCCTGAACAGGCGTTGCATTCTGGGCCAGGTCTCTTACCAGCTGGGGGTAAGTCTCCGGACTAAGTGGACCTCAGTTTCCCCCTCCGTGCAATGGGAACCATCCCCGCTCCGACTGCAGACCCGAAGGAGGGAATGAACTTCCAGAGGTCGGGGCTGGCACAGTTTGTCCCTCCGGTAGCGCCCCACCCCCGGCGAGGAGCACACAGTAGGCGCTCCGGAAACGCTCGCCAAGGAGGAGCGGGCTACTTCCTGCCCCCAAACGGACTCCCGGGGTCCGGCTCCCACCGCTCCCTCCCCAGACCATGTGGCATTCCTGAGGGGGGGTGGGCGCAGGAAGAAGGTGCCCGCGCCCGCCCCCTCCGGCGCGGTGGGCGGGGCGAAGCCCCCCGGCGCCTCGGGCCCGCCCCGCGGGGGTGGGCGTAGCTGGCCGCGCTCCGCACAAAGTTTGTTTCGGCCTCCGGGCGGTGGGGGAGGGCGCGGCGAGCGCGAGGGGAGGAGAGGGGATCTGACGTCAGGCCGCGAGGTGCTTTCCAGCCGCGAGCTGTCAGGCGGGTGTCAGGCCCGGCAGGTACGCGGCGCGCTCCCCCGGCGCACCCCGCCTCGGCCGGGACGCCCCCGCACTCCGCCCGAGGCCGCGTGGGCCGGAGAGTCGCCGGGAGAGGTCAGTGCGGGGCGCCGGAGGGGCGGAGAGGGGGGTGGGGGCGCGCGGACAACTTGGAAAGTTTCTTTTCGCGGCCGGGCGGGGGAGGGGGCGTCGTCCTGGCGCGTGCGATGGTGGGTGTGTGAGCCCGGGTGTGTTTGTGAGTCCCGACTGCGCCGCACTGGCGGGGGCCGGCGGGGGCCTCGCTCGGGGCCTCTCGGGGGGGCCCACTTTCCTAGGATCCCACCCTGGGAGACGGGCCGCCGGTGCCCCGGAGCGGGTGAGCGCGCGGGGGGCGGGTTTGTTTGGTTTCAAAAGTGCACGTTGCTAACCGCCGGCAGGGCCCCCCCGCCCGCGGCCGAGCCGGGGAGGGGGCCGCAGAGAGTGACAGCTGGGGGTGGCGGCCGCGAGAAGGGCCGCGAGCGGGGAGGGCTGGGGAGCCCGCGCGAGTTCCCCTTTCCTTTGGAACAAAGGAAAGTCTGTCTCTGAGGCATCTGTCACTCCTGGGCGGGCCAAGGCAGCGGGGCGCGTGGGGCCGGCGACGCGGAGAAAGTTTGTGCGCGCCGGGACCCTGGGGCAGGCCGAGGGGGAGCCGAGCCTCCCGCGGGGGAGGCGCGCGTTCCGGGGGCAGGGGGCGGCCAATATGGAGTCCGGGCGCCGGACCGGAGGGGGGGGCGGTGCGGAGGTGGGAGCCCAGCCCCCTCCTCTCCCCTCCCCCTCCGGGCCGAGTTCGGAGCACAAAGCCGAGCGCGCACGCTCCGCGGGCCCCGCGCCCCGAGAGTCAGCGAGCGCCGGAGAAGGGGGTGGGAAGCAAACTTTTTCCTGCCCCGAGACGGACACGTGAGTTTTCTTTCTTCCGGAACCCTCGCCCCCCGCCCCGGGATGGCGGGCCCGCGGGAGAGCTGTTGCGCCCCTTCTGACCCTGGTGGGGGGTCGGGGGGTTGCGAGCGCTCCGAGCGCTGGCCGACTCCTCGCCGCCCCGGGAGCCATGTGCTCCGCTCCGCCTGGGCCGCGGAGGAGGAGGAGGTTGCGCGCTTTGTGTGAGCTACTGGGAACCGGAGCCCGAGTGGCGGCTCGGGGGAGTGTCGCCCCAACTGGGGAAGTTGTCAGAAAGTTCCTGCGGGAGTGGCTGCAGGTGGCCTGGTGGGAGTGTGTAGGAGAGTGCTTGTGTCCAAGGGGTGCCGTCGCGGGCCAGCCGGGGTGGGAACTGATCGTCCAGTTTTTTTTCCTGTCGAAGAGACGGTGGGCGGGTGCAGGAGTTGGGGCCAGTTGCGGGGGTCACGTTCGTTCGTGCCAAGCTGTGTGTGGTGCTCTTAAGTGTCGGTGAAAATCATGGGTGTGCAGGACGTGACCAGAGGGTCCTGCCGGTTATCCGAGAGCTGTTAAACTTGCGTGGCGTGGGGGGTGTGTCTTGGTGAGTAGGGGTGCCTATGTGAGGAAGTCGTTCACTGCAGGCGGGTCTGGAGTGGGCCGAGGTGGAAAGGTTTGTGCAGACTGAGGGGTCATCCCCAGAGCCCACGCCTGGAACCCTGCAGACTGGGTTCTGGCTGGCAGCCAGGGTGGAATTTGTACAGATAACCTTGAGTAAACTTCTCGCAGCCTGCCAGGGCTGCATCCCCGAGGCTGGATCCCAGCTGCCCTGGCGGCTGGAAATGCCTGACCGCAGCAAGCAACCTGCTTTTGGTGCGCTCTGACCAGTGACACCTCTAAACTGTGCTTGTCTCACTTCCAGGTGACCTGGCTGAGGGTAGACCCTTCCCTCGAAAGCCTGGCCTAGGCCGCCCAGAGATCTGGGCTCAGGCCCAACTAGAGGAAACAAAACCTGGGAGATGCCAGTCTGTGTTGGCCGGGCCTGCCAGGGAGCTTTTAAAAGGCTGAGAAGGGAGGAGCCTTGAGATTCAGTCATTGCCTTGGCCTAGAACTTTTTGTTTTTAAAATGTAAATTTTTTTTCTACTTGTGTGATCAGAACTTTGGAGGATAAGCAGCTGAGTTACATTATCTAGGGAAAAACCTTCTTTCAAGTGGAGGAGGAGGCTTCAAATCCACACAGGGGAAGACAGCACTTGCCGGGCTGAGGCAGGAGGATGGAGAGTTCCTGGCTGGCCTGGGGTCCATGGCAAGACCCTGTCTTTAAAAAAAAAAAAAAAGTTTTATTGCAAAATGACTCACATTACCATACAACTTACCCATTCAAAGTATACACATCAGGGGGAGTGGGGAAAGAAAAAATGTACATACACGAGTGGGTTTTAGTATATTTACAACCGTGTGCACCCATCACATCAGTCACTACAGTCCTTTTAGGACATTTTTATGACCTAAAAAAAAACCACCATACATTTAGCTGTCATCTCTCTGTTCTCCCCAGCCCTAATTAACTGCTAATCTTCCATCTCTGTAAAGTCATCCATTCTGGATATTCCATTATAATGTAGTCTTTTGTGGCTGGCTTCTTATACTTACCATGATGTTTTCAAGGCCCATCGTGTTGTAGCAAACATGAGGATTTTATTCCTTTTTATGGCCAAATAATACTCCATTGAATAGCTCACATTTTGTTTTAATACATCTGTTGATGGACACTTGCTTCTTTCTACTTTTTGGCTATTTGAGTAATACTGTTAGAAGCATTTTCAGATGAAGATTTTTTTTGGGGGGTGGGGATTGGGGTTTGAACTCAGGGCCTCACGCTTGCTAGGCAGGCACTCTACCACTTGAGCCACTCTGCCAGGCCCTGTATGAGGTTTTGTGTGGACCCAGGTTTACATTTCTCTTGGGTAGAAAGCTAGGAGTGAAATTGCCTGGCTATGTGATAACTCTGTGCTTACCATTGTGGTACCTTCGGTAGCATTCTTTTTTGAAACAAGGACTCATTATATAGCTCCAGCTGGACTGGAACTTTTGGTCCTCCTGCCGCAGCTTCCTCAGTGCTGGGATCACAGCATGTACCACCATGCTAAGTCTGCCAGCTTTCTTAGTTCTATTTCTTCCTCTATAAAATGATAAGAATAGTTTCTCCCTCCCAGGGATTTTTGCAACAATTCGTTGAGGTCATAGCACTCAATACAGAGCATGGAAAATAGTAGGCTTCAAATCAGTCATTGTGGTACACCCCTGTAATGCCAGCATCAGAAGGCCATGGCAGGAGTATCTTGAGTTCCCGAATAGCGTGGACCACGTAGCAAGATCTTGTCTCAAATAATCAAAAAAAAAAAAAGGAAGACAGTAAACTTTGGTTGATGGTAGCTATAATTATTTCTAGTCCTGTTCCTACTTAAGAATTCATTTCCTTGAAATGGTGGCCTTTTGCTCAGGTAGTATTGTAGCCTGGGGCTTAGAATTGCAGCTCCTCCATTTCCGGTGTCCCAGGAGCGTTTGGAGACTAGGAACAGGGTGCCTGGCACTGCATGGTAATGCTGTTCTTGTCCCCTTTGTCACTTGTCCCAGGCTCACCTGTGCTCCAGCCTAGCCCCTAGACACGATGTCTGACAGCGATCTGGGCGAGGAAGAGGGCCTCCTGTCCCTGGCAGGCAAGAGGAAGCGCAGGGGGAACCTGCCCAAGGAGTCGGTGAAGATCCTCCGCGACTGGCTCTACCTGCACCGCTACAATGCCTACCCCTCAGAGCAGGAAAAGCTGAGCCTCTCTGGACAGACCAACCTCTCGGTGCTGCAGGTAGGAGGGTCTGGGCCTGGTTCTGTCAGGTGAGAACACACAACTGTCCCTGCTCCCTGCCTCAAGGGAAGACAGCGAGTGCAGTGAGGCATTGCAGACATTGCAGACGGGTTGCAGGCTTTGCAGCTTCTGAAGGGCAAGGGATTGTTAGTGGGTATTACTATGGACTTTGGATGGTGTGGTAAGGTGAGAAGGCATTGAGTAGCCGGGCCTCTAGTCCTGTTTGGACAAGGACTTGGTTGCAAGGGCAGCCAGGATTCTGCAGTGTGGTTAAGAAATGAGTTGGGGGCTGAGAAAGTGGCTCACATGGTAGAGCCTAGCAAGAGCAAGTCCCTAAGTTCAAACTCTAGGACTGCCAAAAAAGTAGAAAGAAAAATTAGTTGGGGTGGGGCACAGTAGCTCACACGTATAATCCAAGCTAGTTGGGATATCAGGAGGATTGCAGTTTGAGGCCAGCCCTGGCAAAGTTAATGAGACCCCATCTTAACCAATAAAGCTGGGCATGATAGAGTATGCATCTGTTTTCCCAGCTATTGGGGTAGGGTATGTAGGATAATCACAGTCCAGGCCAGCCTGGGCAAAAAAAATGTGAGAAACTACCTGAAAAATAATTAAAGCAAAAAAGGAGGGTCAGTGGAATGGTTCAAGTGATAGAGCACTTGCCTAGCAAGTCTGAGGCTGTGAATTCAAATCCCATTACTACTTAATCAGTCAAGGAAAGCGCAGAAGTTAGAGACTCTGAGTTCAAATCCCAGTTCTGTCATGTAAGACTGTGAGCTGTCTTTATAGCTTTACACAGCTACAAAGTGAGGGTTAGGTTTCTCTCCTGCTTGGTGGAACTGTTACAGGAATAGATTCAGAACTGAATGGAAAAGTGCTTCGTAAACCATGCATGAGCACCATCAAAAGATGAGGTCAAGCCAGGCACCAGTGGCTCACTCCTGTGAGATCAGAAGGATTGCAGTTCGAGGCCACCCTGGGCAAATAGTTCACAAGAAAGACCCCCATCTCTAGAATAACCAGAACAAAACGGACTGGAGATATGGCTCAAGTGGTAGAGTTCCTGTTTTGTTAGTGTGAAGCCCTGAGTTTAAACCCCAATCCCACCAAAAAAGATGAGGTCAGACTCTACAGCAGCCTCTCCTTTGATTCTGCCTGCTTCCAATCTACAGGGGCCTTTGCTCTATACAGAGCAGGTTACCCTGCATCGCCATTGCCTTGTGTTCCATTTGGCTGTCATCTCCCTGGGGATGCATGATAGGCTCTACTGTAGCACTGGACACTCACTTCTACCCATCTGGCCTCCATTACTCCCCCTTTGTGAGCCATCCAGGCCGCTTCCCCCAAGCCTGCTGCCTCCCTTTTGCTTCTGCCCTTATATAGCCCAACCTATGAGCTGTCTCCCTCCTTTACTTTCCTCTGAACCTTCTTCCCAGGCTTCTCAGCTCCTGGCCCTCCTCCATGAGGGGTCACTAAGTATTTGGCCTGTGACTCCAGTCCGCTGGCTTTATACTCAACTGGGTGGTGGTTAACCCAAGTCTGTCTCAAGAAGGGGTCTATAGTTAGAGTTGCTGCCTCTCTGAGCCTCACTGTTTCCTTATCTGAAAACAGGGAGATGCATGTGGCACTCTCAGAGGGGGTGGGGAGGAGGGAGTGAGCACCTCACAGAGCTCACTGTGAGGTGCTTGGCACCAGTGGTGCTTCTGCTCTTCTCATTCTCCCCCTGCGACAAGAAGGCTTAGGGTACCTGGCAGAATAATAAGAAGTATTTCAGTGTGCCTCCGGAGCGAGCACCCACACAATAAGCTAGTCTGGACAGGAGTAGTGGGCAGAATTAGCCACTGGTGTTCACAAAAGTGATCACTGCTGGGACAGTGCAGCAGAGGTGCAGGGCAGGGCAGGGTCTGGGGCCTCAAACAGGCCTCCCAGGAGGGATAGCCTTGAACTTATAAAGCCTGAGAGCCAGCCTCTTTGCTGGTCTACCTGCCTCCAGCCTTTCTCCTTCAATACTTTTTTTTTAATACAAAAGCAAAATTCTGATCATGTCAGACACCCCTGTGAACCCCACTGTCCTCATTGTAGAGTCCACACTCCTTAGGAGCACCCCAGCCTCGTTCTTCCTTTCCTTTCCTTTGAACCCTCAGGTCCCTCTTCTTTCAGATCTTCCTTACCTTTCTCACTGCATGTAAACACCTCTGTTGTAGGCACTCTGATCCGCAGCCTGGGTTTTGAGTCACTGCTGTCTGTATTCCCAGGTCACCTCATACCTGTCCTGTCAAACCACTTATCACACTGTGCACACTGTATTGAAAATACTTTTAGTCAAGGACACTATTCCTAAATCTGAGAAATATACCCCTGGGCAGGCGCTCCACCACTTGAGCCACACCCCCAGCCCTCCAACTCCTTTTTAAAAAGATCTTTTTCTTAGGCAGGGCATAATAATGCATACCTGTTATCCCATCACTGGGGAGGCTGCTGAGGCAGGAGGATCTTGAGTTTGAAGCCAGCCTGGGATACCTAGTGAGACCCCGTCTCAAAAAAAAACTCTCACAGACCTACGTTCCCGAAGATGTTAACGTGATCCATTTCTATTGTATTACTTAAGTTTGTACAAACATAAAACTGGGTTAAAAAAAAAACTTTATTTTTGGTTTTGCTTATACACGATTATAAAACCAATTTTCAAAGAAGATAAAATTACACCTAACTGTAGGGCACCAGTAGCTCATGTCTGTAATCCTAGCTACTTGAGAGGCTGAGATGGGGGAGGAATGGGATTTGAGGACAGTCTGAGCAAATAGTTCACGAAACCCCCATCTCCAAAAACAAAAATAGACTGGAGGTTTGTTTCAAACAGTAGAACATCTGCTCTGCAAGCTAGAAGTCCTGAGTTCAAACCCCAGTCCCACATTTAAAAAAAAAAAAAATTTCCACCTACCTGCTTTAAGTGGTGGCTGGTATTTTGCTGAGGGCCCTGGGCGGGTAGTAAGACAAAGGGCTGACCTGGGTGAGTGGATGGCTGCAGACCGCTAAGCTCCTACTTGTGGTCAGTGGCACTGGATCCCTCACCTTCCTGCTGCATGCTCTGCCCCCAGCACCTGACCAGGGTCTATTCACTGAGGCTCTTGACTGCTTTTTAGAGGCTCTGAATCCTGCAGGCATGGAGAACAGAGACCTACTTTGGTTTATTGTTGTAACCCAGGTGTTTAGCCCCGTGCTAGGTATCTGGTACATAGAGGCTCAGAAAATAAACTGTTGAAATGACAGACACCCATGATCTAGTGTTGGAAACGTAGAGGCTCCTCAGTCAGGAAAAAAGAAAATTGGTTTAAGTTCTTGGAGGCATCTTTTTTTCTGTCTTTATTTTTGAAATTTTCCTTTATTATTAAAGATGTTTTCAAAATAGCAAGCACTTTACCACTTAGTTACACCCTCAGCCCCAAAGTAAGAGAAAATAAGATGAACCAAGAACCATTGCTGCTGAAGGCATCCGGAATTTTGTAAGCAGGTTTTATCTCTCCCTGGGGGTATCACTTTTGATTGTCTCCTTTAACCGGCCCTGGAGCGGTTTCATTAGCAAGTCAATGAGTCATTTAACTAACTGGTTTGCTGGTACTTGCCCAGGGCAAGGCAGTTGGGAGGGTAAGACCAAAAAAAAAAAAAAAGTCTCTTGTGAAGGATTTTCTCAGTTCCCTGTGACTCCTAAGCCAGTTTCCAGTCTACAGGGCTGCCTGAGAGGGTTCTGGGCTCCAGTCCTTCACAGTGCAGGACTGGCTACACTATGAGCCAGGTCCAGTGCTATGTGTGGAAGGCAGTAGCAGAACAGGTACCTCCAGGTCACGTCCTGAGAAGTTTTTCCCAGGCCCTGCTGGACAGGCTGCAATCCCTGTGGTAAGACCCTGGGGTGAGAAAGGAGCCTGGGCAGTGGTTGTGGTTGACTGTGTGGGAGGAGTGGCCTGGGGCAGCCAGGGACTATCTTTATGTCCTGGGCTCTCCTCTCTGGCTCCCACAGGCTACAACCTGTCTCCTCACCTCTAGGTCTTTCCAGATGTATTTTTTTCATTTTTTGAGCTTCTGTGTGAGCTTTTTTGCTTAAAGGGCTTGCCCCACAAGATAGGTTACACTGGCAAGGTAAACTGTTGGTTCCTAAGGGTAGTCACAAAGGCTTGTTTAAAAGCACATTCCCAACCCGGGTGCTGGAGGCTCACGCCTATAACCTCAGCTACTTGGGAGGCTGAGATCCAGAGGATCTGATTCGAGGCCAGTCCAGGCAAACAGACTCCATCTCCAAAATAATTAGAGCAAAATAGAGTGGAGGCGTGGCTCAAGTGGTAGAGCGCCTGCTTTGCAAGTGTGAAGCTCTGAGTTCAAACCCAGAGGGGCACATTCCCAGCTCCAGCTCCTCCCTGCACCTGCATGGATCTATGAGGTAGATGGGAAGTAGCTATTTTAAGCCAGGTGTGGGAGGCTCCAGGCCAGCCTGATCTACATAGCTACACCTTGTCTACAAACAAAAAAGCCCAATTTTTAAAAATCACCCAGGGTGATTCCAATCTAGTCAGCAACTTTTTTTTTTTGGCAGTACTGGGATTAAACTCAGGGCCTCAGTCAGGTGCTCCACCACTCCACCAGCCAAGCCCGAAGCTTTTAAGATCACCTGGGTCACCAGGTGTTTGGGAAAGGCTCTCCAGGCCTCCACTTCTGTCCTGTCAGCTCTGCTCTTTCACAGCTGAGAAAGACTCTCTGAGAAGGCACTCTGTCTGCATTCCTTACATGCCCGTTCCCATCCTCCAGGCCTGTGTCACTGGCTCCCTGGTGGTGTGTTTCCCCTGCCCACCCCTAGCCTGGTCCCTGTCCTTCATCTTTGTCCCTGCTCCTTTCACATGGAGTCCTGTTGGATAGCAGAGATCAACTTTCAGGCACCATCACAGAATTCACCTTGGTGTTCCTCTGCCCCCTTCCAGAGGTCCGTGGGCGAGGACAAGTCACCCACTCTTTTCCTGACATGAGTGAGGTGTCTAGTGGGGTACAACCCTTGCCTAATGCCCTCAGAGGTGCATGTTTTAAGGGACACAGACACACAGATGCTAAGCCACCAAGTTTTCTGTAGCAGGGTGAACACTTGGGGCATTGTTTGAAGGGGCTGTTTGTCCGTTCTCTTATCGTAAGCCAAAATGGAGGTGCATCTAGGGGCGAGATACTCAGCCTGGCTGCTGATCAGGCATCCTTCCCCAGCCACACTCCTCCACCCATGGCCTGCATCCAGGGCTGAGGTGTAGAGGTAGGTGCAAGGCCCTCACATAGCACAGGTAGCTGAGGAGGTGGCTGTGGGAGCAGGGAGGGATGTGGAAGGCACAGCTCCAGCCAGGAGGGAGGGAGGGCCTCAGGCTCAGGTCTTATTTATGCTGGCAGTGGTATATGTCTGTCTGGTCAAATTGCAGCCTGTATACTTGTGACCTGGAAGTTCTGGAACCTCCTTGTTCAGGACTTCTGTTTCTGTAGTGGAGCTCACTGCAGAATCCATCCCATAGGCTGCTGAAGGTTAAATGAGTATTCAGATTTAAGCTTGGTGTTTTGTGTTCAAGTGTTGCTGTTGAGCTTAGGTGACTGTCAACTGTCCTGTTCCCATCCTGTGATAGCAAAAGCACAAAGCAGTGGAGGCTACAGCCAGCTCTGCACTCAGAGACTGTGAGACTTCGGGCAAGTCCTTTATCTGTCTGAGCTCCAGCTTTGGGGACACTGTTCCCCACCTCCCAGGTTTGAATGCAGATTAAACATTGAGGTGGCTGGCATGACACCTGGTATCAAAGGTGCTTAGTAAGTTTGTTTCCTTCCTTCCCCCTGATTAACTGTTCAACACTACCTTTCTTTGGAGCTCCCTGGCACCTCTAGCCAGGATTCAGCTCAGCCAGTGCCTGTCGTTGTGTGTGTACCTGGCTACACTGAGAGGACCACACAGTGATGTGGGGCTGCAGAGTCCTTCCATGCTGGAATGGAAAAGAAAGAAGGGCCCCAGAAGCCTCTGGTCCTACCCTGCCTGACAGGGTTTGCCTGTAGAATGAATGCATCCAGCAGCAGCCAGCTAGGGAAGGAGCCACACAAACGAGGCACCAACTCCCATCACAGATGGCTGTCCCTCAGTAGGAAGATAGTAGGTACACAAGGCTTGCTCAGATATAGGCCAAGAAAGAAGTCTGGTGATAGCCAGGGACAGAAACTGATACCACAAGTCCTGGGCATTGCTATAGTCCACTCAGGAGATGGGGAGGGGGATCCTGTCCTTTCTCCTTAGCACAAGTTATAAATGTCTGCTGAACTAAGGAGAGGAGACCGTGGCAGAAGGACCTCGAGTCAAGCCACTGTACAGACCCCTTAGTGGTTTCCCATAGTGTTTTGGGCTAGTAAGGTCCACCCTGTCCAGTAATGAGCTCATCACCAACAATACCTCCTTCCATCAGCTCCTTTTTCTGAGCCATGGTCTTGCCATGTTACACAGGTTGGTCTCATACTTCTGGACTCAAGCAGTCCTGCTTCAGCCTTCCTTGTGGTTGGGACTACAGATGTACATCACTGCACCCAGCCCATTTCCATCTTTTTCCTTCCTTCCACTTACTGATGGTCAGTCATCTACTTGTTTTATTGTCAGTCTGCACCACTAGATGGACTGTCAGTCCCATGGGGCCGAGCGCTTGTTTATCTTTGTTTGCTTGCTTGTTTTCTTGAGACAGGGTCTCCCTGCACAGCCTAGGCTGCCCTTGAATTCACATTCCAGGTGCCTGGATCATAGACAAGCACCGCCAGGCCCAACTCAGTGCCTGTTCAAAAGGCAGCCAGCAAGCACCAAGAACTGGTCTGGCATATAGTAGGCACTCAGATACTTATTTGAATGAGCAAGAAGCCCTGAAAGGGAGAGCAGAGGACTGGGGTTTGAACTCAAGGCCTTGCACGAGACAAGCATTTTACTGCTGACCCATGCCTGCAGCCAAAAAAGGCTTTGGGTTATTTTTTTTGATGGGGTCTTGCTTTTTGCCTGGGCTAATCTGGGACTGAGATTACAACTGACCACCAGCTGAGCTTCAAAGTGTGCTCACTAGGAAAAGGAGTTGGTCAAATTCATCTCGCTAGTTGATGAAGAAAACTGTAGACACACAGTACATGGCAACTTTTGGCAAACTCTGCAGTGGAGGAGGCTCACGCCTGTAATCTTAGCTGTACTCAGGAGGATCATGGGTCGAAGCCAGCCAGGCAAATAGTTCAGGAGACCCTATCTTGATAAACCCTTTACAAAAATAGGGCTGCTGGAGGGGCTCAAGATGAAGTCCCTGAGTTCACGTCCCAGTACCGCATTTTCCAGGAGGAAAAGAGGGCACTCCAGAACAGAGGGATGTGGTAGGCAAAAGACATGGGGCATTTAACAAAGAACAGGAATAAGCACAGGCGAGTAGCTTCACATGCTGCCAGGCTTAGCGCAAGAGGGATGGCGTCAGGGGACTCACAAAGATAGGCTGGGCAGCAGAGGGCTTTAATGCCCAGCCTCTGGAGCCCAGACTGGATCCTGTAGGCAGGAGACAAACAGCAGCCACTGCATTTTAGAAAGACACTGACTACCCCTGAAGAAGCAGCTAGACAGAGCTAAGAAGCTGGGGGATATTCAAGAGTTCAGGGCTCAGGCGTGATGCATGCCTGTAATCTCAGCTAGGATCATGGTCTAAAGCTAGCCCAGGCAAAAACCAAAGCCCTGAATTCAATCCCCAATACTGCCCAAAAAAAAAAAAACGGGTTTAGGAGTACAACTAACTTAATGGTAGAGCACTTAGCTAGTACGAACACACACAAACACACACACACACAAAACATAAAAGAAATCTAGACAGATAAGGGGTAGGGTTCCAGACATGTGTCCCCCAAACCACAGGTACGTTGAGCTTTGTAGCATGCCACAGTGGTGAGGGTCATGCCTCTTCGTCCAAGTATTGCTACAAACAGTAATTTTTCTTCTCCCCAAAAGCTCCTTGGTGTCCCCTTGGCTCTTCCCCAGGTCTGTAGTAAAACTCTGCAGGTCTGGGAGTGAATCAGTCCTCCTCATCCATCCACACCCAGCAGGCAGCAGGTCCGGCACTTCCAGTTTCCTGAACAGATGAAACATTTGTCTTGGGGAGAATGGGGAGATTGAAACAAGGTTTTGCTGTATATGTATAAGCCAGGCTGGACTCACAGTTGCTCAGTAGCCCGGCTGGCCTCAGACTCAGGATCCTCCTAACTCAGCTTCCCTTACTGGAATCTGAACTCCCTGCTTCCAAGTCTCCTGTTTCCAGTCTATTCTGCACCAGGCAAGTAATTTGGGCTCCCTACTGCCCTAAGAGCCCAACCACATAGGCCTACCTTCTGCGTTTGTCACAGGTGCTCTGCTGCCCCCTGCCAGTCCTCCCTCCTCACTTCCTAGCAGCAGCTGCTTGTCCTTCAGATCCCTACTGAAGAGTGGCATCGTGAGTCCACTGGCCCTCCTCACCCTTGTCTCCACTAGCACCATTGTGTACAGGTGCAGTTTCCTATGCCACTCTACCAGCTCTTTTTTGTGTTGGATTTTTTTCAAGATAGGGTCTTGCGAACTGTTTACTGGGGCTGGCTTCAAACTGTGATCCTCCTGATCTCTGCCTCCTGAGTAGCTGAGATCACAGGTGTGAGTCACTGGTGCCCAGTGCGTTTGTGTGGTTTCTTCGCTGACTCTACTCCCATAGGAACCTCTGAGGGCTGGGCTGCTGCAGCCTGAAACGTGGGTGCTTCACAGTTGTTTTGGATGGGGTTAGCTGATCAGTCTCTTGCTCCTTCCAGATATGTAACTGGTTCATCAATGCCCGGCGGCGCCTGCTTCCAGACATGCTTCGGAAGGACGGCAAAGACCCTAACCAGTTCACCATTTCCCGCCGCGGGGGCAAAGCCTCCGATGTGGCCCTTCCCCGGGGCAGCAGCCCCTCGGTGCTGGCCATGTCTGTACCAGCCCCGACCAATGTGCTCTCCTTGTCTGTGTGCTCTGTGCCGCTCCACTCGGGCCAGGGTGAAAAGCCAGCAGCTGTCTTCCCACAGGGGGAGCTGGAGCCTCCAAAGCCCCTAGTCGCCCCTGGCAGCACACTTACCCTGCTGACCAGGGCTGAGGCTGGAAGCCCCACGGGTGGACTCTTTAACACGCCGCCGCCCACGCCCCCAGAACAGGACAAGGAGGACTTCAGCAGCTTCCAGCTGCTAGTGGAGGTGGCACTGCAGAGGGCGGCAGAGATGGAGCTCCAGAAGCAGCAGGACCCCGCACCCCCATTGCTGTGTGCTCCCATCCCTCTGGTCTCTGAGAACCCCAAGTAGGTGTCAGCCACCAGGCAGCTCAGGCCGAGCCCACTGTCCGGGGCTTCCAGTTCCTTCCCTTCCATACAGAGGGTTTTCCATGGATCACTGCCAGGCATCAGGATCATCTCCTCTGTCCAGAGGTCCCAGCAGGAAGACGCCAGCGTCACTGCACTGTGACGGGACCTCTCCTCTGCTGACTGCCGGTTCTCCAGGCCTCCTCGGTGAGGGGACCGAGGGATCGGAGACAGGTGTGCTGCTGCTGCTGCTGCTGCTTCTCCAGAGAAACCCGGGACGCCTGTCCCAGCTGCTTCCTGGGCTGGGCTCAGGAAACCTGCCAGGCTCAGACTTCAGTGGGTCCCAACTGCCCTTGAGCTGTGCCTTTGTCAAGCCAGGTGTGCACATTCCAAGTTCATAAGCAGGGACAAAAGAAAAGAACCCAACAGATGTCCCAGAACCGACTCCAGTTGAATGTTTCGATTTTGCTAAACTGTTATTTTTCCCTTTTTGCTGTGGTTTGCATTGATGGCAGTAGTTAGCCTAGGTGTGGGGCAGGAGACCACGTCACATGGTGGAGTCTAATAAAATGGAGATGGCCCACCACGCGACTGCCAATTGTTGTACAAGGAAGGAGGATTTTTATTTGGGGGACCAGCTAAATCTCTGCAGTAGTGAGAAGTTCCAAATGGTTGTTTTATTGTTGGTTTGATTTACCAAATAAATGGGGGGAGTGTTTAAAAAAAGTATGGGCATTGGCTTTCTTTGCACCAGGCACAGAAGGGGGGGTAAAGCCACAGCCACAGGTGAGCCTGACACTCTGACGACAGCTTCTAGATGTACAGCAGAGAAAGATGATAAAAACCAGAGAGGTGTTTGTTTTTGTTTTTGCTTTTACTGTATTGGGGGGAAGTGGGGGGGAGTTAAAGCTAGACTGCTAGTTAAGCAGTGGATTTTTTTTTTCTTTCTTTCCTTCTTTTTATTGTTTCCCCTTCTTTGTTCTTGAAGGCTTTACCCACAGCCTGAGTTTTGGATTCCTTTAGGAACTGGGGCTGGAATGTCCTGCTTGGAGGGAAGAGAGCCATCTGCTGGCCAGGAAGCCTTCTACTACTCCAGCAGGGGGTGCTTTTCCCTCCATCCTGGAAGGAGCCCTTGGAGGCCCAGTGCCTGTGGCTGCCTGAGCAGCTGCCTTCACAGGGAGCTGAGCTGCAAATGGGGTAAAAGCTAGGGAGCTCGGAGTGTCTTTGTTTCATCTTCCTTTAAATTGGAGTTGCAAGAGCCATTCCTAAATTTTTCCAGTGAAACATAACCACAGGTGGTCATCATCCCCTCCCTCTCCCTGCTTTTTATTTTGCTGTTTTGTTGCTGATAATGTTCAACAGCAGTATATCTGCCCCATCTTTATATATCCTAAGAAACACTAATCCTAGGTTGTTATTAGCCAAAATATTTTTCTTCTCAGTAACAATGTTCCTGGGCCAAAAAATATGTTTCCCTGAAGTTACCAGGTTGGGCAAGGGAAGGGCTTCCTGGGTGTTGACTGACTTGGGTGAGCCTAGCCAGGAAAAAGGCAGAACACTGCTGTCTTTTCTAGAACCCCTGCCACCCGTGAGGGGCTCCCCACCTCTCCTGAGAAGCTTGGCCCATCCCTTGCTGTGGGAGTGGGAATAGCTATACTCTATAATAGGCAGGCATGTTTCCTACATTCTGCCTCCTCCTGGCCTCCTCCTCCTGAGGTCCAGCTGGGGAAGGATAAACACTGCAGCTTCAAGTTAGCTGAGGCTACTGTTTATCCCCACCTCCAAACCCCCGCAGTGTCTGAGTCCTGTGTGACTGTTACCACGGGATCCTGCAGTAGGTGACTTGGAGTATATCGGGCAGGGGTGAGATTTTCCCTCCCCACAGTGCACTGAGCAGGAAAGGTGGTCAGGGTTCTGGAAGCCATGCTGCTGAATTCTGTTTGGCATTGCCCCCCGGTGTGAAGTGGGGCTGCCTCTGCTTAGGTTTTTGTTGTAAGATAAATGTGGAGGAGCACAGTTACCCATTGAATTATTTGAGCAAAAAACTACTGTAAATAACTTTTGTTTTTGTCTTTTGTCAAATAAAGTTGTTTTGTTTTTGTTTATTTTTAAAGTAGAACTGAGTTCTTGGTTGATCCACCGTGGCTCTGGGGACAGCTGTTTGGGGTTTCAACTGCCTTGCCTCTTTCACTCTCTTGGTAGCTGTCTGTGAGTTTTGTATCCACTACCCAATCCCTTTCCATAGCCCATTTGGCATAGTCTAGGCTTCCTGGGACCAGGAGTTAAGCTTTGGTGTTGCTAAGTGACCAGGGTGTGGATTTGGAACTGGCAACTTCCTCCCTGTCCTCAGTGAGGGAGAGCCCACTGCGTCGGAAGTCAGCCCAGAGCAGCAGATGTGAGACTGATGCTCCAGCTACATCTGAAACCAGGACCCCTCTACTTCCCTGCTGTGTTGGCCAACAAAGTCCCTTTACTTAACCTAGCTGTGGATGCATTTCTGCCACACAAAAAAGTCAATACAGTAATTACAGCCCCAAGTACAAAACCAAAGGAGTGAATGGCTGTGCTGTGTGCCCACTGTGGGAAGTATTCACTCACATTCCGTACATACACATGCAGAAGAAAGATGTGTTACCTTGTAGGTAAAGTAACCAAGTGGAGGTTAGTTACCTAAGCTCAGCCGTTAAGTGTAGAGCAAGGGTTTGAATTCAAGTCTTCAACGTCACTCTGAAGTCTCCCCAAAACCTAGTTGTATTAATTATGAGCAGTGCCACCTATTGCCGTCCAATGGTATGGACTAGCACAAGTTGGCTTTATTGTGACCTTTCCCACAGGCTCCTCCGTTAGGAATTTGGAGAGAGAAGTCCCTGAGATTTCAAAGCCTTCACTCCTTTATCCACTCATCCTAAGTCCCAATCTTCCAGCTTCTGGGCTTCTCTGTCAGTAGCCCCCAAACTGGACACAGCCCTGGGGCTCGTGAAGAATAGAGAAACGCTGGAAGGGCTCTTTTGTTGGCATCTGAGAATGAGTATTAACGTTCTCTTGGTAATGGTTTGAATCTGAAGGCCAGCTGGTGGGCTTTGGGAAGTGACTGGGTGGTGGGGACTCTGACTTCATCAGTGGCTGAGTCCATTGATGAATTCACAGTTTGGGGGCATTATTAGGAGCTGGGACCTAGTAGAAGGGCAGGGGAGGAGGGGCTTGTTCCTGGCAACTTCCTATGTGTCTCCCCCATGCCCCGGGAAGCAGCTTTGCTCCACCGTACGCTAAGACTGAGCCAAAATACAAGCTTTATTCACTCTTTTAAATGGTTTCGCTCAGGAATTTGTTACAGCAATAGAAATTTGACTCGTGCACCCCAAAACAGAGAAGTGCTTCGGATGGTACAGAGGATGCCTAAGGAGAAAAGGCGTCTACAAATACTTTTCAAAGAACTAGAAGCAAAATTCTTGCATCAAATTTCAAACTGATGTGCCCTGGAGCAACTCAGAACAGTGTGACTAGCACTCCTCTGAGACTAGGAAGCGTCCTAACAGCCCCACGTAGGAAAGACTTTTTTTTTTTTTTTTTTTGGTGGTATTGGAGTTTGAGCCTCAAGCTTGCTAGCCAGGTGCTCTACCAGTTGAGCCACACCACAGCCCTTTTCATTTATTGCTTTAGTTATTTTTGAGCTAGGGCTTTGAATTTTTGTCCAGGGCAGGCCTCAGACCAGATGCTCCTACCTATGTCTCCCACATAGCTGGGATCACAGGTACACACAACTATGCCTGGCTTGTTGGTTGAGAATGGGGTTTCACTAACTTTTCCTGGGCTGGCCTTCTGGGTGGCTAGAATTACAAACATGCTACCATGCCTGGCCAGGAAAGACTTTTGTTTTTTGAGTCAGGGTCTCAATATGTAGCCCACTCTGGCCTCGAACTTGTGACCCTCTGCTTTGGCTTCCCAAGTGTAGGAGTACTGGCACGTACCACCATTCCTGCCCAAGAAAGACCTTTTATAGTGCAGTCCCACCCCTAGACTTTTTTGGGTTTTCCTTTTTGTGGTACTGGGGATCAAACTCAGGCCCTCGCATGTACAAGGCAAGCACACTACCGCCAAGCAGCATCCCCAGCCCCCAATCTTTCAAGGTTACAAAGACAAGAAAGAGGGTCCTCCCTGAACCATTTAACTTCTTTGTTCCCAGCAATCTGGTGACCTAAAGGTCATAGGTATCCTCCCTCAGATTTTCAATTAATCACCCCAACCTCCTTATCCATGGGTCCCATATCAGACTCAACCAAAACTGTATCTGTACCAAACATATACAGACTTCTTTCTTGTCATTCTCTAAACAACACAGTATTGTTTTAGGAATTACAAGCATTTTAGAGATTCAAAATACGCAGGAGGACACGCATAGGTTGCATGCAAGTACTGCGCTGTTTGCTATGAGCCTTGAGTAGCTTCAGATTTTGGTATCCACAGGGGCCCGGGAATCAGTCGCCCACACATACCAAGAGACAACTTTAACTGACATTCACTGTACAAGCCTGGTGTGGTGGGGTACGTCTGTAATCCCAGCACTCTGGAGGCTGAGGCAGGAAGATCTGAATTTGAGGCCAGCCTGGACTACGTAGTGACACCCTATCTTAAAAAACAAAAAACAAAAATGCACATTCACTACAATAATTAAAAATAAAGGTAACAGAAGGGGCGTTAGGTGTAATGGAGAAGAGCGCAGCAGACATCTGGAGGGAAACGAATGAATAGAAAATACTTAGCAAAGACACTGGCACCTAGTTAGGGCTCACTCAGTACTAGTAAAACATTACTTGTAGGCAAAAATAGAAATGACCAGGATACAAAGACCTCTACTTCACGGCAGGCGCTCTTCAGAGATTTCTGTGATCCACCAACTGCATCATGGAACTGACTAACTTCTACCCCTCATAACAGCTTCCTCTCCACGCCCCACCATAAGCAGCTGGCAGTGACACAGAGCATTCAGCTTGAAGTACCATACCATGTGTTCAACTGGTGCTAGAAAACCTCACGACTCACAAAGAAATTGGTTCTACTTCCAAATCTGTCTTGCACTTCCAAATCTAACTCTTCCCCCTTAGAACACCCAAGATGTGTAGTCTAACCCACTGAATGCACCGGGATCCAGTGAGACTCCCACAGCCCAACATAGGGAAAGGCTTGGCAGAAAGGGAACCAGTGTAAGCCTCATAAATACCTTCTAGACAAAAGCTTACACCCAGCAGGGCTTCCTCTGCTTCTAGAAAGCCAAGAGGAGAGAGATTCAGGTCAGGTTTCAGGTGCCTATTTAACCTCACCTGATGTGACCTTGGATTGCACTGCAGGATCTGAGGACACTTCTAAGAAAAATGCTGACTTTCCCCACTCCTATGTGAACACAAATTTAAGAGCTTCTGAGTTAAGGTCAGACTTCACAATATAATACAAATACAACATACAAACAAGTAGTGTTTTTTTTTTTCCCCTGTAGAAGTTACCTGAATTCAAATGTGATCATATATGCAGAAAACCCTACAGATGCCAAGTGCTGGGGCTTGCGCCTGTAATCTAGCTTCTCAGGAGGCAGAGATCAGGAGGATCATCGAGGTTCAAAGCCAGCCCAGGCAAATAGTTCATGAGACCCTATCTCAAAAAAACCCATCACAAAAGGGCTGGCAGGGTGGCTCAAGTGGTAGAGTGCCTTCCTAACAAACGTAAGGCCGAGTTCAAACCCCAGTACCACCAAAAAAAAAAAAAACTCTCTCTCTCTCTCTCTCTCTCTCTCTCTCTCTCTCTCTATATATATATATATATATACATAAAATCAGTTTCTATAACAATGAACTATCTGAAAAGTTAAAACAATTTTATTTATAATAGCATCAGAAAGAATAAGATACTTAGGAACTAACCAAGCAGGTAAAATTGGAAAATGTAAGCTAAAATAAAAACCAGCTATGCGCCATTGGCTCAGGCCTGTAATCCTAGCTACTTGGGAGGCTGATATTGATTGGGAAGATGGAAGCATGAAGGCAGACTGGGCAAATAGTTTGTGAGATCCCCATCTGCAAAACAACCAGAACAAAAAGTACTGGAGATGTGGCTTAAGCCGTAGAGTGCCTGCTTTGCAAGTGTGAAGCCCTGAGTTCAAATCCCAATCTCACCCCAAAAAATTTAAAACAAAACAACTCACAGAAAGATATTAAAGACAACACAAATAAAAGGAAAGAAATCCCATATACACTTATTGTTAAGACTTAACAGTGTTTAAACATTAATACCACAGGAACTTATCTACAGACTCATTAAGATCCTAATCCATTAAGATTTTTGGCAGAAACAGAAGAATTTACCTAGAATTTATATGGAAGCCAGGAATGGTAGCAATGACTGAGGCAGGAGGATTGCTTGAGCCCAAGAGTTCAAGGCCAGCCTGTAGGATATATTGAGACCCCTTTCCTAAACAAAATTTATATAGAATCTTAAGAAACTCTGAATAGCCAAAACAATCTTGAAAAAGAATAAACGGGCTGGTGGTATGGCTCTGTGTACCAAACCTGGTTCCAGTCCCCAAAAAGAACAAACTTGGGAGGACTCACACTTCCTGATCTCAAAACTCTACAAAGCTACAAGAATCAAAACAATGTGGTGTTGGCATAAAAACAGATGTACAGACCAACAGAATAGTATACAGAGCCCCAAATAAATACATGGATTGATATGCTCAAATGATTTTCAACAGAGGTGCCACAACCATTCAGTGGAGAAAAAACCAATCCTTTTCTTCTTTTTCCCTCCCTCTTTCCCTCCCTCCCTCTCTCCCTTGCCTCCCAGTTTCTTTTGGTGCTAGGATTTAGACAGTCTTCTCACTAATGGCTCTGGAAAAACTGAATATCCACATTCAAGAGAATGAAATTGAATCACATACAAAAACTAACTCAAGCCTACCACTGGTGGCTCATGCCAGTAAAGCCTAGCTACTCAGGAGGCAGAGATTAGGAGGATCGAGGTTCGAAGCCAGCCCAGGCAAATAGTGCACGAGACCCTATTTTGAAAAAGTCCCTAACATAAATAGTGCTGGTGGAGTGGCTCAAGGTGTAGGCCCTAAAGTTCAAACTCCGGTACTGCCAAAAAAAAAAACCTCAAAATGCATTGCTGAGAACGCAGCTCAGAAGTACAGCATTAACGTAGTGTACGCCAGGATCTGGGTTCAATCTCCAGCTCCAAAACAGAACAAAAAAAAGCTAAAGAGCTGGGGATGTGGCTCAACCAGTAGAGCACCTGCCTCGAAAGTGTGAGACCCTGAGTTCAAACTAGAGTACCACCAAAAAAAAAAAATAGGGTTGGAGGAGTGGCTCAAGTGGTAGAAGCCCTGGTTCAAACCCCAGTACTGAAAAGAAAAAAAAAAAAAAAAAACACCTTTTAGAACTGGGGGTGTGGCTCAAGTGGTGAGCACCTGCCTAAGCAACTGCTAGGCCCTGAGTTCAAACCCTCCAGTAGGAGGAGGGGACACAGTGGCAGCAGAGTCCCAGCTACTTGGGAGGGTGAGGCAGGAAGACTGTTTGGGTCCAGAAGTTAGGGACTACATACCAAGACATCCCTCTTTGTCTCAAAAAAAAATTAAATAAAAATTTTTATTCATCAAAGTACACTATCGGACTGGAGGTGTGGCTCAAGCAGTAGAGTACCTACCTGTCTTGCAAGTATGAAGGCCTGAGTTCAAAACCCCAGTACCACCAAAAAAAAAAAAAAAAAAAAAAGCGTAGTACACTATCAACAGATAAAGAAGCAACCACAGAATGGGGACAAATTGCAAATCACATATAGGCATTAGTATTTAGAATGGGAAACTCTTAAAAATTAGACAATAACCAAACAATCAGTCTCAAAGGTGGGCAACGATCTTGAATAGACATTTCTTCAAAGATATGCAAACGGTCAATATCCACATGGAAGATGCTGAAGTAGAGAAACGCTCATCAAAACCACCATGAGTACTACTGCACACCAGCAGAACTGGCTGTTACCAAAACAACACGCACAAACAGAACCCTGATGTTCTGCTGGTGGGAATGTGAAATGGTGCAGCAGCTCTGAAAAATGGTATGGAGGTTCCTCCAAAAATTAAAAACAAGCATAGTGTTGCGTACCTGTAATCCCAGCACAGGGAGGTGGTTGCAGGGGAATTGGGAGTTGGAGGCCAGCCTGGGAAATATAGGGAGAGATACTGTCTGAAAAAAATAAAGATCTTAGGAGGGGGACTGGAGTGGAAAACGCTAGGAGTGGTATCCTGGACAAAGGAGAATCTATTGCTCGCCTAAAGTGAAAGACTAACTTCACTTTAGTGGATGCTGAAAGGGATGTAGACGTTCTTTAAGACTTAAAATTTAAGCGTTAAGAGAAGAGCGATAGAAGGAGAGCTGCAGGGAGGAAGGGGAGGGATGCAGGAGAACGGCGAGATGGGGGGAGAAAGAAAGCCTGTGCAGAGGGGGAGGGGAGGGGACAGCAGAGATTTCAGAGTCAGATAGACCCAGGTGCTAATCCAACGATTCCAGGCAAGTTTCTTTGCCTCTATAAGCTCACCGCACAGTTGGTCTCTCAACTTACTACATAGCACAATGTGCACTGCACCTACTGGAGGGCTTTTTTTAAACAAAACAAAACAAAAACACATGGTCTCGGTATATAGGTCAGGCTGGCCTCAGCCTCCTGAGTGCCGCGATCCCAAAGTGTGGGATTGCATAACCCACATTTTGAACAAGGTCCTACAGAACTTGCAGGTTTAGGGAAGAACGAGCAGGGGCTAGCTTCCCTGGCGCAGTTTAGGGTTTCCGGGTCGCAAGGCCGCCTCCCAACACGCGGGGGCGCGCTGTGGCTCACTGGGCGACGCTCGCTTCCAACTCCTGCTTTCGACTCAGTTACGCCTCCTGGCGCTGGAGTCGCCACTCTGCCAATCTTGTCCCTTCCCTCTTACCCTACCGCGCACCTGGCGGAAGTTGACGTCACTTCCGTCACGAGGTGCCGCCGCGCTTCCGTTCTGACGGCTGCGTGTCCGTCGATTGGCTGCGCGGGCACGTCGGCCGGAGATGGGCTCATTGCGCTGCCCCGCCCTCCACGGCGCCTGCTCGGTGGAGCGAGCAGAGCCGGGCGGCTTCTCAGGGAAAGAGGACCTGCGGTACGTCTCAGAACCGGACCGCTGAGCCTGTGGCTGCCGCCGCGCGCTGTAACTTGACACCTCAGACTCCGACTCCCCTTGGCTCGGCCCGCGCGCCCCAGGCCCGGCCCGGGCGGCGCGACGGGAGGATGAGCGGCGGGCGGCGGAAGGAGGAGCCTCCTCAGCCGCAGCTGGCTAACGGGGCCCTCAAAGTCTCTGTCTGGAGCAAGGTGCTGCGGAGCGACGCGGCCTGGGAGGACAAGGTGCGGGGGACCTGACGAGGGCGCAGGTTCGAGGAGCCGCTGGAAGTCGGGAGACGCCGGGACGGGCCTGGGCCTGCCCGCGGTAGAGTGGGGCGGTGGGGCGGGTGGCCCAGGAGTACCGGGGCGAACTTGACGGGCACAGGCCTGCAATTCTAAGGGGATAGCCGCCTGGTCTCACGTGGAAGCGGCGAGGTAGGGGCCGAAGAGTTGACATGGGCGGGCTGGACGTGTGCCTGCACGGCGTGAGCGAGCTGAATTCGATTCGGTCGCCGCCTGTTCTTCCTGGCACGATCTGGAGGAAGTTAGCAAATCGGTAACGGTGCCAGGTTTCACCGATCGCTGCCTGTGTGCCAGGTGCTGGCTTTTCATGCACGATCCCCCTGAACCCGCAACCTGACCCTGTAGTGCGGTGCGGTAAAAGTGCTTAGCACAGGGCGAGGATCGCTAATGCTCAGCTGCCATGGCTTGAATGAGAAAGTCCACCTGCCTTAGCAAGTGTGAAAGAAAAGAGGGGAAGTCTGAGACCGCTTTTTTGGGGTAGGGGGTGAGGCAGAGGAAGAGGAGTCAGCAGACACGTGTCAGAAATGGTTGGGGCTTCAGGATGTACTTGTCGGTCACATTCCGAGGATCTGAGTGTAGACGCTTCCCACCTCTGCTCCATGATATGGATGGGCAGCTTGGTTCTAGGTGGCTTGAGAAAAATGTTACATTTTCAATCCTTGCTTTGTTTCTTGGACTCCTGAAGTTGTGTTTTCCTTCCTCCAGTTCCGGTAAGGGGGGGATGGGAAGCACTTCCTGAAGGTGCCCTTGTCCTGCCCCCAGCCCGGCCCAGCTCTTGCAAAACCTGCAGTATCTGTGATCTGCTGTGTCATTTCTTTCCTAGTATAAGGACTGGTTTCTGGGATCCAGAAACCTAAGCCATCTATGTCCTATGAAATTTAGATTGGTGGCACCTGATCAAGCACTTTTGTTTCTAATTCTTTCTTTCCTCTGTGACTTACTCAAAAATTCAGTGACAGGAAGGTGGTACTGAGTAAGTTATTAGCTCTTCTGCCTGGGACTATCTAGGTCTCCCCTGGTCAGTTAAGAGTTATCTGTGGCTAGTAAGCACAGTTATTATAGCCATATCATTGCAAACTGCTTTGCTTGTGCAGCTTCAAAATAGTAATGATTTTCTAAAATATTTTTTGAAAATTTTAGCAAGGATTTGTTTTAGTATAACAGGATAAAGTATAGACAAGGTGAGGGGAGAAAAACAGAAACACTTCCTGCTTCCCACACAGGAAATGAGAGCAGAGACTCCTCATTCCTCTAAAATTTGGATTAGAGCACAGGCTCTGGAAGTAATCACTTAGGATGTTTAAATATGTTGTTTCCTACCATGTGTTAGCATCAGAGGCAATGCAAGAACTATATACCATTGCTTTTTGGGGAGAAATCCCTGGAAGATGTGTTCAGTAAAAGCTAAACTCTGTTTACCCCCCATCCCCATGGCTGTCCTGTGGCACCCACTCCAGATAATGCATGTATTATATGTCTTTTCTACAGGATGAATTTTTAGATGTGATCTACTGGTTCCGACAGATCATTGCTGTGGTCCTGGGTGTCATTTGGGGAGTTTTGCCATTGAGAGGTTTCTTGGGAATAGCAGGGTAAGTCTTGGATATTTGGAAAAAATATCCAATGGAAAACCATTTTTATGGTTTTCTCCTTTCTTCCTTTCTCCTTTCCTCCCTCCCTCCCTCCTTCCATCCTTCCCTTCCTTCCTCTCCTTTCCTTTCATCCTCCTTCCCCTCTTTTCCTTCCCTTTCTTCCCCTTTCTGGGAAGTCTATGTAGCCCAGGCTGACCTCACACAGCCCTCCTGTCTTTGTTTCCCACATTCTATTACAGGTATGTGCCACCACACCTGACTCATTTCTTTTTAAATTGAGGTTTTGGAGTGCCCGGCTAGCTCAGTCGGTAGAGCATGAGACTCTTTAAATTGAGGTTTTGTTTTCCTTGATTGGAAAGGGCCATTGCTACTTTGGGGCTGTGCAAAGAAGTGGTCTCAATGATGGTACCCCTGGGTCTGGTGCAGTGCTGCTCAGTTCATCAGGCCCAGGAGCATCTCATTCAGGCAGGCTGCCTTCCTGGTGGCTTGGCCTGTTCTGTTCATTCATGAGTCTAAAGTGACCTCCTACAAGAAGTTACCATATTACTTGTTGCCAACACATACTCTTAATTCTGGTGTAACTTCAGCCTTATGGAAGCCTGTGACATAGAGGAACTTCTAAATTTATGTGTGATGACTGTCTCCCTTGTGTCTGGCATAATGCTGGATGTTCTGAATCTTGGTTGTGGCAGAAGTTATTTCAGGTCCTTACATTCTAAAAGCAGCCAAAGTAGGAAGTTGGGCCTTACATGTTCTCCTTGGTTCCTCTGGTCAGTGCAGCACATTTCACACCAGCCTCTGATCACAGGTCAGTGTGTTAACAACCTACTGAAAGTGAGTCTGTTTCCATTGGATTGAATTAGAAAGATGGGTTGGAATTCTCTTAATATAGGAATAGTGAGCAAGCTGTTGTGGAAACAGAGAGCTTGCCTTTCGTCTTTTCACCTGGGGAGTACAAGTGTCACACTTCCCCCTGTGGAAAACCACACTGGTTGTTTTAGGGGTGATCACCTCTCTTGTTCCTTTCTTGTGGGTGTAAGGGGTAAACACATATCAAACACTGAGTTGCCTGTTTTCTCAGAAGATAACCCAAAAGATTATACAGTATATCACCCTATCCATGGCGGGGTAGAGGACATATTCCAAGATCTTCAATGAATGCCTGAAACCACGGAAAGTGTCAGGCTTTGTATATACTGTTTTTTCCTATACTTACGTATCTATGATAGTTTAACTTATAAATTAGGCATATGAGATTAAAAACAATAATACTAAAGTAAGTTTAGCAATATACTGTAATAAAAGTTACCTGAATGTGGTCTCTGTGTCTCAAAATATCTTACTGTTTTATACTCTCCCTTTGGGCATATCTAAATTGCCAGCATCACTATTTTTGCATTTTGAGGCCATTACTAGATAAATAGGGTTACTTGAACACAAGCACTGTAATAGTGTCAGTCACTTTGATAAGCGAGACAACTACTAAGTGGCTAATGGACACGTAGTGTGTGGCAACAAAGGGATGAGACCCATCCTGGGTAGGTGGATTGGGACAGCAGGAGATATTACACGCAACCGGGATCAACATGCTGTTTTAAACTAATAAATTATTTCTGGTATTTCCCATTTATCTGTGGTTGACCATGGGTAACTGAAACAACGGAAAGCAAAATTATGGAAAAGGGGGAACTTTTCCTAAGCAAAAAGGACTCTTAGTTTATGATACTGAGTAAGATATTTGTGCAAGGAAGCAGTGGGCATTTATGCTCTCCCCGATCTTGACAGACTAGGCACTTGAAGAGTGGTTAAGGTGATGATAGTCAGGACCTGAGGTTCTTAGGAGTCTCAAGGTGGGAAATGCTATAGATACATTTTTAGTGTTGGTTGCCCATTTGGGCTGTCTGTGAGAGAAAAGGTGGAAAGAAAGCTAGAGGAAGAGGAGGCTGACTTAAAGGCACGAGGGTATTTTTCGTCTTCCCAAGGCCACTAGTCTAGGAGAGGAACCATGCTAGTTGAAAGGCCTCTGCAGCTATCCACACTTGCAAGATTCTTAATGGATTTCTCTGAAGTCACCCACACTGGGGAAAAATCTAGTGAGTATCACTGTTAATTCGGTATTTTTCCTAGTGTCCAAACAAAGCTTTTTTGCTTTTTTTTTTTTATAAACGAGAAAGTTCTGGATTCAGGTTCTACCTATGCCACTTTCAAGGTACATGATGCTGGGCTTACCTCTTGAAACAGTTTCCTCATCAGTAGAGTGACTGCTAAGTGAATTAGATGAGATGACAAGTAAATTACTAACTGTAGTGTATAGTACATCACAGGCATTCCATAAGTGGTTCACTGCTGTCCTTACATGGTTAGCTTTATAAGGAGTGGTGGAATATGACTGAGTGAGTAGGGAACAGGATACGTGGGAGTATACGCACTGTGGAGTGGCTCTCCTGTGATGTGTGGTGCACTTTTCCAGGACTGCCTGCCTGTTTTCTGGGATTTGGTCCCACACTGTCTGCCAGAGCCAGTTTCTCCTACTCCAAACAAATCCCTTCCCTCCTTTTGGTTGGCACCTTTTTCCTTGCTCTTGGAAAGGACCAAGGACATTGATGGCTTTGCACATAACTTGTCTCCATCCGTTTGACTCAGCTGTCTGATCTTCAGGCAGAACTGCCCAGGTACTCTTTTTCTGGTGACTTTCTCTACTTCTTGGTAGTTGTCCTCTGTCCAGACTGACCTCCCACCTGGCTTCTCTTTGTTTCATTTTGTTGTGGCTACCAGTTAGGGTTGGCTAAGGTAAAGACAGTTCTGCTCTGTCTGCTGAGGGTTTGCATTAGCTGGTGTCTGTCCCCTCCTGCCTCTGGGTTCTCTCAGAGATGAGCACACAATTAGCAGGTACTTAGTTTTAACTGGTGTTTTTTTGTTCTGAGACAGTGTCTTGCTGTGGTTCCTGGGCTGGCTTCAGACTCACAATCCCCATCTTAGCCTCCCAAGTAGCTGAGATTACAGGCACAAGCCACTGTGCAAGACTAAAAAAATTTTTTGAATGAATGTCATTGACCTTTTTTTTTTTTGCTTTTTTGTTCTCATTGACTCTTGAAACAAAGTCTTACATTATAGTTGGCATGCTGCCTTCTAACTCTGAAAGCGGGTTATTTGTTAAGGATTCATTATCTGTTAAATTTCTGACTGCAGCTGGGTACCAGTGGCTCACACCTGTAATCCTAGCTACTTTGGAGGCTGAGATTGGGAGGATCAAGGTACAAGATCAACTTGGGCAAATAGTTCCCAAGACCCCATTTCCAAAACACCCACAGCAAAATGGACTGGAGGCATGGCTCAAGTGTAGAGCACCTGCTTTGCCAATGTGAAGCCCTGAGTTCAAACCCTAGTCTCTCAAAAGTAAAAATTCTGACCACAGTTTTAGGGTATGATTTTCCTTTCTTTCTTTTTTTTTTTTTTTTTTTTTTTTTGAGGTAGGGAGTGTTCTGGGGATCAAACCCAGGCCCTTGCATATGGTAGACAAGCACTGTCGTTGATTTTTTATTTATTTTATTTATTTTTTTTTTTTTTGAGACAGAGTCTTGCTTTTGTAGCCTGTGCTGGTTTCAAACTCTCCATTCTGCCTGTACCTCCCAAGTGCTATATACGGGCATGTACCACCATGCCTCAGTACAGCACACTACTTTCTTTGTCTACACATTTGCTGTGGGACTGTCTCCCTTTTTTTTTTCTCTGTGCGTGGCGGTGGGGGGGGTGTGGTTTGAACTCAGGGCTTCATACTTGCTTGGCAGGTACTTTACCATTTGAGGCATGCCTCCAATCCTTTTTGCTCTAGTTATTTTGGAGATAGGGTCTCACTTTTTGTCCAACTCAAAACCTTTTTTCCCAGGCTGGTCTGGAACTGAGATCCTGATCTCAGCCTCCCATGTAGCTTGGGATGATAGGCATGTGCCACTTTGCCCAGCTGCTGGTTGAGATGGAATCTCTTAAACTTTTTGCCCAGGCTGGCCTCAAACCACGAATCTCCCAGTCTCAGCCTTCCAAGTAGCTAGGGTTATAGGTGTGAATCACCATCGCCCAGTTGTCTCCCTCACTTTTATAAAATAGATTATGCCCATCCTTGAAGCTCAGTGTGAGCTTTTCCTGACCCTGCCCCCTAGACCACCTAACATTGGATTAAATGCCTTCATTTCTGTGACTTCTTTCTGCTTGCTATGTAACTTCTGGAGGGCACAGCCCATGTTGGCCCTTTTCTCTCTGTCATCCTGCTCTTTGATTCCATAGTCTTTCTGCTCAGCTCCTTATCTAGGCTTTAAGAGGGTCATTTTCAGCTCCCATCACATCACTCATCTCCATCTAGAGCCACTCAGTCAGCCTGTCCAGAATGAAGCTCCTGTCAAGAGAGGCAGCCGGGTGTGGCTGGCAGGAGATAGGATGTGGCCACAATGTGTGAAAGCCAAGAAAAACCTTCTGTGCTTCCTGACTCCCTGCTGGTTACTGGACCCATTGAACTCTCAGGTCCTTAGCTGAAAGCCTTTGGTGCTTCTCACCTCCTCACTTAGCCACTTGCCCATCCCTCTTTTCAAGCTATATTTGTTGTCATGTGCTAAAACATGAGTGCAGGTGTAAACCAGTCTTCCCCACCCCTGCTCCTTTCACTCATGAGAAAGCCCATACTCTCACCACTCACAGACTAGACTCCCGATACCTGCATACCTACCCATTGCCTACCTCTCAGATGCTGGCATACACTCCCAACAGGCACCCTGCACTGCCTGCCACCAGCCCACACTTCAGCCATTGGAAGGAACCATGTGCTCTACCATCAAGCTATCCAATCTGCACTTTCCCAACTCTGCCTTTAGAAGGAATGTGGTGTAAGACACATGGTTCCTTACTAGATGAGATGCAGTAACTGGAAAAATCACAAGAAAGTCTTGATAACTTTATAAAAAGGAAAGGTGAGAGCAGGATGATATGTTTCTGCTCACTGCATTCTAATTCCTGCAGCAGCTAAATAAACACATTGTGGGGGTCTGAGACTTTTCCTGGGGGGCTTACAAACCACTGGTTTCAAACTCCACTCTTGGTGCTGTCCCCAAGGGCATGGATGTCATGTTCACCTGTGCATTGAGCACAGTAGCAGGTGGTAGACGTTCAGAAGTGGTCTCCCCTGGGCAGTTGTACAGGGGCATCTGCTGTTGCTCCCTCATCCAGGCCATGAGGAGGTAGAGAATGTTTGTGTCATAACCATCCCTCAGCTGGCGTATGTGGAGCTCTGTGGCCAGTATAGGTCCTATTTGGGATGGCTCAGCAGCCATTCTCTCTTACTTCAAGATGACTTGGAGAACTGTATTTTTTTTTGTATGGGTGTGGTGTTGGGGATGGAACCCAGAGCCTTGTGCATGCTAGGTAAGCACTCTGCTGCTGAGCTACTCCCCAGCCCCTACTTTACAGTTTTTTTTAATTTTGCTTTTGCTGGTTGACTGAAAATAGTTGTTCCCTTGTTAAATTTGGGTGGGTAGCTCTGTCAAGGGCCTCGACATTTTTGTGTATCGTATCATCTCATTTGCCTCTCCCACCATAATACTCTTTAGCTTCCCCGTTTTACAGATGAAGTGAGACCTATATTGAGACTTGCACAGGGTCTTGTAACAAACAAGTAAAAGTCACACTGAGCCTGTCTTCCTGAGCCTGGAGCTGCTTTCTCTCCAGGTCATATACACTGCCTGGTGGGGGAGACCTCATACACAGTGAGTGCTCTAACAACTGAACAGTGTTGGTGGTAGCTTGAGTCCCTGAAGCTTACGGTTTGTGTTTGGTGCTTGTCCTCCCTCACTCCAGATTCTGCCTGATCAATGCAGGAGTCCTGTACCTCTACTTCAGCAACTACCTACAGATCGATGAGGAGGAATATGGCGGCACATGGGAGCTCACCAAAGAAGGGTTTATGACATCTTTTGCCTTGTTCATGGTATGTGTAGCTGGGAGTTTTATAGCAGGTTCTGTTCATTTTATGTCATCTCATCTCTCTGGGAGCCCACTAATTGACTTACACGATGTGGTTGGAGTGCCATTTTTCAAAAGGCTCCTGTGGTTGAATCCAGGTGCCCAAAAGATGTGCCCTGAGATACTATACAGTCTCCCTGCGATATGCAAATCCAGGGGTGATAGGCAAATCAGATGTCTTCTACGTCTGATTCTCAACGTGGCTATTAGAAAGTAGGGAACATTATTCATAGTGGCTAAAATGTACAGACTATCCAAATGGCCGTCACCTGGTGTGTGGATAAAGTGTGAAGCATACCCACACAGTACATTGTTATTTAGCCATAAGAAGATGTGCTGGTGGCTCACACCTGCCATCCTAACTATTCCAGAGGCATAGGCCAGGAGGATTGCCATTCAAAGCCAGCCAGAGTAAATACTTTGTCAGATCTTATCTCAAAAATACTTCACACAAAAAAGGGTTATGGAGTAGCTTAAGTGGTAGAGAGCCTGCCTAGCAGGCGTGAGGCCCTGAGTTCAAACCCCAATACTACCACCAAAAAAAAAAGATACAAGTTCTGATGCATACTGCAACATGGATGAATCTTGAAAACATTATGCTAAGTAGAATAATCCAGACACAAAAGACCACATAAATCTATTTACATGAAATAATCCAAAATAGGCTTTTTGAAGTGATATTTTGAGACCAGTTAGTGGCGATGTTTGCACAATTTTTGTGAACATATTAAAAGCCTAAATTGTATACTTTAAAAAAATGTAAACTTTAACAATGTGAAATTACATTTCAAAATTTGGGGGTTTTGTTTGTTTTGTTTTGGTGGAACTGGAGTTTGAACTCAGGCCTCACACTTGCTAAGGAGGTGATCTTATGCATCTCCACCAGCCCTTTTTTGTGATTTTTTGAGATTGGGTCTCACAAACTATTTTCCGAGGCTGCTTTCTAACTGCTATCCTCCTGATTTCCACCTCCTAAATAGCTAGGATTACAGGTGTGAGACATAGTACCCAGCCTCAAAGTTAGTTATTAAAAATTATACACATACACCTATGTGTCCAGACCCTAGCCCAAGCCAATCAAATCTCAGCAATGTGGCACAAGGGCATCTTTGTTTTTTGTTTTTTTTTTTTTTAAAAAAAAAAAAAAACACAATCCTAGGAGATTGCAGGAGGTTTGAGAACCTCTGCTTGGAAGGGAGCTGGCTAGGCATGCTGGTGCTTTCTTTTCACAACCTAACTCCTAACAGCAATACAGCTTCATTTCTATTGATTCTATGTCTATACCTCCCCTCCCTGGGGTTTGGGCTGCTGTTTGCTAAGGGGAGGGTGTGGGCAGGGGTCACTTGGCAAGCATGAGGTGGCAATCCTGGCCTCTGTTAGAGACAGCTTGATTTCATTGAGACAAAGTAGGCCTCCCAGCAGACTATGCACTGGATAGCCCCTGGGGAGTACTCTGTGTATGTATTATCTGTCATGTTTGTGCAGTGGAAGGCCTTTGTTGATCCAGGTGACCTATGAACGTTGCTTATCTCCCTCTAGGTCATTTGGATCATCTTCTACACTGCCATCCACTATGACTAATGGTGTACGGCTCCCACCTGCTTCCTGTCCAGTCTAAAGGACCTTCTTAGAGCACAGAAACATGATTGTTGAGGCATCCCTGCCACATGGAACCTGGAAGACCTGTGTTTCTTGGACCAAGAATCAATGTGTTGGGCGTCAGTGTTTTCTGCAAGGGTTGTGACCCGAAACTTTTTAAAGAACCATCTGCCTTTGGGGGAAGCATTTCTGGATTTGTCCATCACCAACCATTTCTTCACGAGACCATCATGTAACAGCCGTTTGCTGAGTGGCACTCTAATTAATTTGATGCACCTCTGGATCCGGATGAAACAAATTTTCTTCCTCAGTTCTCCATCAGGTGTACAGCTTTTAAACTATTGGTGGTATTTCAAGTTTTCTGAAAGCAGTATGGCAGTGTGTGCGTGGTCCATAGCACAGTACAAGCAGCATCTAATAACAGTTTTCATTGTAGAATGTTTTCAGATACTTGAATAAACAAGTCTTTAACTGAGAACCTGTTGATGATACCTGGCAAAGCCGAATTTCCATCCCCTGTTGCCTCAGAACCCAGTAGAAGTGCCAGGGGGGGTGCCTTCTACCCCCACCCTTTCTCTTTCTACTCCCTGTTTCCTTAGTGGCTTTAGCCAGGCCTTTCTTCTTATGGGCAGCAGGGAAATGGGGCTCGAGTTGGTATAGACTTTGGCCTTGGCCTTAGCATTGTGGGGGAAGGGCTTACTACCTTTCCAATACCCCTGTCCAGCATGGAGACAAGTGACTAGCCTACAGTGTATTAGGCTCAAAGGGCGTCATTTTGTATTTGGCCACAAGGTGGCAAAAACAGGGTGGTTGGGAGAGCTTGGTCAGGTCTAAATGAATGGTAAGCCACCAAATGAGGCAGATCTGGGAGCCAAGGCTGTCAAGAGAAGGGACTTGGGGACATTTGAGGACCTAGACTGCCAGCGGCCCTCCTTGCTCTGGGGTTCAAGTGCTGTGGTACGCCGTCAGCCACTCTGTCTTCACCCTCTGAATTGCACTGGTGTTCTGAGTGATACTTATGAATTTTCTGACGATGATTTTTTTTCCTCCTTGATGCTAGTAGTGGTTTCTACCCTGTAGTAGGGTGATGAGCAGCTGGGATGCATGCTGAGCTCAGCAGGCCGAGCCTGAAGCTAGTGCTGGAAGTCTAACTCAGGAATGAACAGGGTCAGACCCCAGATATAGTTTATTCACTTGGGATCCCTGATCTTACTTTTAGTTGCCCTCACTTGGACTAGAGGTTGTAGGCAGGGAGGAGGTAAGTGACTTCTTAGCGCCAAAAAAGGAATTTGTAGAGGTTCCAAGTAGAACCCTGAACGCATCTGTATCTCGGCCCTCCCTCCCTGGGAGTACAGCTTTGCCTCTGGGTGCTCAGTCAGGTGGAGCTGAGTTGGGGTTCAAGGTGTCACAGCCTTGGTTCCCCTTTCGTCCTCTGCCTTTGGCCTTGGCATCGTTTAAGGAGACGTCCTCAGTCAGACTGATGTAGGAGCTGAGGGACTCCCGGAGCCCCTCGCTGAGAAGAGATGCCTCTCCTGTGGCAGGTTCTTCCAGAAACACGGAGCTGTGGACAGGAGATGCTTGGTGAGGGAGCCCCTCCTCCCTGTGCTCCTTGTGCACTGCACTCCTGCTGATAAACTCAGGCTCCCCATTCCCTGTCAGATTAAACCCCATCTTGACCTCTCTACTCAGGATTCTGTGCCCCACACCTCAACCTTCCTCTCACCCTGGCTGCGTTGGAGTCCGTGCCTGACAAATCCCCTGCACTCAACATTGCCACAGAGCCTGGGCCGAGCTCCAGGGACTGTCAGAGCTTTTGGTTCCCAGGTGTCCCTGAGCACGACAGGCCCATTCTGGGTCACAGGTTTTCAGGCAGGTCCTTCAACTCCTTTCAGTCCCCTCACCTGTCCAGTTGATTCCAATTGAGCGCTGTCATCTGCACAGTCACAGGTGGGGGTATATCCTTGCCAGGGAGTGGGCCAGCCCTCTGTAGGGCACAAGGCTCCTTGAGGAGGCAACAGATACCATCTGCCAACTCTGAGGAAGATACACAGAACCTTATCATTGCTGACACCTGCCCTGCTTCTTCCCAGCCTCTCCACCCTGGCAGCTTTCAACACTTGGCAGGTAGATGTGTGGTCATCAAAGGGTAGTAGGACATGAGTCCCAAGCTGTAGGTCTCACATAGGCTGAGAGGCAGTAAAGGTCATTTGGGGAGACTTAGCTCATGGTATGACTTTGGGGAAGGTGATAGACTTCTTTGAGTTTGGTTTCTGACTAGGAAAGTATTCTGGGGAGAAGAGGAAACTGGAACATTCAGTCTCTACCTGGAGCCCTGTCAAGAGTCTACTGCATGGAACAGCCCTGCAGAAACCCCTGGTCACATTTCCCTTCTGTCCCTGACCTCGTGCCTTGACTATGGGACAGGTGCCAGCTCAGCCAAATCCCTGTGCAGAGAACTCTGCCAGCTGCTGGGGGCTTTGCTTCAGAACTATGGTGCTGGGTGAAGTGCTGGCTGAGTTCACAGGTGGTCTATAGCTTCTGTCAGCATGGGACAAGGACTGCAGGAAGAAGGATAGAGGAGAGGCTCCTTTTCTGTCTGGATATTCTCCAGGTCAAGTGTCTAAGCACAACTGTTTACACTCCTGATCCCTCGTCCAGTCTATTATGCAGGCACAAAGAGGTCATACCTGAGTAATGGTCCACCAGGGCCTGGAGTGAGGGGAAGGTGAGGCACGGTGAGATGTACAGCCAGCCATTGTCAAGGCGGTGGATCCTGTAGTGTCTGATCCGATCCCATGATGTGGGGCGGCTGAGTCGGACTGACAGTGAGTAACAGCCTGAGGAGAGAGCAGTCCAAAGGTGGTTCTGAGGCTCTGCTGGGACTCAGCCCCACCCTGGTTGGAGGAAGGAAGAAATAAGCAATGGCCACAGCCCAGGCTTCAGGGAGACAAATGCTTTTGTGGTCATAAACGGCAGACTCTGAATAGATAAGGTCTTGTTAGGGCGAGAGATCATCACGCAGCCTCAGGTCAGGTAGGCACAGGGCAAACGAGCTTTAAATGTTGGCTCTTAGTATAAAGAAGGTGGCAGAAGCATTAGAATGAAAATGTGCCAAGTAGATGTCAACAGAGATAGACAAACAGGAGCTCCTACCCTGCTGGTGGAAGGAGAAACTGTACCAGGTACTTTGGGAAAGTTTAGCTCATATAACCCAGTGAGGGATGGTACATACCTTAAAACCCAGCATGCCTTGACATAAGTGAGTAAGAATATTCACAGCACCATTGTTTGCAAATGGCCCATGGGTGCTCAGTGGTAGAATAAGGAGCTGGGGTGGAGCACAATGGTGGAGTGCACACCTAGCATGCATGAGGCCCTGGGTTCTATCCCCAGCAGCAGGTAGATTATAGAATGGAACACTGTAGCAGCAAACGATAACCGCTCTACACATAAGCATAAATTAAAGTAACAGGCAGAAGCAAGTTACACAGCATGTGTTCAGCATGATTAAATTTCAGAGCCCGCCAAGACTGCAGTGTGCTGCACAGGGGTGTTGTACAGCAAAGCTGTGGAGAAAAGCAATGGAGAGAGAGGAACAGTCAAGTGTGCAAGGGGCTTCGGAGGAATGGCTATGGAACAGTGTCAAGCTGGCCAGAGTACATGGATGTTAGCTTAATACTAGCTTTTTTTGTCACCCCCCTCCCCACCGACAGTATTGGAGTTTGAACTCGGCCTCATGCTTGCCCTTTTTTTAAAAAGAAAAATGTGCCAGGGATTGAACCAGGGCTCGGCACATGCTCCATCACTGAGCTATGTCCACAATCATTAGTTTCTTAAGCAAATGGGAAGAAGGTGCTGAGTGGAGTAATGGAAACCCACCATCACTGCCATCTCACGCCCTTGGCTATCTAGCTTTTCCATTCCAGTGTCCATGCTCTGTGAGATGGTAACAGTTATCCCCTCTACAGATGAGAAAACTGCAGCACAGAAGGCCTAAGGAAGAGGCAGTGACCCTGTTACTTAATCTCCCCATGGAATACCAACAAAGGCAAGAAAGTTTCCCAAACCAAAGGCACTGCTTGGCTTCAGGAAGTATTGGCTTTAGGGCAGAGGTCTAAACACTTCAACTAAAAGGCAGGAATTGGAGGCATGGGGAGAAGCTCAGTGGTAGAGTGCTCACCTAGCACGTGCCATGCTCTGGGTTCCTTTCCCAGAGTGTCCAAAACACCAAAAATTTCAAACTGGTTTTATAAAGCAAAACCTAATGATGTGATATACACACTTGAAATATTAAAACAGCCTAAAACAAAAAGATATTCCATGCGAACAATCACAATTAGAATAGCTATATTAATATCTGACAAAATATATTTCATGATCAAGAATATTACCAGAGATAAAGAGGGACACATCAAAAAGACAGGAAAATGTTAAATCCACATATACTCATTACAGACACTCAAAATAAATGAAGTGAAACTGAAGAACTGGCCAGAGAAATTAGACATCCCTAATTCTAATGGGGAATTTCAACACTCCTCTCACAGGAATTGATAGACCAGAAAACCAATCAGGATTTAGAAGACTTGAACAATGGAAGCGACGAATTTGACTTCATTGACATAGCACCCTGCACCCAACAATACATTCTCTTCTAAGCAAACATGAAATGTTCAAGATAAACTGTAGTCTTTTTTTTTATAGTTTTAAAAACAAAAATATAAAAGGACTGAAATCATTGAAAGTATATTCTCTGTCCTCAACAGAAATAAATTTGAAAATTAATATCAAAAATATACTTGGGGGTGGGGGGAGGGGGGAGAAATGACCCAAACATTGTATGCACATATGAATAAATATATATATATATATACTTGGGGGTAAGCATGTTCAAAGTATGCTGTACACATGTATGGGATTATCACAATGAATCCCTTTGTATTATTAATGCATGCTAACTCAAAAATAATTTTTAAAAGATACTTGGTGGTCCAGGCATGGTGTTACAATCTGTAATCCCAGCTGTGTGGGAGGCAGAGATGGAAGGGTCTTAGTTCAAGGGGCAAAAAGTTAGACTCAACAAATAAGCTGGATGTGGTGATGCTCCTCTGTGGTCAAGCTATTCAGGACGCATAGGTAGGAGAATTTGTAGTCCCAGGTTGTTTAGCCTGGGCAAAAACACAAGACCTTATTTGAAAAACAAACTAAAGCAAAAAACAAAAACAAAAAAGGCTGGGAGTGTGGCTCAAGTGGTAGAGCACCAGACCCTGAGTTTAATCCACAGTATGACAAAAAATATATATATGTACTTGGACTGCTGGGGGAGTACATGCTTAGCCTGAATGAAGCCCTGGGTTCAGCTCCAAGCACTGAAAGAGGGAGAGAGACAGACAGACAGACAGACTTGGAAATAGCACAGATATCAAAAAGAAACTACTAGCAAAATTAGAGTATATTTCTTGTGGGTTTTTTTTTTTTTTTTTTTTGCAGTAGTGGGGTTTGAACTTAGGACATCATGCTTGATAGGAAGGTGCTTTACTGCTTTAGTCACACCTTCAGCCCTGGAAACTATTTCTAACTAAAATAATAAGCATGTGGCTGGAGATGTAGCCACTGGTAGAGCACTTGCCTAGTGTGACAGGCCCTGGGTTTGGTTCCCAGCACCACGGAAACAAACCAAAATCTACCACACTTTTAGATCAGTGCTTAAAGGCGCACATGTAGCTTTAGATGCTTACATCAGAAGAAAAAACTATTTAAGTTTCCACTTTAAGCTAGAAAGAGAAGAAATTTATGTAGAAGGAAGGAAATGAAATAAATGATACAAGAAATAGAAAGGAACTAATGAAACCAAATGTTGATACTTTGAGAAGAGCCTCAGCACTGGAGAAAAGCAGGTATGGCGGTGTTATTAATTATTACTGGAGATGGTCTGCTCATGTTTAAAAACCATATTGGTTTCCATCAAAGCAGCACAAACATTTCCTTGCTTAAACTTCCAATGAATTCTTTGGTTGTGTGATACCCCACTGTCTATGACCTCACATGTTTTAAAGATTTGGTTCCCAGTTTGTCATTATTGGGATGTAATAGAACCTTTAGGAGGAGAGGCTTAGCGGGAGCTCTTTCAGTCACTGGGGCATGCTCTGAACCACTTCTTCCTCTCTTCTGCTCCCCCAGCCACTTTCACTATAACTGGCCCCCAAAGCAGTGGAGCCAATCGATAATGGGCTGAATGAAAACTATAAATCTGCGATTAATAAAATTGATAATCCTCCAAAAAGACTGATCAAGGGAAAAAGAAGAACACATATTACTCTATCAAGAATGAAGAGGGTTGGATATGGTGGTGCACACCTGTAATCTTAGTGCTCAGGAGGCTGAGGCAGGAGGATCTCAAATTTGAGGTCAGCCTGAGCTGCATAGCAAGACCCTGTCTAAAAAAAAAAAAGAAAATGAGTGAAGAGGGATATCACTGCAGAACCCACATACATTAAAAGGGCAATATGGGTGAAATATGAGCAACTCTACACCTGTAAATCCCACAGGTGGATGAAGTGGTCAAATTCCTCAGCAGACACAGATGACCGAAACCGACACAAAGTAACCACCTCTTCCACGCTCTCCTCTCAAGCAAGGGTCCCTGTGATTATAATATTGGGTAGATCTGGATAACTCAAGGTAATGTCCCCACCTCAAAATCCTTCACTTGGGGCTGGGGGTATGGCTCAGTGGTAGAGTGCTTGCCTAGCACATGCAAAGTCCTGGGTTGAGTCATTAAAAAAATATTTTTTTGAGACAGGGTCTTGCTATGTAGCCCAGGCTAGCCTCAAACTTTTGATCCTTCCGCCTCAGCCTGTGCTAGGATTACAGGTGGGTACCACCATGTCTAGTGCTACAAATGCTTAATCTTATGTGTACTCTCTTTTGTAATATAAGGGAACATAGTCACAGGTTCTGAGGGGTTAGGACTTGGACATTTTGGTGTGGCCATTTTTCTGCCTACAATAGAAGGGTACCTCCTTTCAACCTGATACAGAGCATCTGTGAAAAACCTACGCCATGCCTAAAGGGAAAGATTGAATTTTTTCCTTTTTTGGGGGGGGAACAAAGCAATAACACCTCTACTCCGTGTTGTGCTAGAGGTCCTAGAAAGTGCAGCAGGAGAGTGAAAGGTATGGATGATTAGAAAACAAATGTAAATCTGTATTTGCAGAGAAGATGAATCTTCACAAACATCACTAGAACTGAAGAGAGAATTTAACAAGGTGACCCAAAGTCAATATATTTTGAGAAGTATGAAGTCTGTTTTTTCACTTGTTCTCTTTGTCTGATTCTGAGAGCCCCTTGAACTCTGTACCTTTAAGAAGACTCCCTTCTTGGGCTGGCAGAGTGGTTCAAGAGGTAGAGTGCCTGTTTTGCAAGCATGAAACTCTGAGTTCAAACTTCAGTCCCACCAAAAAAAAAAAAGTCTTTTCTTGAGCTGGTTTGTGACCGTGAAAATGTTCTGTGGTTGAGAAAAGGCTGAATATCTGAAAATAGGCTCTGGAGGCTAACCAACCAGCTAACTAGTGATCAAGACCACATATCTTTTCCGTGGTTCTTCAGCCACCTGGCTCTGGCCACTGTCACTGCAGTTATTAGAGGCAGAAAGGGAGCTACACTAAGGATCTAGCCAGGGGCTCAGAAGAGGCCAACTCTGCCAACCCCACTGTAAGGACAGCTTACCTGCCAAGGCCTCCTGCAACTGACCCTGATCTGACCCAGCTGCCTGGTGTACTGAAGTTCCTGCTGCATGCTCTAGCCAGTCCCAAAGAGCTACTGACCTCTCCCAGTTGCAGGACATCTGCTTTACAACTCAGACTGCCTGGGTCCCAGTCCCACACAGAGCCACTTTCTACTGTGCCCTGCTGTCTATGCTCACTAGCAGTGTTGCTGGGCACACCATCTGACCTCATGTGTCCATTTCCTCATCTGTAAGGTAGGTGACAATTGTCCTGATCGCTATGAGGATTTAGGTGGTGAGCAGGTGGAGCGTTGGCAAGGCTGGCATGTAGCCATTACCAGGCCTCTGGTCCTTCGCTCGTGCCATTTGTTTCATGGTAGTATTCTTCCATCGGCAAATCGCACACCTTCCTTCTAAGGACAACTCCTTCTAGAACAATCTTCCCTGCCTGGGAGAAACCTCAGTGCTGGGCTTGCCAGACATCAGTGACCCACTTTGCTCTTGTTTGTCTCTCACCTACCCCCAAACCCAATCATGAGTCCTAGGGATGGCACTGATCTACCTCCTGCCGTCTGCCCATCTCTGTAGACAGTGCCACCTGCCATCCATCCATCCATCCATCCATCACTAAGCCCCAAACCCTGAAGTCCTCCCTGATTGCTTCCTCTCTTTGTCCTCCCAAAGCTCATGTAATTAAGGCTTGGTCCCCAATGTAGCAGTGTTCAGAGGTGAGGACTTTGGGAGGTAACTGGATCATGAAGGCTCTGAGCTGAGCAATGGATTAATCCATTTATGGATTCAGAGCTTAATAGGCTTTGGGAGAGGGTCTTTGTTATAAAAGTCACCCCCCCACACTGCTTTCTGCCTGCCATGAGGTGAGCTGCTTTCCTCCACTCCACCATGTACTTTCACCATGCTATGCCACTGTGTCACAGGCCTAAAAGCAGCTGTGCCAAGGGACCATGGACTGAAATCATCCCCTTTAAGTTGATTTCTCTCAGATATTTCGTCACAGTGACAGATGTGAGGTATAATGCATATACCTCACATCCAACCTGCCAGAAAGCCCTCTTGGCTACATCAGAGTGCATCCAGAGTCTGACCACGTCTCACCCACATGGAGCCAGTGACAACTTCCCACGTGACTTCATGCTTCCACCTTCCCACCTGCAATCCTCTCTGCAACAGTGGAGGGGTGAGACCATGTCACCCCTCTTTAGAACCCTCACTGTTACATTTAAAAGCAATCCAAAGTGCTCACCATTGAAGGGCTCTGCAGGGCCCCCCTTAGATCTGCCCCCGGCACCCTGGCCAGGCCTGAGATGCTGCTTCCCATGCATGTTCACTCACAGTCCTCCCCGCCCCATCCTGCTCTGTGGTCTCCTCCTGGCTCCTGCCACTGTGAACCCTTTATTTACTGCCCACCTTGACAACGGAACTGCGGCAGGGAGCTCACCTTTCCTACCGAGTCCCTGGGACTTAGAGGGGTGCCTGGTGCTCTTCTAATAAATGAATTCATTCTCTGATAAACCCTCAAACAGACATAACTCTAAGCAGTTTTAAGAAATGCTCATCAAGCCGGGCACTGGTGGCTCACACCTGTAATCCTAACTACTTGGGAGGCTGAGATCAGGAGGATGGCGTTGAAAACCGCATTACAAAAAAAGGGCTGATAGCGTGGCTCAAATGTGAAGCCCTGAGTTCAGACTCCAGTACCACCAAAAGCAAAGCCTTTTTTCAGGCAGCTGAAAGATGGTAGACATTCAGACGGAGCAAGCCTACCAAAAACAGCTGACCATCTTTCAAAACAAGAAGAGGGTCTTTCTGGGAAAAACTGGCAAGGGGATGCCAGTTTTATTGCTAGATAAGACAAGAACATCAGTCTGGGCTTTGAGATGCCCAAAGAGGCTGTCAAAGGCACCTACGTTGACAAGAAATGCCCCTTCACTGGTACCATCTCCCTCTGAGGGTGGATCCTGTCTAATGTGGTGACCAAGATGAAGATGCAGAGGACCACTGTCACCCGCTGGGATATCTGCACTATATCCACAAGTACAATTGCTTTGAAAAGTGCCACAAGAACATGTTGGTGCACTTGTCCCCTGCTTCGGGGACATCCAGATCGGCAGCGCTGTGGGCAAGTGCTGGCCCCTGAGCAAGACAGTGTGCGTCAACACGCTCAAGGTCACCAAGGTCACTGGCACCAAGAAGCAATTCCAGAAGTTCTGAGCCTGGAGGAAGCCTGCCTATTCCCAAAACGAAATAAACTTACTTCCCCATTTACTTACAAAGAGAAAAAAAAAAAAGCCCTCACCATCATTTGCATTCTTATTGCTGTCTGTGGCCACAGATGGTGTTGGATAGAAAAATAGCAAAGAGTAGAGCCCCCATAGCTGGGAGGGGTCCCAAGAGAGAGTTGCCCAGGACAGATTCTTGAAGACTTGTTAATCACTGCATCATTTGAAGCAAACACGATTTGCTAGCCCTGCTGGCCCTGGGTACAGAAGGCTTTCCTGGAACCTCTGGAAGGCAGAGTGCTGTAGTACACATGGACCCAGCTGCTTGACCATGGTTCTCCCCAGTCCTAGAACACGACCAGGTAAACCAGAGGGACTCTGGAAAGATGGGGCCCTCTTCCCACCCAAGCCTGCTTCTTGGGAGCTCAGGGCCCAGGCCTTACTCCTTGGTCCACACAGGCTCAACACCCCTGCAGGATATCATTTCCAGAGCTGCTGCCAGACTACCAGGCCCAAGAAAGTGGACTAGTTATCAGTCAGTCAACGGTTAATGTCGTGCATAATGTAAGCCTCTCCCTCTCTCTGTGCTGGGGACTGAACCCACGGCCTCCCACATGCTATGCAGGTGCTCTAGCATTGAGCCACACTCCAGCCTGACATTGTCTCCTTACTACTTTATTCTAGGTTCCCTAGATTAAAACTGTATTTTCAAATTTAAAAGAACAGAAGATCCACCTAGAGAGCTTGTAAAGGAAGCAGATTTCTGTCCTTTGGCCTCTCTCACCTGATCAGTAAGGTCTGTGGTGGGGCCCAAGAGCTAGCACCGTTGCAAGGTCCAAGCAGCCCAGTGATACTTGTGCACTCAGATCTGGGCCCCAACATTCTGTGATGTCATCAGGGACGATAGAACTTTGGTGTTAAACATTTTTTGACCACAAACCACAGAACAAAACTTTACGCTGTGACCCAGGACACGCTTAGTTATAAATATCTGAAGAGTTTCTTGCATGAGCGTTTGCCTGACCCCAGGTGTGCAGTGTTTCTGCTCAACTCACTATACAAACTACTGTCAGTGGGTCTCCACCCTGGTTGCACAGCAGAGTCACCTGGGGGAGTTGTCTCAGATTCCAGAGCCCAGGACACATTCCTGACGATTCCATCAGAAACTCTGCAGGTGGGGTGCAGGCATCCAGAAGATCTAAAGCTCCCCCAGGTGACTGTAACAGGCAGCCAAGGTCTCAAGCAGCACTTCTCAAAGTGAGGCAGGCGCCCAGGCAGCAGTGGAAGGGCAAGTTCACAGGCCCCGCCCATTCTACTGCTAGAGGACAGGGGAGGTAGGGGAGCATTCTGTGCTCAGCAGTCATACAGGTGATTCTACCGCACCCCCACATTGAGACCAACAGGTCGAGGACTGCTGAACTAAACTGATCTCTTGACCTACTCTTGGGTATAACCTGCAGCATAACAAGCTAGTCCCAAAAGGACCCTGGGGAGAGATCACAGTGGTGCAGTCTTCCCTTTGTGATGACAGCTGTATACAGACCCATCCCCTTTTGGTGTTGGTTATGGGGACCTTAATCCCAGCAATATGTGGATCCTTCCTTATGGCCCTGAAAGATGTTTACGTATCCCTACTGGCTTTCTTCATTATCTCCAGCCAGTTTCCCTTGTATCTGTGCTTGCTTGGGAAAGGGGTAGCAGAGTCTAGGGCTGGTCGCTAGACTCTTGGGCTGATGAGGCAGCTGAGCACCAAGCACTTCCTGTGGCTTCTTCCAGCTCACCAGGTCTTCTACAGGGCCCCTGTCCCAGTCAGCACCAGGGCTGTGGTTTCCTGTTTGTAGCTACTGCACTGGGACCTGTTCCCCCACTCCAGTCAGCCTGTAGGGTGAGGGTGCCAATGCTAACTGGAAATTGCAGGAGGGGCCAGGGTGGGGTCTTTCAGTCTCAGGGGGAGACTGAGCTAGAGAACTAAGGGCACAGGAGGTCTGCCCTCACTCCTGGGTACCTCCTCCCTAGGCTATCACTTGCAATTCCCACAGTATTGGCCCCTGAGGTCAATAATGAAATGAACACTGCTGATCAGAGTAAGTCCCAGTTGCCAAAGTGTTGGCTAATCCTGTCCTCCTCAGGCGTCTCTCCTGAGGCTGCCCTCTCTGGGCATGGGGTCTGAGTTTACCCACCTCTTCTGGTCTGGCTCTCCCGGACGAGAAATGCCCCTCCGGAGTTGCCAGGCAACAACAGCAGTTCCTCAGCTTTCTCCCGGCTCAGGCCCTCATACAGCCACCTGGAAAAGGAAGGGAGAGGGACAGGGGTCAGCCTGGGGTTAGCCTGAGATTAGCCTGGGGGTGGGGTGGGCCAAGACTTTACTTGAATCCCTCCACCCCTCTTCCTGACCTTGATAAGACCTGTCCTTCCTTGCTTTCTGGGCCTCAAAGTTCTCTCTGTACCATGAAGAGTAGGCCTCAGGCTCAGAGGTCCCATCCTGCTTTGTTCTCCTGACCCTGGCTTCAGGGGCTTTAGGGGACAGCCTCAGCTTTTTTTTTTTTTTTTTTTTGCTTGGAGAACTTATTCCTGGGTGGTCTGGGAGGGTTGCTTGAAGTGGTCCAGTCCCCTAGCACTTCTATGAATCCACTCACCTTCTGAAGCCTTTACCTCTCCAAGAACTGCCCCACCCCATTTTCTTACCTCAAGATGTTTACACAGACTGTGCCCATCTCCTACATGTCCCCTTCAGCATTTGCCACCTCTAGATCCTGGCCACCATCTAATGCCCGACGATGACACCTCCTCTTTAGACCTTCTCCAGCTCCCCCTGGGCACCCATCTCACAGCTAACCATGCTAGAATTGGCTGTTGTCTGCTCCTCAGGACAGCAGGACCTGAGCCTTCCTTTCCTTATTCCCCAGCTTTGCTTAGTATGGGACACAAACAAAACAAAAACTCTCCTGGGAGAGACAGCAGGAGGGTCCCTGAACGTGGGCCTGGGGCATGTACTCACCCATGGGAGACTTTGGCCACGTTCCCACTTGGGATGTTATACTCTCTGCCTGAGACTTCTGACAGCACCATCCACCAGTCTCCATCCCTGGGGAGAGAAGGCCAAGGGCCCCACCCTTCAGAAGTGCCAAGGCCCTGGGAACTACTGGATCCTGCAGTTTCCTGTTCACATATTTCCCGGGTTTCCTTGTGCCAGCCAATCTAGGACCTATTCAGGCCAGGGCCATGCACATGACAGATGGCATGATCCAAGGCTCCCTTTTACCAGGCCCTTGGCCCCTTGCCTCTCTCTGTAGGTGTGTCAAGCTATATGAAACTCACCATAGGGTCAGGGTCAGGGTCATGTGTGAGTGCTTCAAAAAAGGCCTGTCATTTCCTGCTGGTAGGGAAAGGACCCCTTCTCCCATTTGTGCATCTTCAGGAGCCCAGTGCCCATGGACTTACTCAGACACGATGGTCAGTGGCTCCCCCAGTCTCAGAGACAGCTCAGCCTGCCCGCCTGATGGGAAACTGCCCAGTGCCACGGCTGTGACCTTGCTCCTCTCTGGATGGAGGGACAGAGATAGTCACTCTCTTGGGCACTCTTCCCTTCAGATGTGAGGTCCAAAGCAGTCTGGCCTGGGCCTGGCCCAGATTTGCCCTTCCACAGATGCACTGCAGACAGGCTACCCTGGAACCTGAAGTCTGTCTAGCAGGCTCTGTAGGTCCCAGGGGAGCCAGACAGCTCTCGGGATCCCCAAGGAGGGCTGAAGCTCATGTGGCAAGAGGAATGGGGCTCCTGGCTATGATCCCCTCTTATGTACAGTTCTTTACAGGGATTTCCATGAGAAGATTCTGTGCTCAGAAACAAACCCAACAGCCCTGGGGCTCCAGTGGTGGAGCACTTGCCTAGTGTTGCAAGACCTTGGGTTCAAACCACAGTACCACAAAGCAAACAAACAAAAACAAACCTACAGCTAGCTCTAAGCTGGTATGTTTGTGGCCCTCTCAGCTTCTGTGAGGTACTGGTGGATGACGAGTGGGCTCATAGGCTCTTGGGCTGGGGAAGGAACTCAGGAAAGGTTTGCTGTGGGCCTGGGTCCACAGTGATGAGTGGCACTAGGGTAGACGTGGACAAGTACCAGCGCTGAGCATGCACTGTTGAAAGACAGGATAGCAGGCTCCAGAGGCTGAGGGTGATGTTCCTTTCCTGTCACACCCCTCATTCCTGGCCTGGCTTCTAGTGGAGCCAAGTCCAGCCTGCTGGAGGGGCTGTGAGATCAAGGACATGAATGGCTTTGTAACTCTAGAGGTGGAAAGTGGCTTTCCTGCAGCTTCTGTCCAAGGCAGCCAAGAAGAGGTGCCACCCCAGGCCCTGTTTCTGGCCCAGAGTGGATGCCCCAGTGATGTGTGTGGCACAGTCAAGGTCCAGGCTTCCACCTTGCCATGGCACCTGTGTGTCAGACCCTGCTGGGTCTCCATGCCTCATCTTACTCAGCCCTTACTGCTGCCCCAAGGTGGTCTTCCCTGGGCATCTACACTGTGTAGTGAGTCTCAAGACTCTGATGAGCGAGGCTGTCACAGGAAGTGAGTGACAAATTCCACTCCATACCACCCTGTCTTATAGGCTCAGGATGGAGGGCCAGGGCTGAGCAGCAGCAGCCCCTCTCTGGAAGTGCTCCGACTCTGGGAGACTGAGTCAGATGGGGGAAGGACTAGCCTGGGTCACAGAGCCAGAGAGAGACTAAGGCCCCAGCCACACCAGGAATAGTCCTGAGATTAGGTCAAGGGCAAACACAACAAGGGGATTGGACTTTGAGCACATGATAAAAGCGAGAGCACACAAGGGAGGGCTGAGGATAGGTAAGACGCCTAAAAAACTAGCTAGCATTTGTTGCCCTTAATGCAGAGAAACTAAAGCAGATACCTTAAAGCAACTGAGGCCAATAGGAAAAGGGGACAGGAACTAGAGAAAAGGTTAGATCAAAAAGAATTAACCTAGAAGGTAACACCCACGCACAGGAAATCAATGTGAGTCAATGCCCTGTATAGCTATCCTTATCTCAACCAGCAAAACCCCTTGTTCCTTCCTATTATTGCTTATACTCTCTCTACAACAAAATTAGAGATAAGGGCAAAATAGTTTCTGCTGGGTATTGGGGGGGGGAGAGGGAGGGGGTGGAGTGGGTGGTAAGGGAGGGGGTGGGGGCAGGGGGGAGAAATGAACCAAGCCTTGTATGCACATATGAATAATAAAAGAAAAATGAAAAAAAAAAAAAAAAGGAATAGTCCTGAGGACATGGTGGCCAGTTTTGAGGCTGGGCATCAGGCGCCTAGCAGCTCTCTCAGCACAGGACTCACACCCTGCTCCCACCAGGGCTCAGCCTGCCCACTCTAACAAAGTCCTCCCTCTGCCTGCCGTGCTTTAGGGACCTGCAAAGCCAGCCTGCAATGACTGCTGAACGCCACATCATGTCCCCAGCCTCCTTTCCGTTCTCCCTTGTCCTTTCTCAGAGAGACTTGCAAGGACATGGATGCATAAGCTGAGAAGCAGTCAAGATCAACAAGAAAGGTCCATCTGTCTCTTAGGAGCTTCTGAAGGAGCCTAGAGGACTCCCTGACACCTCTAGATGGAGCTGAGACTCCAGGAGTGGGGGAGGGGAAAGCAGACAGGGCAGGCAAGAACCCAGAGGCTGGGTGGGGCTGAGGATCTCTGCTGTGGTGGACATGGGCAGAGTGAGGTTGATTCTGGTAATGAACTCGTTCCCACACATCCTCAGACATGCTCAAAGCCCAGGTTCTCTCCTTGACACCCTCTTTGCACACAAGGGCTGGCCCAAAAATGGTGGAGAGAAGTGCCGGATGGTTCAGTAACCAAGCAAACTTGTGGCGCTCACTCTCTAAGGAATATGGGACAAAGAGGCCTGAAAGAGCCCAGTCCCCTCCTGGAAGCCTTGGCCTTGCACCCCTAGGGGCGAGACCCTCTGAATGGTACCCACTCAGTCTGGCATCTCACTCACCTTTACCTCCTCAGAAAGATGCCCTGACTCTCCCCTCTGCATTCTCTCAGTCCCTTTATCACACTGTCACCAAACCTAACACAACAAGCACTCATTATTGGATTAGCTCCTATCTCTGTCCTCAAAGGCAGGGACTGAGCCTGTATTGCCCATTGCTGTGTCCCCAGGTCCTGTCACGTGGCCTGACACATGGCAGAGTATCCCCAGGCTTCAGATGGCAGCAAGGCTGATGGACTGACAGCTCCTGAAAGGAGTCCAAATTGCACACTCCTGCTAAGACAGGGCAGAGTCATCAAGATGCCTCTCTTTCCTGGAGACCAGGGGGAAGGGGGAGAAAAGCCCCTTTTGGCCTCTGTATACCTGCCAGGAGAAGTCACTATCCTCAGCCACCCTAGGCATGACTCACAACAGCCTAGAGACAGTCTGTGGCTAGATTCGCAGGAAACTAGGTAGAGGCTTGTGTGGTTTCCAGATCTGTTCTGAGGGGCCCAGAGTGTAAAGGCCGGTGGGGCCTATGGTGGCTGGTATTAGGGAGATAGGGTCTAGGGTGGAGAAGAGGGAGTTTTGAGGGACAATTCCTGTCAAAACACACACATTCAGACAACATACTCTGTCTCTAGTGTCATTTAGTTGTGTTTGTCTTCCTCCTAAAAGTGCTGCTGGGTTTGGAGTGATGTTGTCTGTGACAGTTAATCCTCTGAATTATTTGATTCAGCCAGAGTACCCAGAAAACATTTGGTCGAACACCAGATCTGTTGGCACACACCTGTAATCTCAGCAATCAGGAGGCAGGGGAAGAAGGAGGCTAGCCTGGGCTACAAGGTTAGACCCTATCTTAAAATGACAACAAAAAACAGTCACAGTCTAGATGTTGCTGTGAAAATGAAATTTTTTAGATGAGATTAATAACATTTTTTTAAAATGAGTAGTCTTTATGTAGTCTAAGTTGGCCTGGAAATATCTACATTGGCCAGGATGGCATCCAACTCCAGATTTCCTGCCTCAGCCTCCTTTTTTTTTTTTTGGTATTGAGGTTGAATTTAGGGCCTACACCTTTAGCCATTCCACCTGCCCTTTTTTGTGATGGGTTTTTTGAGTAGGGTCTCACAAACTATTTACCCTAGCTGGCCTCAAACTAAGATTCTCCTGATCTCTGCCTCCCAAGTAGCTAGGATTATAGGTGTGAGCCACCGGCACCTGTCAACCTGTCATGCATCAGTCTCTTGAGTCCTGGGATTACAGGTGTACACCACCATCCTGACATGCAGGCATTCATTCACTCATTCATTCATGGTGCTAGAAATGAAGCAAAGGACCTGGGCATAATAAGCTGGTGCTTAACCACTGACAAACACCCCAACCTTCATATTCTCATATTTTCCTTTTGGTTTAATTTTTTTGCTGCTACTTAAGCTCCATGGGAGCAGGGAGGCTGCCTTTCTGGCTCACTGGAAAGGGCCTGGTATTCGGTAGACATTCATTGATGAATTGGGCTTTGCTGGTCAGTAGCCTCAGAGGTGGTAAAGTCAGGGCCCGTGCAACCTCCTGGAGCTTGGGAAGGGCCTGGCTCCCTTCATTTGCCCTCCCACAGGCCCCATAGCCTACCTGCTTGTGTGGCCAGAGGTCCCTGGTGTCTGACAGAGAGACTCAAGGTGGGGCTTGGCAGGGTTTTCTCTCTGCTGGGCAGACTTCCCATCGTCCCTCAGCAGACTCTCAAAGTACACCACTGGGAGAAATCTGAAAGAGAGGCTGCCATGGGAACAGAACCCATGGCTCCTAGCCTGGCCGCAGACCCCCAGCCCTCCCCAGCTGGGCCCTGATGATCTGTTCACAGACACGGGAATGACCCTCTCCAGTCAGGACCAAGCCCCAGCCCTTCCTCCAAGCTGCGACTCCCAAACACTGAATGCTGTTCCCTGCCCAGCCCATCACCCTCTGCCACGGCCTTGCCCATTCTCTGTGTCTGGGTCTGGGTTCCCTCCATTCCTCCCCCTTGGCCTGTCTGGATCCCACATTTCTCAGGAAGCTTCTATGGAATCTTCTGCCTTTACTGATCTTCACTCGAACTCCTACTACCCACTTGCAATTGTTTTTCTCACCTAGGCTCACATTCTGCCACTGGGGGGCAGGGGAAAATGGCAGGATGGTAAGTTCACTCCAGCCATGCCAGGAGCCAAGTTCAGGGACAGAGGAGGGGCTTGAACTGGAGTCACAGTAAGCAGAGGTGACACTGACACACTGTTCTTGGTGTCCCAGGGCAGATTGAGAAATCATGTAGGAGTCTGCCTACATGACATGGAGTGACTTGCAAGGCTCTGGGGGACTGTGGTGCACTTCCCCCCTCACTGCACTGTTCCCGGTCTGAAAAATGGGGGTAAAGACTCCCAGCAATTGGTCTGAGAGATAATGCCCTGAAAAGCCTGCCAGGGTCGTTTCCTTCTTCTTGTCCTGACCTTACTTCTCAGGCTCTTCCTGGAGGCCTCTTTCTCACTCGAACCATTTTAATTATACATTCATTTATTAAGCTGTTTGTTTTGTTTTGTTTAGATGGAGTCTTATTATGTTGCCCAGGTGGGCCTCGAGCTCCTAGGCTCAAGTGATCCTCTTTCCTAAGCTTCCTGAGTAGCTGGGATTGTGGAAGGTCCTGGTCACCACTAAAGCTCCAGCATTTGTTTAATCTGTCATTATCCTGTGGATCCCAGCCCCTCTCTCAGCATTTACTGAGACCCCACAGAAGGTTGTGAGCACATTACTAGGGTGAACAAAGATTTTGATAATTAGTAGGGTGAGCAAAGGAGATGTTTTAGGTCTGTGCATGTTTTAGGTCTTGTCCTTAGAACAAGAGTTCCCAGGTTTTAGAGGAAGGCTGATTTTTCCAACACTACATGAAAGTGTTGGGGAGCAAGGGGGCTGAATTCTCCCTTTCTTTCCAGATGGTCCCATTCTTTTCATCAGAGACAAGGTATAATTACACCTGTCCTGCTCAGGGCCAGACACCTGCCAAGGGCTGGGGGTTGGGATGTGGCGCTCATAGGATGGCACCCATGGTGGCTCCTCCCTTGCCTTGAGCCGCACAATACCCAGATGAGGACAATGTCTATCATTCCCATGGGAAGACTTCTATGGACTCCTGGGCAGTGAAGATCTGGCTCTGCAGAACAGAAGACTCTTTTCTGGGCCAGACCCCCGTCCTCGGTATTCTCAGCCCCACATCCTCGATGGGATCCCAGCACCTGTCTGAGGCTGCCCTGCATGGGGAGCTCAGTGTTCACAGTCACAGAGCTCCGCCACACCAAATGGGCCCATCCCTGGCAAATGGCCCTGACAGCCATTTCCAGATGAGACTTGTGGGATCCTGCAGCTTTGGTGTGTGAGGTGGCAATGCCACCGCCTGAGGGTTTGTACCTCATTGCCAGAGCACCAGCAGTTCAGCTGGTACCTAGTCACACTGCACCTGGCCTTGTCTTGTCCTTTGTGTACAGGCCTATGGCTAAGTGCTGGTGTTTCTACCCACCTTGGGTAGCGTGGGTGATTAACTCAGACCTACTGGTCCCCAGCTATGTGGGGGAAGACTGCAGCTCTCTCTCTAGGAGGCAGGTAGAGGGGAGAGGTGGCTGGGTTCTCTGGGACCTCAGAGGCCACCTCTGTCAGTATGACCACTGCTCTCCTGGATCCCTGGTTCCTCACTAAAAAAGGCCACTCCCAGTCTCCAAGGGAACCATTCTTCCTCCCCGTCCCAAATTGGCAGAAAACAGAGCAAGTATACTCACTGGTTTCTTACCATCAGAGGACTGGGGAGTGAGCCCAGCTAGTTTGCATGCTTTGGCCCAAAAGGGTAGGGTCTGGAAGTCCTTCTGCATGCCAGTCAACAGCCTTGTTCTTAGGATAACCAGAACTCTCGGCTTGGGAGGATCTTCAGAGGCTCCTGGTTTTGAGCTGGGTAGCTCAGCCTCTAGTTCAGCAGTGTGGACACTGGGATGGGCCAGGAGCTCTGCTTCTCAGGGACCCCAGCCCAGTCAGTCTTTTCTAATATAACCGGGTCAGGGTTCTGAGCTGTATTTAGAGGCAAAAGTGCAGATCCTCTGACCTCCAGCTCTTATGTGAAGACTCTGTGGTTCTCACAACCCCCATTTCCTCTGACGGCATCGTGCACCATGGAGGAGCACCTTGTCAGAGTTCCTGTTTCTGGGGGAGCAGCTTCTCCTCAACCTGCTCCTAGAGCAGGAGCTTCTACCTGGCCTTGTGACTTGGTGTGTCCACGGGAGAGAGGCCTTAACATAGGACCGAACTTAATTTTAGCGATTTCTGAGATCCTCTCACACCTTCTGAATCCAGGGATTCAGCAGGGACGCATAGGAATCTAAACCTTATGCCCTCTGAGAGACTCCTTTGCCAAAGCTGGGAAACTCCGCCTTTTCCCTCTTTAATTTTATGGGGATCACTTGGGGATTTTGTTCAACTACAGATTGTGACTCAGGTCTGGCACAGGGTTCAAGACTGCTCTTCTAGCAAGCTCCAAGGCAATGTCCATGTTTCTGGTTTGGGAACTTCATTTTGAATATCCAATTTTGGGGGCTAGGGTACAGTTCAGTGGTACAGTGTGTGCCTAACATGCTTAAGGCTCCAGGTTCGATCCCAAGCACCAAACAATTCTGGACAGTGGTTCTTCAAGTGAGGGCCCTAGACCTGCAGCCTCAGCATAACCTGGAAATTAGTTAGACATGCAAATCCTCAGGTCCCATCTCACATCCTCTGAATCAGAAACACTGGGGAAAGGCTGGCACCTGTTCTCACACACACGCTGTGTGATTGACATATGGCCAAGCTAGAGAATCCCTGGTGCAGGACACAGAATCTGACAGAGCTGTCTTGACTATAGTGCACTAAAACCTAACATGCCCACCTGCTGCCTCCTCCTTGGGTATTTGGTATTCCTGGAGACAGCTGGCCTTGAACTCAAAATGGCCCATTGTGCTGACACTCCCAAATCCAGCTCAGGCTCACAGCTGTTCTTGTTCCTTGCCAGCTGGCACTTGCTCCTGCTCAGGCTCTCCATGCAGTACTGGTCTCCTGATCCTCCTTTGCTCTGGGAAAGGCTGGTTTGATATGTAACTCTGCAGGCCCTTGGCAGAGCTGAAGGAGTGACAGTGGAGACATATCCTCTGTAAGGAAGTTTTAAAAAAAATTTTTAAGCCGGGTGAGGGTGGCTCATGTTTATAATCCTAGTTACTCAGGAGGCTACTCAGAGATCAGGAGAATCACAGTTCTAGGCCAGCCTGGGCAAATAAGTTGCCAAACCTGATCTTGAAAATACCCAACACAGAACAGGTCTGGTGGAGTGGTTCAAGTGGTAGAGCACCTGTCTAGCAAAAACCCCAGTATTGACAAAAAATATATATATATTTTAAATCAGGTTGAGCATGGGCCTAAGGTTCTAAGACCACCTCATTTCCATCTTCTCATGTGAGTGGCAGACTTTCAAGGCTGGTCTTCAAGCGAGGCCAATGAACGAAGTAGGAATTGATCATAACCATCTTTGTTCTCCTCTTAAAAGATCCCACCATAGGGGCTGGGACTGTAGCTAAGTGGCACAGCATGTGTTTAGTATGCTTGAGTTCTTGGGTTCAATCCCCAGCGAGAGAGAAATGAAGGAAGGGAAAGAGAAAGAATCTAGTTGTAGCTGGAGAGGCACCTAAGACCTAGAAAGCTTAAAATCCTCCATCTGCCACAACGATTTAAGAAATATGCATTTGGTTTTCCTCCCTGGCTTCTGGCTGGACCTCCTAAAACCCTTGTAATTTTCTAACCAACAGGAGTGTTAGGGGCATATTTTGTTCTAATATTTGGTTTTTACATGGTTCCTCACACAGTCCTCCTAATCCTTTGGAATTTCCTGGATGATAGGAGTGTCTTTTGTTGTTGTAATGGGGCAACTCTTTTTTTGTGGGAAATTTGAACTCAGGGCTCTGGGCTTGCAAAGCAGGGGCTCTACCACTTGAATCATACCTCTACTTCATTTTACTATGGTTATTTTGGAGACTGAAGTCTCTCAAAGTACTTGCCCAGGCTGGCCTTGAACCTTAATCCTCCCTAATCTCAGCCTCCCAAATAACTAGGATTACAGGTGTTAGCCACCAGCACCCGGCCTTTTTTCTTTTTTTTTTGAGACAAGGTCTTGCCATGTAGCATAGGCTGGCCTTGAAGTAGCAATCCTGTTGATAAGGTTCCACCCATTGAGAGCCCATGAGTGGCTACCAGAAAGACCAAACCATGATTATGAGCTTGGAGCTTTCAGCACCATCACCATTCTCAGGAAAGGAAGATTTATTTCTGTCTGAGCTTACAGGTTCTGTGACCTTGGACAAGTATTTTATTATGGGGCTTCATTTGTTCCCTATAAATGGCAGTGTCACTGGGGTGATAAGTGATCACAGACATGAAAATGCATAGCCCAGACCAGCTACAGAAACTCAGTTCCTCCCATAGCCCAAGGAAGTGCTTGAGAGAAATAACACTAGCAATCAGGTAACAATGAGACATATACAGCTTTATTTAGTAATTTGTAAAAAGTCACTCTGACAGAGTGCATTCCTCATCTGAGCAGAAAGCAAACAATGTGTCTGAAAAGTCTTTCCAAGATTCAGAACTGTGAAACTCTGAGCTCAACATCTCCGTGCTCCCAAGAGCTGGGTCCTTGCTGTGTGGCAGCTGGCCTCCAGGTCCTTTTACCCTCCTCCCAGCCACTCCCCCTGCCTGCTGGGACTCTCTCACCTACAGCAGATGGGGCTGAAAACCATTTTGCCTGGATGGGGCTGCCTTGCACATTGGCCCCTTCCCTCTTACAAAGGGACTTCTCAGGATTCAAACTTTCTCAGAAATAGGTTCCATATCAATTTAATGTAGCTTCCACTAAGTTGGCTGAAATCAAGGCTAGACTGTTCAAGATGAGATTGTGTAATGGCTCTTCCTCTGCCCCCACTCATATCCTCACAGTAGATGTGATTTTTAGGTCATACCTCTCTCTGTCCTGGGACTCCCTTTTTTGAGAGCCATTCTCTGTCACAGACCTGGGAGGCACTTCCTGTATGTAAAGTGTAGACATCTGCTAAGTGGCATCCCATGTTAGAGCAGCAGCAGTTTTGCTCTGCAGAGCACAGCCAGACATGTTGTTTCCCACCTTCCTGGGCTAAGAGTGTGTACCAATTTGGCTTCTCCTTTGAAGAAAGAAAAGTCCTTGTATCAGAGCCTCATGGTTCATGGACTTCTAGTAGAATATAGCCCTCCCTTTTATTTATAGAACAGCATGTATGAATCCACATGGACAGAGGAGGTGGCTGCCACCCTGTCTACCTCTCTCTGTAACAGGCCACCACTCTTCATTACTGGTCACAGTCAATCAGTGGTCCAGAGAGTAATTATGGTTTCCCATATTCCTCAGAGCTGCTCTCTTCTGAAATCACTCTGCACTTCCTGTTTACCAACTGGAGCCAAAAGGCAATCTAGTGGCTGGCCCCAGCTAGACATCTGTTCTGCATGTTTCCCTTAAAAACACCATTGAGAATGCAAAAAAAAAAAAAAAAGAAAAGAAAAGAAAAAAGAAGCACTACAGCAAGCACATCTAAAATCACAGAACTAAGCACACACAAACAGACACACATGCTTGCACACACACAGAGTTGGGATAAAAGAATCTTATCAGATACATCGTTGGGCGAGCACAGGAAAGAACTGTCAAGAGAAGAGATGGAGCTCAGCTCAGTTAAAGATGTTGGAATGTTACCATAATGACATGGAAGTGGTTCTTGATACATACAAAAAGGGGTGTGCAGGCAGAGAATGATAAATCCAGGCTACTTGAGAGAGGGTCAGTGACCATGCATGAGTGAAGGACGGTGGAGGCCAGCTGACAGTATGAAATGTTCTATTATGGAGTGGTCATCTGAAGAAGGGGGGACTTGCATGGTCCAGGGAAGGAGCATCTGCTCAGCAGGACACCTCCATGGTCTGGTGTCTGTCCAGGGCATCAGGGGACTCACAGGATTCTTGAGTTCCATCTGACTGATTGCTGGTGACAGACCTGCTGAAGGGACTTTCTCTAGAGCCCATGCTACTCGAGGTTGAGTAGGCTTGTGATCGGGTGAGTCGGGTCACGCTGGCAGACGGTACTGTAACAAAGAACCAAGAGACTAGAATGAGAAGTCTGGTGAAGCTCAGTGATGTGGGAAGCATAAATAGGAGAAATGCAGTTCAGGCTGGTCTGGGAAAAAAATACAAGATGCCATCTCAAAAATAACCAAAGCTAAAAGCTTGACAGGGGTAGAGGGATATGGCTCAAATGGCAAAGTACCTGACTATCCATCACAAAGTCCTGAGTTCAAACCCAGTACCATCGCCAAAAAAAAAAAAAAGCCAAAAACAAACACAAACAAAAGATATAGATTGGCAGTTTGAATTAAAAGCCAAGATCTGACCAATTGTTGACTATACCAGATGCACCTAAGTGACAAAGACAAAAATAGACTTTGAGTGAAAGGATGGAAACTGAAAGCAAGCAGGAATATTTATAGTAATATCTGAAAAAAGATTTTAAACTGAAATCACTCAGAAGGGACTTGAAGGTCACTTCATTATGATAAAGAAACCAATCTATGAGAAGATATCAAATATAAACATAAATGCACAAACACAGGCACAGTCAAATTCAAAAAGAAAACACTACTGCACATAAAAACACAGATAGACCCTGGCACAATAAAAGTAGGTAGCTTCAATACCACACTATCACAAATAGATAGGTCATCCAGACCAAAAAAATCAATAAGGAAATTTCAGAACTAAACACCACTATAAATCAAATGGACTTAACTACATCTACAGAATATTCCACCCAGCAGCTACAGAATAAACACTCTTAGCAGCCCACAGTACTTTCTCCAAAATAGATCACATTATAGAACATAAATCAAGTCTTAACAAATATAAGAAAATTGAAACAATTTCCTGTATTTTATCAGTCCACAACAGAATAAAACTAGAAATCAATAACAAGAGAAACTACAGAAAATATCCAAACAATCCAAACACATGGAGACTAAATAATTCACTCTCTATTTATTTATTTTATTTTGTGATTGGAACATGAACTCAAGAGTTCTAGTGCTTGAATCACACCTCTGATTCATTTTCCTCTGTTTATTTTGAAGATGGGCTCTTGTGAACTATTTGCTCTGACTGGCCTTGAACCATGATCCTCCTGATGTCAGTCTCCCAAGTACATTATAGGTGAGATTACAGGCATGAATCACAATTGCCCAGCAAAAATTCACTCTTGAATGATCAGTGGGTCTTTAAAAAATGAGGAGCAATAAAAAAGTTCTTAGAATCAAACAGAAACAAAAATATAAGTTAGCAGAATCTTTGGGATATAGCAAAGGCAAGGTAAAAGAGGAAAACCTATTGGTCTGAGTGCCTTCATTAAAAAATCAGAGAAGCTGAGGTACCAGTGGCTCATGCCTGCAATCCTAGCTACTCAGGAGGCAGAGATCAGGAGGATCGCAGTTCAAAGCCAATTTAGGCACATAGTTCTGTGAAACCCTATCTCGAAAAAACCCTTCACAAAAAAAAAAATAAATAAATAAAGGCCCGGCAGAGTGGCTCAAGGTGAAGGCCCTGAGTTCAAGCCCCAGTACTGCTAAAAAAATAAATAAATAAAAATCAGAGAGATCCAAAATAAATAACATAATGATGCACCTCACACTGTTAGAAAATAAGAACAAGCCAAACCCAAAGTAGCAGAAAGAAAAAGATAATTGAGATCAGGGTATAAATAAATTAACTGGAGACTAAAAGAACAATACAAAGAATCAATGAAACAAAAAGGTGGTTCTTTGAAAAGATAAACATGATTGATAAACCTTTAGCCAAACTAACCAAAAGAAAGGGGAAAAGATCCAAATTAATAAAGTTAAAGAGGAGAGAGGAGACATCACAAATACCAATGAAATTCAGAGGATCATTAGGGAATACTTTGAAAACTTATATTCCAATAAACTGAAAAATCTAGAAGAAATGATAAGTTTCTAGATGCTTATGCCTACCTACCAAAATTTAACCAAGAGGCTATAAACCATATAAAGAAATCTATAACAAGTATAGAAATTGAAGCAGTAATAAAGAATCTCCCAACAAAGAAAAGCCCAGTACAGGATATAGTCATTGCTGAATTCTATCAGACCTTTAAAGAAAAACTAACGCCAATACTCCTCAAACTATTCACAAAGAGAGAAAGGAAGGAATGTACCAAGTCATTCTGTGAAGCCAGTATTATCTTGATACCAAAACTAGACAAAAAAGTAGAAAATTATAAACCAATTTCCTTGATAAACATAGATGCAAATATTCTCAATAAAATACTTGCAAATGGAATTTAACAACACATTAAAAAGATCATATACCATGATCAACTTAGTTTTATTCCAGAGAGGCAAGGACAGTTTAACATATGCAAACCAATAGATGTAATACAAAGCATAAGTAGAATCAAGGACAAAAATCTCATAATCATCTCAACAGATGCAGAAAAAGCCTTCGACAAAAATCAGCACCTCTTCATGATAAAAGTCCTGGAGAAGCTAGGAATAGAAGGAATGCACCTTAACGTAATAAAGGCTATATACAATAAAACTATAGCCAATATTGTACTAAATAGGGAAAAACTGAATCCATTCCCTCTAAAGTCAAGAACAAGTCAATACTGTTTACTCTCTCCGCTTTTATTCAACACACTGCTTGAATTCTTAGGCATAAGCATAGGCAAGACAAATAATAGGAATGCAAATCGGAAAGGAAGAAGTAAAATTATCTCTATTCATAGACGATATGATACTATACTTAAAGACCCCAAAGATGCCTGCAAAAAACTCTCAGATCTGATAAACACTTAGGCAAAGTAGCAGGATATAAAATCAACATACAAAAACCTACCAATAATGAACAGCTTGAGAGTCACTATAATTTTATTCACAACAGTCTCAAAAAATTAAATACCTAGGAATAAGCCTAACAAAGGAGGTGAAAAACCTCTATAATGAAATCTATAAAACCCTGAAGAAATTGAAGAAGACACTAGAAAATATCTATGTTCATGAATAAGCAGAATTAATATTGTGAAAATGGCTCTATGAATAAAAACAAACTACAGATTCAATGCAATCCCCATAAAAATTCCAAAGTCATTTTTCACAGGAATAGAAAAATCAGTCCTAAAATTCATATGGAAGCACAAATGACCCCAGATAGCCAAAGCAATCCTGAGTAAAAAGAGCAATGCTGCAGGTTTCACAGTACTTGACTTCCAGTTATACTACAGAGCCATAACAAAAATAACATAGTGCTGTCACAAAAACAGACACATAGACCAATGGAGTCAAATAGAAGATCCAGAAATAAGCCTACATATCTACAGTCATCTGATTTTCAACAAATGTGCCAAAAACATACACTGGAAAAATGATAGTCCCTTTAACAAATGGTGTTGGGAAAACTGGATCTGCATAAGTAGAAGACTGAAATTGGACCTTTATCTTCCACACTGTACAAAAATTATTTCAAAATGAGTCAAGATTGAAGCATAGGGGAAACTCATAAATATATAGGCATAGGTAATGCCCTTTTTTTTTTTATAGAACTCTATATGCTCAGGAAATAAGAACATTGACAAATGGGATTGTATCAAATTTTAAAACTTTTTCACAGCAAAAGAAAAAATTACCAGAACCAAGAGATAACTCACACAATAGAAGAAAATCTTTGCCAGCTATTCAACAGATAAAAGATTAATATCCTGAATATATAAAATGCCAAAAATTAAACACCAAAAGAATAAATAATCTAATTAAAATTAAGGTATTAATTGAACAGATAGTTCTCACAAGAAGAAGTAAAAATGGCATATATATATATGAATAGAACATCCTTAGTCATAAAGGGAATGCAAATCTCACCCCAGTCAGAATGGCTGTCATCAAGAAAACAACAACAAATGCTGGCGAGGATGCAGAGGGGAGGAGGAACCCTCACAACTGTTAGTGGGAATGTAAGTTAGTGCAGCCACGTTGTAAAGCAGTATGGAGGCTCCTCAAAAAACTCAACTAGAACTACTATATGATTTTGCCATAGCACTCCTGGCATATATCCAAGGAATGTAAGTCTGGGTACAAGAGAGATACCTATAGGCTCATGTTTATAGCAGCACTAATCACAATAGCCAAATGATGGAATTAGTCTAGTTGTTCATCAACTGACGAATCGATAAAGAAAATGTAGTATATATTCACAATGGAGTACGACTCAACAAAAGAATGAAATCATGCCATTTGTAAGAAAATGGATGTTTTCTTTCATGTTAAGTGAAATAAGCCATACTAAAAAAGACAAATATTGCATGTTCTTTACAAGAGTGTAAAAAAAGCAGACACTATTTAGGGGGTGGTAAAGCGTAGAAGGGGGGAGAGCATGAAAGGGGGATGAAAGGGGGATGAGTATGAACAAAGTACTTCATATACATGTATGAAAACAGAACAAAGATAGCCACAAAAATTGTTTAAAATGGGGAGAATTAGGAAAGGTAATAGAGGGGCTGTGAATTTGATAATAGTACATTATATGCACTGAGGACACTACCCTTTTCTTCTAGAGTCTCTGCTGTGTTTCTTAGACCAGGAGTTATGAAACAGCTGAGTTCAAATGCAAATCATAACCTCAGTGGCTAAAAATGTGGGCTCTGGAGTCCAAGGTTTCAATGATGGCTGTGCAGTCCAATTGTTGCCCTGGGAAATGTGCTTCCCTCTTTAAGCTTCAGTTTTCTCTCCAACAAAATTGGTCTAACAACACAGTTACCTCTTCAGTCAAGAAGATATGCTGCATGACACAGGTAAGTACTTAATGTTATCTTTTCCTAGACATATGTACAAAACATGTGCCACAAACACTGTGATTTTTTTCTTTAAGGCTGACTAGCACAGATGTTATGCCCTGAGATTCATGTCTTCCTAGATGTCAAACTGACCCCATTATCTAGAAATCTTTGCTAGGTAGAAAGTTGTATACTACTCACTGTAACCCATTCCCTGCAAAAAGTACTTGAAGGCTTCGGTGAGCTTCCCGGGCTAGGGGGACAAAATGAGAAGTATTAGTTTTTGCATAAGAGAGGGAGAAGTGCAGTGACACCCTTTAAATTATTATCATTAAAAACTCCTTACCTGAACTACTTGGGGCAACCCCCCGCAATCTGCCATCTACAAGAGCAAAAACATCTAGGTCAGCAGGTATTTCACTAAGGGAAATGCTTTGAACATCCCAAGACCTTCCAAAGGACACGGTTGAATTTTTGGTCCCTTAATGTTCAACTGCATGCAAGCTCACCTCTCCTCAAAGCATTCTATACAAAGACTCAGATACTAAAATCCTTGGATAGAAATCTGGAAGAATATTGTATTTACTCACCCACAAGATGCCTGGTCTGGCTTTTAGGCCCATGCAGGTTGCCCTGTGGAGATGGTGAGCTTAGCCAGTTCTTTCAAACCTGGTTTTGCTTTCCTGTGAAGCAGTTACTTTTAGAGCCTAACTACTTAGTGTTTCATGTTTCTAGGACTCCTTTCATCTTTGGGGAGTGGGGCAAGGAAAGGGGTTTGTAATGCTCCCATGATGGGCTTGAACTTGTGATCTTCCAGCTACAGCCTCCCAGGTAGCTGGGAATATGGGCATGCACCACCCCCACACCCCATGCCTTGCTTTCTAAGTCTCCTTTAAACTCTATATTGTCCTCCCTGTATGATAAATGGAGTCATCCAACCAGGAGTCAGGGTAAATCCCACCAATCTGCCTGGACAGACACTGACCTCTCTAGCTCCATCTGGTGGAGCTGATTTCACTTCTGAAGGTTTTACATTGGTTATTCCTAAGGCCTTTCCAGTGTGCACTGGAACTACCAGGTTAAACTCAGATTCTTGGGTTCTTGCCCCAGGGACTCTGAGTGAATAGGTCTGGGTAAGACGGAGATTCTGCTGTCTACAGAAAGTCCAGCTCCCAGCACAAGGGGCCAAAGACCCAGCCTCTTCCAGGTGCTGACTCTCACCTCAGAAGATCCTATTTAGCTGCCTGGCATTTTAAAAAAAGGCACATGAATCCCGTGGCTTCAATTCACCGGCATTAAAACGATCTTTGAAGGGGAACTTTATTTAAAATGGAAGAAGACCACAGACTTTTTTTTTTTTCCCCTTAGATACCAGGTTTTGCTAGGCAGGCGCTCTAGCACTTGAGCCACTCCACCAGCCCTTTTCTGTAATGGGTATTTTTGAAATAGGGTCTGGTGAAGTATTTGCCCAGGCTGGTTTCAAACAGGGATCCTCCTGATCTCTGCCTCCTGAATAGCTAGGATTACATGCATGAGTCACCATGCCCACCTTAGTACCAGAGTTTGAGGCTGACAAGCAACAGTGCTCTGAATTTCTAGTATAAGACAAGAAACAACATGTATTTAATCTAACCAACATAAAGTAGACCCAACTGCACAAGCTGCATTTTCATGAAGCATAGATGTTAAAAGCTGATCAGAACCGTAACATGGTTCCCATATGCAAATAGAGAATACTGCATTGCTAGGGATTGAACTCAAGGCCTTATTTGTACTAGGCAAGCAATCTATGACTAATCTATACTCCCACCCAAGGAGAAACTATTTCATACACTGATACCCATTTGAGAAACCGTGCAATCTGCCATAAGGAGCTTTCCCTCTGCTACAAGTTGTAGGTGGGCATGTGTACCCAGAAAGTTCCTTGCCTATGGCTGTTCTTGAGTTCAGTTTGTGCATTGGAACAATCTGACTCAAACCTGTGAGGAAAAATTAATTTGAAATCACAAACCTTTTATTCATGCTTTAGATAAGTCCAGCAATCATCTGGAGTCTACAAAACTTTGCGTTTGACTACTGCAGAAATCTAAGCCTATGATATAATTCTCCAACTATGGGTTGCTTCTGGTACGGAGCTTCCCTTCCGAGCGCACTTCATTGAGAAAGGGAAGAAAGCAGAGAAAGAGCTTGTAAACTGAATCCTAGAGCAGTAAGCAACAGAAGATCACCATTTGAATCTCTAATCGTCCAGGCAGGAGGTGAGCTCTCCGCTTCCTAAACATGCCAGCTGGACTTCGGCTGGAGCTCACTCTTATCACTCAGATAAGAGTGTTGCCTGTTATAAGGCCCCCAGGTTCCATCACTAGCACCACAAGAGAAGGAAGTGTTTCTTCCTTAAACATGCCAGCAAAGGCTCTGGGAAATGCTAGCTGAGACAATACTAGGTTGAATACTTGTCGGAGACAAGGCTCCCTTTGTGAGCCATTCTGTCTTGACCTTGCCCTGGAACATTTTGCGGTTGTTTGTCCCAACTTCTCCATCTCCAGCACAAGATGGCGCCGTCCCCGCTTCTCTTCCGGGAGTTTACCTTGCCGCCGGCGCGAACGGGCACCCTATCAGAAGTCCTATAGCAGAACCAGCCAACCAGCCTGCACCTCGTCATACCCCTCACTCCCTCAGCACATAAATACCCCTGTGTGAACAATGAAATTTTGCAGCTTGATCAGAACTCCTGTCTTGCTGTCTCCTTCGTGTCTCTTGTCCCTTCATTCTTCCCCTTCTAGGTTCGCTACCCACGCTGATGTGTCCTACAGGACGGGACAAATACTAGGAGACAATACTTTCATGTGTTGTCCCCCACATGAAACGGGACAATCTTGATACTAGTCCTAGTAATTTAGTACAAGAGTTACTGACTGCTTGACTTCAAAGAAAGATGTGTCTTCCACGATTACTAGAATATTCTTTATAGCCTCATTACCAGTACAGCAGGATTGCGCTTGTTAAAAATTTCCAATTGTTATCTCATTCTTTCAATAACAATGGATATTTCTATGAAGTTTTCTTTCTTATTATTTGTGTTTGATTTTTTTTTTCTTTCTAGCTTTTTGTCTTATTTTTTAGTGGTACTGGCGGTTGAACTCTGGCTTCACATTTTCTAGGCAGGCACTCTCACTACTTGAGTCATGGTGCCAGCTCCACTGCCCTTTTTGCTTTAGTTATTTGAGATAGGGACTGTGACCCTCCTATTTACACTTCCTGTGACCTGGACTATAGAAGTGCCCAGTGAATGGTTGAGATGAGGGTCTCACTAATTTTTTCCCCACTCTGACCTGGAACCATGATCCTGACCTTGCCTCTGAGTGACTGGGATTGCAGACGTGATCCACTGGTACACAGCTTGTACTGTTTTTGAAGCATATTCTTAGTATGTAACCCAGGCTGGCCTGGAACTCTCAGTGATTTTGTCTGGGATTTCAGGCATGTACCACTACACCTGGCCTACAAGTTTTTGATGACATGGGAGAATGTTTACATCATAAAATGTGAATAAACAGATCTAGGGTTGTACATACCCTCTGATCTTAGTGATATAAAAATGTATAAACCTGGCAGCAGTGGCTCACACCTGTAATCCTAGCTACTTGGGAGGCTAAGATCAGGAGGAGAGAGATTTGAGGGTAGCCAGAGCAGACAGTTCAAGAGACCACATACCAGAATAACAAAGCAAAGAGGACTGGAGGTGGAGCTCCAGTAGAGCATCTGCTTTTCAAGCATAAAGAGTCAACCCCAGACCAAACAAACAAACAAAAAAAAATATGCAGAAAAAACACACCAGTATTTCACCATAGGTTACCTTTGAGAGATAAGATTATGACCTAATTTTAAAACTTTTATTCCTTATGTTTTTCTCCATTTTAAGATCTTTTATATTTTCAGAAATAAAGTATGTTAAGAAAAGACTGGTGAACTAATACAAAGACGCTTTGCTTCTTTCTGTGTAGTTATTCTAGAGAACACTAATTTGAAGCCTGTCTAATTTACTCACAGGTGGCTGGCAGTGAGGGAAGACATCTTACCTTCAGCAAAGTTGTATTAATTGGGTTGAGGCGAGAGTTGCATTCAACCTGAAAAACAGACGAAACAAATTTTATAAATTGTTAGAAAAATAAGAAATAGTTTGGCAAGACAATGGTCTTACGAGATCCACAGCTCAGTTTGCCAATGGCTGGACCAGCCAAAGATCTCCAAACCACACAGTGGAATTATATAGGGTGCGTGTTATAGCTGACGGTTGACAACACATCTAAAACTCTGGCTAATTTCATTTTCTGAATCTGTTACAAGTAGGCCTTAAAGCAGGTTGTGCTGAATCTAAAGATTCTGCATCCTGGCTACATAACACATGGACAAGGCACCTTGACTTCTCTGAGAGGTGAACTGAACCTTGACCCTGTCCTGCTGGGATTTCTCAAATGCCTTCCCAGCACTACTGGTCCGAACAACTGAGTCCTGAGCACCTTCCGAGAGCCTTCTTTCTCACTCCTCCCTTGGGCCCTGGAGTGCAGCCTTTGCAGTTCTTATACCCTGACTCTTCTGACTCAAGATCTTTGGCTTTGCAGCGTAACACTGAACTCCTGGAGAACTGTTGTCTCACAGTAGTCATCATAATTGAGGATGACAGCCCAATGCACTGACACCTTTACTATCTTCTACATTTATATCCATATGAAGGCAGAGACCTCAAAGGAAACATTTTGGACAGATCATCTCTGGGTTCGGCAATGGTTTTTGTGTCCTTCCTTCCTTCAAACCCAGGGCCTTGTGTGGACTCAGCACACACTTCAGTATTGAACTGCACACCTCCAGCCCAACAGGTTCGGGAATATTTTTATAGTTAATTTGATGAACTGGCTTTCCCCGTCACATGTTTCCAGGAACACACATATAAAACCTGTACTGAGAACTTAGAATCCAGTGGGGTGAAAATATGTAACACAAAGCAAAAGGAAATCACTTTGAAAATGTCACAGTTGAGCTGAGTGAGCCCAGAAGGATGAGTGGGATTTTCAGAGATAGATCAGGAGAAGAGGTGGGTGTTTGAAGGCTTCCATGCTTGCATGTGTGTGGTGACAGCAGCGAGTGTGAAGTGAGGCTGAGAGCAGACTGGAGCTGACTGTGGAGGGAAGAAGCCACAGGCTTCTGAAGTGACTGGTTTGGAGCTGTTTTAGGGGAGCAGTAAGCCACACAGGGAGTGATCAAGGTTCCTAGGGAGAACCAGCAATCCAGCTGAACTTTGGATTTGATTGCTGATGGGCAGGTATACAAAGCTCTTCTAAAATCAGGAGATGATTAAAAGTCAGGATCACAGAGTCAGAATGTCGATTTGCTCTATACAAGTGACAATATAGACAGTAGCATACAATTGCACCTGTTCAGATCAGTATAGAATACGTATTAACTCAAAAGGCAGAATTTATAAACTCGATTCCTAACTGCCAGGCACAGTGCTCAGAATATAGTAGGTATGCTATAAAATGAACAATAGGGAGTAGTGGGGCAAAGTCAGAATTAACCTTCAGGACAATAAGTTTAAATAAATAATGTTAAATCTACAAAAGTGAATGTTGTTCAGAAATAATGATTTTAGGCTTGGTGTAATTACTCAAATGGTAGAGTGCCTGACTAGCAAGTATGAGGCCCTGTGTTCAAACCCCAGGACGGTCAAAAAAAAAAAAAAAGACTTTATAATATGGAAAATGCTTTCCATAGTGTTAAGTAATCTGTCTCCTCAATCTGATATATTTAATATAATCATGTCTATAGTGAAGAAAAATGTAAGTCTGTCTGAGTGATGAGATAATGATTTCCCCATCCTTCTATTTTTTAATGGTTTCTAGAAAGAACCCATCACCTTTATCACTGTGCTCAGTATTTGAGACAGAGGTAGAGAAAGGCACCCAAGCTCTTGGCAGCCTTTTGGCCTGCTGGATTTATGGTGGTAATCTATTCCAGATTGAAGGCTGAGGCTGCCAGAAATCTGACAATAAATAAATGGTGTTTTATTGCACTACTTGCCACAAAGTGAACTGCCCCACACAAAGCAATCAAGGCAATACTGATCCCATCTGATGAAATCTAGTGACCGATGAGCAGTTACTTTTCTAAAATGTGTAAAAGCAAACCCTGATATATACAGTCTGATACAACAAAAGCTAGTATTTACCCATGGTTTCTAGTATGTCTGTAGTGTGCCCTATACATTTGACTACATTTTAATCTCATCCTCCTCACAACATCAGGACATACTTACCACAGCCTCTACAGCCGGTGAGCTGTCCCCTACCACCAGTAAAGTGGAACACCTAGGTACAGGCAGGAAAAGAGGTGTCACTCGGAAATGTTCTTCACTGAACATTGACTCATTTATGACAGGCAAAGATATCGAGCAATTCAATGTGGAAATTGAGGGACTTACTTTAATGTTTTTAATCTGTTGTTATTTTGGCCCGGTTTGGGTCTTTTAATTTTCAGATCTCTGCGTCTAGAAAAACAGAGAGGACAATCTATGCATTTTTCAGGTAAAAGCATGGTACCTCAGGTTATTTCCTGGTTGTGAAACCAGGCCATGTATCAAGGCCTGTGACCACTGTCTTTCCTTCATCCCTAGGGTCAGCAAGGGTCCCTGAACTGTGTTCTTGAGTCAGTGTTTCAATGGCATCCTGAGTGGCACAGAGCAGAAATGAGGGAATCTGTGGGATGCTAAAGACAACTTTAAACCCCATAAGCAACACTGTTGAAATCCTCAAGTCCAAAGTTTTTAATTTTCCAATTAGTTTAGGTATAAACTTCTTAAGAGAAGTGAATGACTTAAATTTTTTTTTTTTTTTGCAGGGGCATTTTCCTTGTAACAGTTTAGCACAGGACTTTTAACTTTCCGAAATCTCTAGGAGGCTCTAGAGACCCAATTCAAAATCTGGCTTTGCTCTTTAATGGCTGCACAACTCTGGGAAAGTTACAGCTGACCCTTTTGCATGTTTCCAAAAAGCTATAAGGGACTAACATTTCCACCTTGAAAAAGCTGTCTTTAAGAGAGGAATCAGTGCTCTCCCCTCAAACTACCCTTTGATGGGGAGCGATATGACAGTGAATTCTAGAATATACATACAAGAGAAGTGACTAGTGTCTGTGAGTTACTGCTGCTTTATGAGCAGTTATCAGCGAATAGCAACTAGATCAAGAGCCAGGTCTTCTCTCCTTTGCCTCCCTACATGTGCGTGCCTGTGCTCCCTCAAGTTACTTATGTAGTTTTGTGAGTGTACATAACTTAGATTCCTTTTGTCTCAAAACATCTTAGAAGTACAGCTGGTATCTGAACACAGAGTGGCTTTCAGTTCACACGATCTTCTTGAAAGCTCTTTTTGTATCTGTCTTAAAGGCCTTCCATACCTAGTGTGGTCAAACAGCACAGACCATCCCATTAAACAACAATGGTAAAAGGAATTTATGTGCTCTTCCCCTTTCCCTTAGATGTGAAACATCTTTTTAAACTTAGTCTATAGTTAAGTGAAGGAGTAGGAAACAACTGTACCTGTTGTAGGAACGCAGAAAGAGCTGAAGGTTTTCCTGGTTGATATCTCGGGCAATACAAAGTCTATACCTTTGAATGAGGTCTAAGTTGGTCCGCAACTCTTCCTAGAACAAGTGAAAGAAGATGTGTAAGCTTCCAAATACACACATACCAATAAGCAGGGTTTTTGTTTGTTTGTTTTTTGTGGGACTGGGGTTTGAACTCAGGGCTTTCACGTTTGCAAAGCAGACATTCTAACGCTTGAGCCACACCTCCAGTTCATTTTGCTCTGGTCATTTTGGAGATAGGGAACTTATGAACATTTTTCCCAGGCTGGGCTCCATGATCCTCCCAAACTCAGCTTCCCAAGTAGCTGGGATTATATGTGTGAGCCATCACGCCTAGCTACCAGTAAGCAGTTTTAAGCAGAAGGGAGTATTTTTATGCTGGAGGAAAAACATGAGCCAGTGATAGTTGGAGAGTTAATCTAGAACAGCATGTAAAGTTACCACCAAACCTCACAGATAGAGGTAAGGAAAAATGGTTGATTTTTACCACCACTTGGGTGAAGTGAGACAAGAATACAGTTGGAAACAGACTATAGTCTACCTGAAACTCAAAGATACTGAAATCATTCCCAGGAAACCTGGCCAGGGCTCCAATCTCATTCTAAACATATTACAATAAGAAATATAATAAACATTGATAAGCAGCGGTACAAACTAACTAGAGAAGAAATGAAGGCTCTCCTTCAAGGTGTGGGAGAGAAGCTTAAGCAGCAAAGTTTGAGATAAGAAAGGGAAGAAATAAGACTACTACAGGAGACAAAAGGGAAATAGACTCTGAGCCCTTGCTATTACCTGTTCACAACATGCTTTCAATAGCTTTGTCATAAAACACCAGATGTGGCCACAAGACCAAAAAGCAACTTATTCACTGACCAAGCTAAAATTGGTAGGGTTCCAGATGACCACACAAATGACAAAGACAAGGGAGAATTGTACTGAGGGAAAACAAATAAATCCTCTGGCTTAACTAGCTCTTCGTTGACTTAAAAATCATCTATTTTGGAGGTCACACAGCTGGGCAATAAGTTATTAGCTTCCCACTAGCTATGCTGTAGATAGGACCTCCTCCATGTGGTTAGGATAACAGTTGCCTCGATTACTTTGCAGCAACTTGAAGGCCACTTTTGTTGAAAACATTAACTTTTCACTTGACCCTTCAGATATCTGATGGATGACTTTTTATTTATTTTTTTGTGGTACTGGGGTTCGAACTCAGGGCCTACACCTTGAGCCACTCCTCTAATCCTTTTTTGTGGCTTTTTTTTTTTCCCCCAAGAAAGGGTCTCATGAACTATTTGCCTGGGCTGGTTTCAAACCACGATCCTCCTGATCTCTGCCTCCTGAGTAGCTAGGATTACAGGTGTGATAAGTGGCACCCTGTGATAAGTGACTATTGTGGGTAATAGGCTTGGCATCTCTGTCTTCATATTGTGTCTGTCCCCTTTGCTGTCTTCACCCTTAGGTCAGTTTCTGCTCAGCCTGCCAGTAGACATGTTGATCAGTTGTTCAATAGTATAATACATGGTTAACTTGACCAGTTGCCCATTGTAGCTGGTGTGTGTTTCTTCTACCCCATGCTTGGGTTCTTTCAGAGATATAGCAGCTCAGGTCAACTGACTTTATCATAAGGCCATGCCAACTACAATGCCAGGACTTTTATGTAAGATGATGATGCCAACAATAGGAGAGAATAAGTTCCTAGGTTAGCCTGCAAGCTTCAAGGACAGGATGTTTCTGAACAAAACAGAAACATCTTTTGAGACTGTGCCATAACCAGTGGAAAGTTATTAAACCTGTAGCCTACACCAGAAAATCAATACAAGCTTGCTGCTCCCTTGCTCAGTGAACTACAGCCTGATCCGCCTCTTGATCACTAATGTTTACTTTTGGCTCTAGCTGATGTTGGCCAGCTGGGCAAAGTTCTAATAATGCCTTGCAGTCTTGTTCATAATGTATGGCTTGGTCTCATTTCCAGCTAAAAGTGGAAGATCCTGCTTTCAGTATCATTGAGATATAAGAGGCAAACTGGAACCTAAGTGCTAATAGAACACGTTAGGCAAAGTTGAATTATAGAAATCTCCCACTCCCCACCAACACATAAGAACCTTTTTAAAAACAGACTTGTAGACATACTATTATGGACTTAATGTTCCACTTAAGTTTGGTAGAGATTCCTTATTAGGACATAAGGAGCTCTCTTGTGTTTTTTACATTTTCTGTTTCCCACACCCCTGCTAGTATCATTGTTTTTGATTTTTGCTTATTTGCTAGATTAAAAAGTGGGAGAGGATCACTGTGTTTTTCTCTCTTATTAATGAGTATGAGCATTAATGTTTTTTTTTTCTTTTATTCATATGTGCATACAATGTTTGGGTCATTTCTCCCCTCTTCTTCCCACCCCCTCCCTTACCTACCCCACCCCCAGCATTAATGTTTAAAAATCATTATGTGCTTCCATTAAAAGCAACAGAAGAATTTGCTTGCTTATAAATTTGCTTGCTTATAAATGAACTCTTGTGTCTTGTGACAATGCATTGTTTATTACCTCACATTTTTCCTGTTTTTTTTTTTTGGTGGTACTAGGGTTTGAATTCAGGTCTTCACACTTGCTAGGCAGGCACCCCTTATTGCTTGTTTAAAGTACACATATAATGTGTAGATTGCAATGTGGAAATGAAAACTTATCACGAAGCTATAGCAGTATAGCTCCTACTGTGGTACTGGCATAAGGCTAGACAAAAACAATAGGATAAAAATGAGAGTTCCAAGACAGATCTTTACATTGGTCAACTTCTATAGTTTGGATCCTGAATATCTCTCAAAGGCTCATGTGTTAAAGGCTTGGTTCCCAGCTTGGTACTTGTGGGAGGTGGTAGAACTTTTAAGAAGTGGGGACTAGTGAGAGTGGTCTTGGTGGGGGTGCTCTTGAAGTGAGTAATAAGATCCCCAGTCCCTTCCTCTTCCTCTCTTTTTCTCTCAGCCATGAGGCGAGTGGTGGTTTGCTCTGCCACTTACTCCTGCCATGATATGCTGCCTTACCACAGGCCCGAAACCAAGGAGGCTAATTGGTCATGGACTGAATGAAACCTCTAAAATAAATCCTTCTTCTTTATAAGTTGATTATCTCAGGTATTTGTTATAGTAACAGAAAACTGACTAACACATTAATTGATTTACAAAAAGGAAGGCAACAAATGGTGCAGGAGACAACTGGACTTCCACGTGAGAAAGAATGAAGTTGGAGTCCTACCTCAAACCACATAGGAAAATTAACTCAAAATGGCTCACAGGCTGAAATGAAAGAGTAAGTTTAAAAAATAATTTTGTCTTTTTTTTTTTGGTGGCACTGGGGTTTGAACTCAGGGCCTCATGCTTGCTAAGCAGGTGCTCTTACCACTTGAGCCACTCCACCAGCCCTAAAAAATAATTTTGAAAAATTATTGGACTATATTTTTTCTTTTCTTTTTTTTTTTCAGTACTGAAGCTTGAACTTGGGGCCTACACCTTGAGCCATTCCAACAGCCCTTTTTTGTGATGGGTTTTTTTCAAGATAGGGTCTTGTGAACTATTTGCCTGGCTGACTTTGGAATACATCTTTTTGAACTTGATTAGGCAATTGTTTATTAGATATGACATCAAAAGGATAAGTAAGCAAAGAAACAAAGTAAATCAGCCTTTATTAAATTTAAAACCTTTTAAGGACCAGCTACATGGGAGGCAGAGATAGGAAGATTGTGATTTAAGGTCAGCCCAGGCAAAAAAGTTAGGGAGACTCTTTTATTTAAAAAACCACTGGATGTGGTAACACATGCTTGTAATCCCCATAAGGTGGGAAGCAGAGGTAGGAGGTTCACAGTCCATGGCCAGGCCCAGGCAAAAAACATGAGACCCTATCTGAAACTAAACCAAAAAGGGCTAGAGGTATGGTTCAAGTGCCAAAGTGCTTGCCTAGCAAGTACAAGGCCCTGAATTCAAACCCAGTACTGCCCTTTAACCCCCCAAAAAGATACCTGCACTCCTAGCATTCAGGAGGTTGAGCAAGAAGGATCATGAGTTTGAGCCCAGTCTGGTCTACATAGTGAAAACCTTCCTCAAAAAATTAAATAAAAACTAAAAAATTTTACACTTCAAAGGACAAAATTAAGAAAGTGAAAAGACAAGACACAAATAGAAAAAATTTGCATATTGTATATCTGACAAGGACAATACAGAAAGAATTCTTATAACTCAATAATACAAAGATAAGTACAAGTTTGAAATGAACCTAAGGGCTGGAGACATGACTCAAGCCATACAGCACCTGCCTAGCAAGCACAAATCCATGAGTTCAAATCTCTATACTGCCAAAAAAAAAAGAACCCACAAAATTTTTCCTTAAGACCTACCAAGCAAGAAATGAACCCAAGATCTTAATAGCACTTCTCCAAAGAAGCTACACAAATGGTTCAACACCATCAGTCACCAGGGAAATGTAAATTAAGACCACAATGAGATACTACTTTATACCCACTAGAATGGGTACAGTTCAAGGCAGACAACATTGTATGGTGGTGAGGATATGGAGAAACTGGAACTCCCACATTGGTGGAGTTGTAAATGGTGAGGTCATTTTGGAAAATGGTTTGGCAGTTCCTTAAAATGTTAAATACAGACTTATCATTTGACCCAGCAATTCCACACATGGGTATACACTCAAGAGGATTGAAAACATATGTTCACAAAAACACCTGTGCATGAATGCTAACAGCCAGCATTATTCATAGTAGGCAAAAGCTGGAAACCACTCAAATAACTTGAGTGATGAACAAATAAACAAAATGTGCTGTATTTATATAATAGAATATTACTCAGCCACATATTGATACATGCTACATGCATGAACCTCATAATACTATGCTGAGTGAAAGAAGTCAGGCACAAATGTTCACATATCATATGATTACATTTATATGCAATGTCCACAATAGGCAAATCCATAGAGAAAAAGTAGATTAGTGGTTGCCAGGAGCAGGAGAAAGGGGAGAATGGGAAAGTGACTCCTAATGGATATAGAATTTCTTTTTGGGGGTGATGAAAATATTCTAGAATTAGGGTTGGTGGGGTGGCTCAAGTAGTAGAGTGCCTGTCTAGCAGGTCTGAGACCCCCACACCACAAAAAAGGAGAAAGAAAATAGTCTAGAATTGGATAGTGGTGATGATTGCACAACTCTTTAAATATACTAAAACAACTGAATCATATACTTTAGGAAGGTGATTTTTATAGGGCTGGAGGTGTGGCTCAAATGTGTGCTAGGCAAGTGCAAGACCCAGAGTTCAAATGCCAGTAAACCTCCCCCCACCCCCCCAAAAAAGAAGGTAAATGTTTTGGTATGTGAATTATATGCCATTAAAGCTGATTTTTAAAAAACAGTTAAAATCCTGTCATTCCACTCCTAAGTATATAGCCAAGACAGATTCTTGTACAGGTACAAGAGAAGGCACATTCAAAACTGTTCACAGTCATCAATAGTGAAAATAAATGAACCACAACATGTAAACATGGATCCTAGCAATTTGACTTGAAAAGGCCCTCCAAGCTACATCAGCTTAACATTTCTGATTAGAAACACACACACACATACACACACACACACACACACAATAAAAGAACATAGAGGCTGGGCATGGTGGCACACACCTGTTATAATCTCAGCTACTTGGGAGGCAGATATAGCATGACTGAGGTTTGAGGCAAGCCCCAGCAAAAAGTTAGTGAGACCCTATCTCAAAATAAGCCGGGTGGGCTGGCAAAGTGGCTCAAGTGTTAGAACACCTGCCTAGCATGCATGAGGCCTTGTACTGGCAAACCCCAGTACTGCCACCAAAACAACAACAAGCTAGGCATGTGGCATGTACCTGTAATCTCAACTACTTGGGGGGCAGAGGTAGGATGATCACAGCCTGAGCAAAGTTAGCATGAAATCTATCTGAAAAACAAACTAAAGCAAAAGGATTGCAGATGTTGGGTACCTGTGGCTCACGTTTGTAAATCCTAGCTACTTGGGAGGCTGAGATTGGGACGATCATGATTCCAGAGCAAAATGGACTAGAGGTGTGGTTCAAATGGTAGAGTGTCTGCTTTGCAAGCGTGAAGCCCTGAGTTCAAACTCCATCCCACCACCAATAGCAACAAAGAGGATTAGGGGACATGGCTCATATGGTAGAGCACTTGCTTAGCAAGTGTGAGATCCTGAGTTTGATTCCCAGTGCCACAAAAATTGAAATAAAGAGAAGAAAACATAAATTCAGCGAGACTATTAGAAAAGATAAGAGAAGGAGGTTACTCTTACTCTCAAACCCTAGTTTTTCACTGGGTAGTAATTTCTTGGGTGTTTATTACATTATTAAAAATAACTAGCTAATTAAATAAAAGTAGGCTGTGTACTAGTCCATGATGGTGATATCTCATGAACCAGAAACTAGGATTACTCTAATTATCCACATTGGTGGTTCAATGGAAAAAAAATTAGCCAGAGCCTCAGATCTACCCCTACATTCTGAGGGACTTCCTTCTTCCCATCTCAGGAGAAGACTAAAGATTTTTTTCCTCAGAAAACACTATATGGTCTTCAAAAAGGGAGCCCACAAGCCCAGGTGGTGAAGATACACCATATTAAAAAGAAGATGGTGAGGTAGGAGAGCCCTTGCCAGGTAAGCATAAGGCCCAGGCTTGATGCCAAACAAAACAGAAATGATACAACAAGAAAACCAATCACACACACACACACCAGGGTGTGACTCGAAAGTGTAAGGCCTCATGCTTGTTCTTCACTTGACTCCAACAATACTAACTATAGCATCTGATATGTAACCTCACAGCTGATCTGGGGAAACAAACTGACCAGTTCTAGAGAAAATATACAAAGGTTCAACATAACGGCTTCCCCAAGGACATGGCCCAGTCTGAATGGCCACAGTGGTGAGCCTCACCTGGCCCATATTGGTCTTCAGTGATGTAGCTCATGAAAGAGAGGCAGCCAATCAGGAGCACTGGTCATTTGGGGAAAGAACCTGAGTCAGTTACCAATTTGTGATTTCTGAGCCTCAAATCCATAAATCCATCCTCTTATATTTTTCCCTTTGCCAGTTCTGTTTAAAAAATGAGCACAGGTGCCAGTGGTTCAATGTGTCAGGAACCCTCAGAGACCAGCTCTAGCTGTGTCTTGGCCAGTGCAGCTTCCACAGCAGCACAGGCCTCCTTTTAGGCAACTGTCTCCCCACATGAAGAGCAGTTCTGGGACTGGCAAGTTTCTTCACTGTTGGCATGCTGTGTCCTGTGGAAATGTGAAGGGTTTGAGGGATTTGGAACTGATCAAGGAAAAACACATGACCAAGAGAGGCAGTGATACCTAAGTACTCCTGGGTGGTCCTGAGAGCAGGAGGAAAAAAGGGTGGGCCTGTGTGTCATGGGACTTGTTCCCTATCTTAAAATTCGGCTAACAAACCAGAAAAATAGTCTGTGGGTCTAAAACATCTAAGTGCCTCGCATGGAAATGATCAATACTCAATAAATGCTTGTTTTTCTCCTCATCTACCATTTTGCCTCAGCTACATTTAGAATTTAAACTATGCAGACTCCAACTGAGCATTCATTGCCCCTATTTACACTGTTCTCCTCTCCCAACCCAGGTACCTCACAGTCTCTGACCGCACTGCACACTTATACCACCACTACTTCATATGTTAGCTATCTCACTTTTCAAAAAAGGACTGCCACCCAACAATTATCCACAAGACAACTGTCACTTCCTCTGTAGACTTCAGTTTCTCACCAGTTCATGGACACTGAGTAAGATGATCTCTAAGGTTCTTTCAGCAATAATACTTCATAGTTGGTTTCTTTTTTTCTTGTGAAATTTCCATTTCGGTAAAGCCATTCCCAAGACCTCCCGCTGGCTCTAAAGATGTTTGGTGAGGCATAAGGTTGTTGTCAAGCGTTAACAGATGGCATGCTACTTACAGGGGACAGGTGGGGAGAGATGCTGTTTTCTCTCGTTCTCCAAACACCAAGCTCCAGGTGGCCTGAGACAGTGCCTCCCACTGGAGTGGCCTTTGCAGGGCCATGTGCATCTCTGACTGTACTGGAAGTGTTCTCTGCGAGAATCAGGTAAACTCTAAGGTACCCCTTCCTTCCTGAGGGACAATGTACCCAGCTCTCCTGGTTGCACAGGCACTTACCTGCCCAAAGTGATGAGCCAATATAATGTCCACAACATTGGTTGTCAAGCCTGAGAGCTAAAAATATAAAAACTTCATCAACAGAGTAAGCATATGTACATATTTACCAAGCTGTCCACTTAAAGGTAGTGTACTTTATTGTATATATGTTATCTCTTAAAAAACAAACAAAAGCCACAGTTCAGTGTCACACATTTCCATGAGGTGGTGGTTTTCAAAGACACATGGTAGAGAAAAACAAGTCAGAGAAACAACTAAGTCTCCCTTCTGGGGCAGTAACAGGGCTTGCTTTGAAATAAGGGCCGGAAGCAACACTGGCTGTTCCTTCTTTGAAAACTGGAGACCTGGCACACATGGCTACTTGCTACGTCGTTTCTGCCTGCATTGCTGTATTTACAGTGGACTGATGGCAGATAAAGATCAACTTACAACAAAGCCATCTCAGAGACAAAAACAATTTTTTTCCTTTCTTTCAGTTTTTGCTATTTTTGTTTCAGGGACTGGGAGGACATGGCTCTATGTACAGAATGTTCTTACATTTTGAACATTTTTTCTCCTCATTCTTCCCATTTCAAAGTGCTGCATCTCATGGTCTAATAAATGCAGCAATCTGTAAATGTGCAGACTGTCAATCTATTTTCAGAAACATTTCCAACTCAAATTGTGTTGCTGATTTTCTTTAAGCCTTCTTTCTTGGTTTTGTGTTAGAATTCCTACTGCAGACTTGGGGGTTGGTACGGAGAAAAGCAGGTGACAGAGACAGATAAGGACATGGGTGAAATGGGATCGTATACTGAAGAAAGATGTCCTGAAATCGTCCTATGGGTTGTCAAGGATCCACAGTTTATAAGTTAAGGATGATTAGAATAACCAATCTCACTTCATGTATGTGACACTCATATGTATGTATTCAAAATGCTCATAACTCTGAAGTGTTATATGAATTGTATCAGGTTTTCCTCATTATTAAAATGTGCAGGTAAGTATTAATATACCCACCTAGTAGACAGCAATGAGAATAAATTTTATGTAAGTCAGGCTGTGAGAAAGAATTTCCACAGCATCTGCAATACCATTGCTAATATACTTCATTCAAAGCTAGGTCATCATTTCTCCAAAACTTAAATGTGGGGGTGAGATGGACATACTGTTGAAAATCTGGTCTTCTGGTAGGTAGAATATTTATAAATAATTAGAAAAGTAATATATGACTATTATAAAAAAGTAGGAAAATAGAGAATATGAAAAAAACCATCATTTGTAATATTAGCAGCAAAAGGTAGAACCACTAATAACATTATACTCTCTCTCTCTCTCTCTCTCTCTCTCTATATATATATATATATATATATACACACACACATATGTGTGTGTGTGTGTATTGAACAAAATTAGGATTGTATTGCATTTATGGCTCAAGTGGTACAGTGCCTGCTATTGCAATGGCAAAGCCCTGTGTTCAAGCCCCACTCATTCCCACAAATACAAACTATGTGACTACAGTAAAGTTTTGCTAGGTGCCTGTGGCTCATGCCTGTAATCCTAGCTACTCTGGAGGCAGACATCAGGAGGATCACAGTTCAAGGCCAGCGTAGGCAGTTAGTCTACAGACTCTATCATGAAAATAAGATAAAAACAGGCTGGAAAAGTGGCTCAAGTGGGAGGGACCTCAGCAAGCTTGAGGTCCATTAGTTCAAACCCCAGGACTGCTAAAAAAACAATAAAAAATAAGAATAAAAAACCGGTATGTTATACAATTTTATGTCTGTTTATCACTTACCATGTGAATTTATACATTTCCTTAAATAACCAAACAACTTTTTTTTCTTTTTTTTGAGACAGGGTCTCATTATTTAGCCCAGGGTGGCCTAAACAATCTATCCTCTTGTCTCACTTGCCATGTACTGAAATTATACTTGTCACCACATTGGGTCTTAATCATAAAATTTTTTGATTGTGTATTTTTCTATTTATGATTGATCAAGATTTTGTTATCTTGTAATTGGCACTTACACTGTTTCTATCCTTTTGACTTGCAAACAATGTTGCAATTTATAGCTGGGGCTATAACTTTCTAGTTCATGTGACCTTAAGAAATGACTTATTTCTCTCAGGAAGGATAATGTACCACTTTACTGGGTTGTACTAAGAATGATAACTTTAAATATATGTAAAAATGTCTGGTACACAGTAAGCAGTATGTGTTAGTTTCTAAAAGAAGTAATTACCCTCTATTTAAATCTTTATCACTAACTATCCTTCAATTAAGTTCTCCCATACCAAATCGTTGAATCTCATGGCTTTGACTATCAAAGATATGTATATTTTTCAAAGGTACGTTAAATGATCACTTATAGTGACTTGAAAGCATTTAGGAGTAGGCATTTATTTTATTTTATTTATTTATTTATTTATTTATATTTTTTTAATTTTATTATTCATATGTGCATACAAGGCTTGGGTCATTTCTCCCCCCTGCCCCCACCCCCTCCCTTACCACCCACTCTGCCCCCTCCCTCTCCCCCACCCTCAATACCCAGCAGAAACTATTTTGCCCTTATCTCTAATTTTGTTGTAGAGAGAGTATAAGCAATAATAGGAAGGAACAAGGGTTTTTGCTGGTTGAGATAAGGATAGCTATACAGGGCATTGACTCACATTGATTTCCTGTGCGTGTGTGTTACCTTCTAGGTTAATTCTTTTTGAACTAACCTTTTCTCTAGTTCCTGGTCCCCTTTTCCTATCGGCCTCAGTTGCTTTTAAAGTATCTGCTTTAGTTTCTCTGCGTTAAGAGCAACAAATGCTAGCTAGTTTTTCAGGTGTCTTACCTATCCTCACCCCTCCCTTGTGTGCTCTCGCTTTTATCATGTGCTCAAAGTCCAATTAGGCATTTATTTTAAATGAGATTAATAAACTAGACATTTTATAGCAGGCAACAAAGACTTAGGTTATTTTTCTCTCAGAAAACATCACTGATTTAATCTAAATGTCCATCTAAATTAAAATAACATACAAATAACATGTGTACTTCAGCAAGAAAATGTTTCAAAACTGCTTCCTTTCCAACCTAAAAAAGGTAATTATTTTTAGCATAGCTGAGTTCAATGCAAATGGGAACAGAATATATATTTTTTCCCACATCTCTCTTTTACTCTGGTTTAGTATCACGATTGTTTATATATGTAGCCATTAGCATATGTCTTTAGTTTCCTATTTCCTGACATAGTCTTGAAGTCAAACTCATTTTTCAGATAGCAAATAAAAAAATTCACCTATCTTTGGAAAAAGTAGGATAAATAAGCTGTTTGATTTATTTTTAATTTTATTCATTAAGAGTAAAAAGAAAACTATAGGCTAGGACAGACATTTGAGACACATTTGAGAAGGACTTATATGCAGAATATTTTTCTTTCTTTTTGTGGTATGGGGTTTGATCTCAGGGCTTCAGGCTTGCTACTCAGGCATTCTACTACTCGAGCCACTCTGCCAGATCTTTTTATGTGTGTTGAGTATTTTCAAGATAGGGTCTTGACACAGGTTACTCCAGAGGCACCTGCACACCCATGTTTATTGCAGCACTATTCACAATAGCCAAGTTATGGAAACGGCCAAGATGCCCCACCACCGACGAATGGATTAAGAAAATCTGGTATCTATACACAATGGAATTTTATGCAGCCATGAAGAAGAACAAAATGTTATCATTTGCTGGTAAATGGATGGAATTGGAGAACATCATTCTGAGTGAGGTTAGCCTGGCCCAAAGACCAAAAATTGTATGTTCTCCCTCATATGTGGACATTAGATCAAGGGCAAACACAACAAGGGGATTGGACTTTGAGCACATGATAAAAGCTTTAGCACACAAGGGAGGGGTGAGGATAGGTAAGACACCTAAAAAATTAGCTAGCATTTGTTGCCCTTAACACAGAGAATCTAAAGCAGATACCTTAAAAGCAACTGAGGCCAATAGGAGAAGGGCATCAGGAACTAGAGAAAAGGTGAGATCAAAAAGAATTAACCTAGAAGGTAACACCCACGCACAGGAAATTAATGTGAGTCAATGCCCTGTATAGCTATCCTTATCTCAACCAGCAAAAACCCTTGTTCCTTCCTATTATTGCTTATACTCTCTCTACAACAAAATTAGAAATAAGGGCAAAATAGTTTCTGCTGGGTATTGAGGGGGTAGGGGGGAGAGGGAGAGGGTGGAGTGGGTGGTAAGCGAGGGGGTGGGGGCAGGGGGGGAGAAATGACCTAAGCCTTGTATGCACATATGAATAATAAAACAATAAAAAAAAATAAAAGCAAACATGATCATAAGAAAAAAAAAGATAGGGTCTTGAAACTGTTTGCCTGGGCTGGCTTGAACAGTGATCCTCCTGATCTCTGCCTCTTAAGTAGCTAGGATTACAGGCATTAACCACTGGCCAAAATACTTTTCTCTGTTTAATAGAAGAAGTGTGGTGAAAGACTTGAAAAGGCTCTCTGCAACAGGATATCTAAAAAAAGTACTACCATCACTGCTCCTTAGGGAAATGCAAATTAAAACCAGTATTAAGACAGACATCAACAATTCACAAAGGAAATCCTAACTACTTGGGTGCATTAAACCTACAGAAAGGAATGTGTATCTCTACTGAAAGACAGAAATCCACCTTGTGTCTTCACGGGACATATTTCCTATATGGACTGATGCACAGTAATTAAAAACAGCTACTGCTACCCATATCAAGGATGAGTCTCAGAGACATGATGAGCACAAGAGTACATATGCTATGACCCCAATTATATGAAGTTTCAAACACACAGACCAATCTATGGTGACAGAAGACAGAACAAGGTGAATTCTGGAAAGGAGAGGAGCTGTCAGTTAAGAAAAGGTACGGGGGACTTCCATATGTAAACATTCATCAAGTTGTGCTCTCAAAAAGCTTTACCCTTAAACTGTGTGTACAGGTCAATGAAAAATTTGAAAAGTTCAACTTTTCAGAAGGGACCAAAAGGTGAATCAGTGGACACCTTTGGTTGGTACTTACTTTGGAAGCTGCCCAGTCAATCCAGCCTTTAGCGCACGGGTCAATGTTAATGAGCACAAGGCCTTCCACAAGTTCTGGATGACTGAGCTGAAAAGAGACAAAGACCACAGTATGAAATGTCCACACCCACAGTTCTTCCAAAACAGCGGCATAGGGTGAGTTAATAACGCCATGACTTAATGACTCATGTTTGAAAGAAGACCACAAAGATGCTAGGGGAACATGTGCAAAACAACTCTTGAAATCTGAAACCAGTTTCAAATTGCTACCAATTGATCTTGCCTTGCTTGGATATATAGGGAAGACAAGATTTTCACTGCCTCAGAGAGGAGAGCACACTGCAGTTGTTCAATTCACAGTGGGTCTTTCCGGCTGGACAGGTGCCCCTAGAAATACGTGGCATGAGGGGCTGCTCATGCTTAGGAGGGCTGTTTTGCACTAATACAATTTCCAGAAGAACTAACGTAAGACCCAGAGCAGTGCCTGGTCATTTAACTCAGTAGTCAGAGCTGTGACCTGGGAAGTGCTTCGAGGGTATTGGGACTAATCCTGCATAAACTTACTGCAAATCTGCTGAGGACGTATGCACCAGCTCCAACTCCAATCCCAATGATGCTTTTCATACTGTGAACGGGACACCGACAATTACAAAGTCAGCTTTCTTTACAAGTGGCAATGTATAATGAAATGAATACAAACTGGGTGCATATCCAGACATTCACTGCCTGTGAGTATTTGTATCAGATTTCTTCTTCTTTTTTTGCAACACTCAGGATTGAACACAGGTCTCAAGCTTATAGTCTATCACTGAGATATGCTCCCAGTACTTTTCCATTCAGATGAAATCAGGGATAGCCTCTAACCGCCTATATTCCCTTCCAGAGCAGCTGTTACCACAGCAGTGTGCCACCATGCCTGGCTTGTTTTTGACAAAAAGGTCTTGCTAACTTTTGCCTGGGCTGGCCTTGAACCATGACCCTTGTCCTTGCTGCCCCTGGGAGTAGAGGCGTTTGCACACACAAAGTATTGGACAAGTCTTTTTTAGCTTTCCAAACCCCAGTTTCCTACTTGTATATAAGGATACTACCACTTATTTTCAGGTTCACTTTCATGGTTAAATAAAATATGCCTGAAACCTGAGATTCATCCTCACTCTATTACTCCCTCAACATCCCACCCATCAGACATGCTGTGGAATCCACTCCAGATTTTCTTCTATTACAGTACCCTTCATCCATCTCCCAACAGTGGCCAGCAACAAGCTCTCATTATCTCCTGGCTACACTACTTTAACTGTTTAACTGGTCTCCCCGTATTTTGCTCTCTTACTTCTCCATGAACTATTATAGCAAGAGCAATAACATTTAAAAAAAACTAAAGAGTTTAATTGATGTACAAGTTCCATACCTAGAGCAATTATTTAAAAAAAAACTGGGGAGGGTATAAGGAAAGTGTGAATGAGGGTGAATATGGTAGATGTATTTTGTATTCATAGATGAAAACAGAATAATGAAACCTGTTGAAACTGTTCTAAGAAGGGAAGGAGGAAGATGAGGGAGAATGATGAAGGGGATGATTCCAACTAAGAGATGTTGTAAACCATATGTAACTGTCAAAATTCATCCCTGAATCCTAGCTACTCAGAAGGCACAGATCATGAGGATCGTGGTTCAAATCTAGCCCAGGCAAACAGCTCAACAGACCTTATCTTGAAAAAACCCATCACACACAAACACACACATAAAAAAGGGCTGGTGAAATGGCTCTCATGGTAGGCTCTGAGTTCCAGTCCCAGTATTAAAAAAGAAAAAAATTTATCCCTCACACAACTATTACATGGTCATAAAAAATAAAAAGGTTAACAAAACCAAAAGCTTACTGTATATCAGTTTTCTGCTTAAAAGACCTCAGAGTCCTTCGCCTAACTTAAGGATAAAATTGCACATTCTTACCTGATCTCATGAACCCATGTAATCTAGTCCTTGTCTTTTTCTCCGGGTTCACCCCATTGTCTTTCTCCCATTGCTCTTACTATTACTCTTTCTGTCTAGAATGCACTTGCCCTGGCTCTCTGTCTACGTAGTTCCTTTTATCTTCCAGGTCTCAGCTTACATTGCACTTTTCTAGAGAAGTATTCCCTAGCTAGCCTTACACATGAGGATCCTGCCCTTCCCTTTCACATTTCCACTGACCTTTCTTTGTTGCTGTGGTCTTGGTGTTCGGGTTCAGCCTCAGGGGACAGTGCACAGAAGCATGTGCTCCATCACTGAACCACAGGTCACTGCCCCACTTCTCTTATGGTACTTTATTGGTATTATTCATTCGGTTACTTATTGACTTAGTCTCCCCAACCCTACTAGCTCAATGAGGACACTTAATATTCTGTTTTGCTCACCATCTTATCCTCTGGCACAGATATAGAGAAGAAAGTCAAAAACAAAGACAAAACAAAAGAGGCCAAACGATGGGGAAAACAAACAAACAATGAAGTGAAAGACTGTAGAATAGTCCCACCTTAAGTGGGCCAAGACTGGAGGCAGCATTTCGGCAAGCTCATCCATCGTGGGGTACTGGTACCTGAAATCCACAAGGACACCTTCTGAGTTAGAAAACACTCTGAGCAGAACACAGTTTCCAACCTGGAATAGCTCAGGAGTCTTACAGAAACACATTTTCTTGTACCAAAGGCTCAAAGGAGCTGATGGGGTACCATGAAACACTTGTGCCATGTTGTGTAATTCTCTATGACCGTCAAGCTAAGAAGAAAATAAAAGAGGCCTCTGGGACCAGAGGAAGCCACATGCAAAGAACTGGTCAGATGGCTCTCTCTGATGCTATTTCCAAACCCATAACAATCTCTTCATTGGGATCCAGGCTCAGTAAACTTCCAGCAACGAGTAGCTCTTACTCGGCTGCTCATATTGCAACAGAAAACAAAGCTTTCTTAGATGTAAGGACAGTTACAGATGCTGACACTTACAGTCAACGCTTTTGTATTTCAGTTGGCCATATATGGTTATTTTATCAATTTCCCATTTGTGACATGAACCCTTGGATTCTAAAATGGTCAGGCAAGCCCAGGAACAGACCCAGAGCACGAAAAGTAATGGGCAGGATGTTAAGATGGCTGGCGTTATATGAGGCAGGATCTGCTCTACAACCAACAGGGAAGTCAGCCTGCCTCTGTGGAACACTCTAAGGCATGGAATGTTCTCAAACCATTTGTGCACAAAGCAGAAAAATATGAACAGAATCCAATCTTATTTGGTATCGACCGAACACGGGCCAAGTTGCCCATGAAGGGCAGAACAACTTGGATACAGTCAACACATTTTCTGGAGCCAGAATGCCTGGGTTGAAATACTACCTCTGCTCCTTGTTATATACTCTCAGCCAGGTTTCTAATTTTCTGGGCCTCAGTTTCTCCAGATGTAGACTGGGAATATGAGTCAATGTGTCCTGGAGGGTTGTGAGGATCTAGTGAGTTGGTAAATGGAAAGCATTCTAAGCAGTGTGTGGAACACTGTTGGGTTCTGTTAGGCACTGGCTGTCACTTGGCTGCAACATCTATTCCGCAGCAAGCACTGGCCAAGGGCAGCTCTGGACATGCGTAGAAGGACAGGTGAAGGGTGAGCACTCCTTAGCTCAGCTTGTGCTCCTGTTCCTTCTCCCAACACCCTCTCCGCAGGCACACCATTGAAGGAACACTCGGGGGGGCTTCTGACTGCCAGGCAAAGCAAGTTTAGGATGACACAGAGATTGCCAAGGCCACTCAGATGGCAGCCCCACATGTCAGGGCAGCTGTCAGTTACCCAGATATTCAAATTCCCACCCTAGATGGGAGCCAACAATGGGAGGAGCTCTGTGGAAGCTCAGAGAGACCTGAGTTTGGGCCTAGGTAGTTGGCAGTTTAGAAAGGAACAACAATAAAAAAGGACGGCTTTAAAACAGATATGGAAGGGGAGAGATCAAAGACAGTGACCATTATGCTTCATCGTTACAGGGAAGAAAATCCCTGCTGTGGAGAGCTATTCCTGGCTCTGGGAAAATATGCAGCTTCCCCCAACAGACTTATACAACAGCCCTCTCAGACCAAGGAGAGAAAACACGAGTACAGTGGGTTGAGGAGCCTTACCTGAAGGCTGATACCATCAAGTGGAGGAAGGGCCCACTATTGCTCCCCCTAGGGCTCAGTCATTGGCTCTTCTGATCACATGCCTCCCAGAGACCTCACCCACAGCCTTACCCTGTTGGGAAGGAGGGTGCCCCTTCCTGCTGCCCTGGGGCATCCACATGACACACAGCAAAGTGCTGGGTGATCTCTTGCATATCCTCAAAGTTGAAGAATGTGTTGAAACAGGATTTATCTATAAGATAAAAATACCCATAAGTGACAAGCTCTACATTTATCTGCACTTTTCCTCTGCTCAGTCAATGCCATATCATTCTTCTCAATGACCTGAAAACAACTAATGCTTAACTCTACATGATATGGGTAGAGCAGAAACTTCTTTACGGATGTTTGTTGCTTTCCTGGTGGTGCACAAAATAATTTTAAATCTGTAGTGCTGTTGCTTTTCATGCACTTGTCCTCTAACCCAGGAAAGTAACTAGGGGTAATCTTTATAGCTGCTTACATGCTTTGTCTCTTGCCAAAACCGCTATGGTGCAGGGAGGGGCTGCAGTTTCAATTTCTACCCTCTTAGTTTAAGGGCTTAAATGACTTCTCATGCTATGACACTACAAATTTCTAGCCCTGGATAGTAAATCCAAACCCAGGCCACCTTGGACAGTCATAGAAGCCTGAAAAAAATACAAGGATTCCGACCTCATGCGCCTGTGACTACATCCAAATCTTATACTACTAATGGAGCATCAATTTCCTGAAATGCTTGGAACTGTTTTGGAGTCTAGAATATTCCCATAAACAATATGAGTTATCTTGGACATGGCACCCAAGTGTAACATGAAATTCATTTATGCCTCACAAAAACCCAATACAAATATTCTGAAGGTAATCTAATACAATAGTTTGGTGCACCTGTGTGTTGACTGTGACCTATCATAGGAGACTGGGGTGGAATTTTCCACTTGTGGTATCATGTCAGTGCTCAAACAGCTTCAGATTTTGAACATTAAGGATTTCGAGTTTGGATTAGTGATGCTCACCTGCACCATGTAGAAAAAAATCTATGTGAAGTTACTGATGAGAAACTGTAGAAAGGATACTTTTATCTCTTCTTTGATGGGCTCACAACAAAGTTAAGTCTAAATTCTTGTTTTGAAATCTGAAGCACATAAAGTTCAGACTTGAAAGAACTGACTTCAATTATACTTTCTTAATTAGTTCCTCAAATCTTCAGTCCTTTAGCAGATGTACACATATGCAAGATATAATTCCAGATTCCTCTAAAACACATTGCCCTGTACACTATTTCCAGGATCTGTAAGCTTGCCATTAATGCCATTAATGAATGTAGCAATAAGGAGAGAAGGTCATGTAAGACAAAAAGGGGAACAACTCTGTACCATTAGCATACTATTGTTTCTTTAATATAAAAGATTATGCACTATGGTAAAAGGGAAGGTGCAAGATCAAATACATACGATTGAGCCCAATGTCATGATATGTCAGGATAACTGGTCGATTTCCCTTTGGTATGCCTCTTGTTGTGACGTGGATCACACCATGGGTTGTTTCTATGTCATGTTCCTTTAACAAGGGAATTTAAGGTTTTAGGAAAGGCAGAATGAACTTTCTATGTTGCCATGGTTTCATCATACCTACTTTACCACCATTTCCTAGTAGTTAGGGCAGGATACATTGATGAATTATAAGCCCATCACAGAGAGCTGTACTGTGCATAGTATTCCTACTTTCTCATTTTTCCATATAGATAGGTAATAGATAAATAAATAAATACATAGAAAAATACATCTTTTACCCTCAAAGCTGACTTAGGAGTCCAGGAAATGGGGAATCTGTTAATATATTTCCTATTGGCTGTGTGTGGGTGATCAGCAAATTTGATAAAGAGTCAGGTACCCCTTAGGGAAAGAAAAGTGAATGACAGAGAAAACATGAAGCCCTTGTTTGGTAAAAAGTCTGAGGGTTCCAAATATCTGAGCTTACACAAGTTCACCCACATATTAAGTTCAGGAGACACCTATGGATATGCCTGCCTAGAATCTCTCTCCTTTCTTTGGAGTGTCCTTCAGTGTCATCTACCTCTGCAGGAGTGGGTCTTGGCTGCAGTGTTTGTAGAACCAACCTTGTGGTCATGGCTTCCTTGGGTTAATAAGGCATCTGGCCATATTGGGTCAGAGTTATTTCCTAGGAATTTGTATTTGAAGTAAAAGAGTCCATCCTCAGTTTGGTGCTTTTCTTGAGAGGAGAAGTAAACTAGGGAGCTTTAAGCAGGCATTTCTACTTTAACCCCTGGGTCTCCCAGAGATATCACTAGTTTGCATCTGGTTTAAGGTAGATTGTATGGGTTTGTTCCATGTACCTTTATTAAGACTCCATCCAAGGCAAAAGTAAAGTTGAGACATAGTAAGAAGGGATTTCAGCTCAGATACCGAGTAAGGTGGAAAAGGATTCAAGTGGTGCTGCTGGGATTAGCTACAGCACTGAAGTGTGATTAGACAACAATGGACAGGGCTGTAAAATACTAGCTGAGGTTTATTCTAGTTGTCACCGGCCTTCATATTTCTGTGAACCAAAAACTACTACACCTGGCCTAGCCATTGATGACATTTGATATTTTTCAGATAAGCCAAGATTAACTCTGTCAATAAAATCCCAAACAAGGCAAATGCTTCCTATTTAATTTCCTATCTGATGATGAGGCTCATCACAGCTTTGGTTTCTTCTCCCATGTGAGAGTCAGAAGATAATTTCTGGCTAATTGGACATTATGATATTTAAATCAGACTCTTCTATGGCCATACCACCCTAAACACACTGGAGAGCTTGCCTGTCAAATCCTAGGCCCCAGACCGGAGCAGACAGATGTTTCTATCAAATAAGCATGTGTGACTCAGTATTTCTGTTAGTCTCTGTTACTGATTTGTCCTATTCAAGCCTATTGAAAGGCTTGAATAAAGGAACTAAGAAATGAAGGATAGAACCAGGTACTGTGAACTGGCCATGAAATAAAGCATAGGGTTTGGGAAGAAATAAATCCCTGTTACTGTATGAGCATTTCTCTTATAATAATGCCAGACTTGTGAGGAACACAACAGCAAGTATTTCCTCAAACGTCTATTTACTGCACCCTTACTACACGCCAGACCCTGTACTGAGCTCTGAGGAAAAATAGCAAACCACAAAGATGTCATTCCTGCTTTTACAGAAATTCTAGATAGGGAGTGTGAACACACAAACCAACCAACCCACAACGGCTTGTGATAAGTGCTATGAGAAAGACAAAACAGGTACTGTGATAGAAAATTTAAAAGGCATTATCTTCACTAGCAATCAGGATTTGTAAATTAAATTCCTTGAGATTCTACTTTTTGTACACCAGAATGTAGAGACATAAGAATCCACACATAACATTGGTACCTGTGCATTAGAACAACTGTCCAGGGGAACAATTTGGTAATTATTAGTGAAGTTAGAGGTGCCAACCCTACAATAATTTTACCCTCAGTTATAATCTAATGAAATTCCCAATCATGGTGATACACACACAAAGACATGCAAAGAGATGTACACTAAGTCTTGCTTATATCACAAAATTAGAAATAGCCCATGTACTCATTCATAGGGAAACTGATAATTACACCCTATTCACTAATGAAATACAAATAAAAAAGACTGAATTAAAACTGAATGTGGAGGTACACTTCTAAAATCTTAGCACGTGGGAGGTGGAGGCAGGAGGACCTCGAGTTTGAGGACATGTGTGGCTACAGAGTGAGATCCTATACAAAAGAAGAAAACATTTAAAAAGCAACTGAACACACAGTATAAGCACTAACAAGAGAGAAAAATCTTGAAGACACAAAGTAAGAGCAAGATGACGCCAGTTGAACTTCTAAGAATGGAGGGAAACACCAGATGACAAGGTTTATGCAGAGGACCTCCCCATGGTCAGGTAGTTGGCAACAGTGTGTGCCAGGAGTGTAAAGGGAGCTATCAGGGAAGTCAGGAAATGCACGAAGAAAAAGGAGCTATCACAGATGGAGTAAAAGAAAACATTTTAAAAGTAGATGAGGAAAAAGCACAAAAGTAAATTGCTTTGTCATGATTCATAATCTGGATGAAATTCAGAGTCAAATTTTGCTCCTTACAAAATCTCATCCTTTTATGGAGATCTCAGCCCCCACTTCCCCATAATATGCCTTCAAATCACGTAACAGCCAAAAAGCATCAAAGGACCATGAGTCTTAGGTTCTATTTGCTGCTCAATGTGGGCCTGCTTACGGCCCGGGGTTGTGGGTATCTCATGAAGTTCCTCATTTTCAAAGCATGTGGGTGTGAATGTTCTGAGAGGAATACAGAATGAAGGAAAGAAGGCACTCACCTCCATGGGGATTGATATATACATCCTTTGTAAACTAGTGCTTGGGCAGCTTGAACAAGAGTCCATGTGGGGATGAGTTGCAGAGACGCTTGCTATGCAGCTGCTTCAGTGGTCAGTCCACTGCAGGGTATGAACTGCTGGTGCCTTGCTTCTGTTGTCTTACTGACTCTTTCTCTGGTGACTTCCACCCCAGTATTCTAGACTATGACCCCACAATGAGAGCCTGTGCTCAAAGGGCGGAGCCTAAGTTAGCCCCCCTGGCATGCTTAGGTGACCTTCTCCAAAACTGTGTACTTGGGGAGCATGATCCCTTTGTTCTCCTGGCTGAAATCACACAGGTCCAGGCACTCTGTATCCCTGGCTCCCTCTCCCTCTCAGTGAAAGCTGTAGTCTTACTCAGAGTCTTTTTAAGAATTTAAGAGTTAGATATTACCATTATCTGATAATAAACAACTTTTATCTGTTTCTGGAGTCTACTCCCGTAAGCTAAATGTGCTGTCACTAGCATGATAAAGTCTGACCTGTTATTTATCTCTAATCTTGGTTCAGTTATGATCCCTTCATGTCAGTTATTCCTCCTTCCCCTCCCTGACCAGTCTGAAATAATTCAGGTAAACTTGTAGGATAACATGCACTAGGACATGTTAACATTTTTGTTAGTTAGAAAATGTGTTTCCAAGGGAGGTAAGAGGATAGGTAAGACAACTAAAAAACTAGATAGCATTTGTTGCCTTCAACGCAGAGAAACTAAAGCAGATACTTTAAAGCAACTGAGGCCAATAGGAGAAGGGGACCAGGAGTAGAGAAAAGATTAGTTCAAGAAGAATTAGTTTAGAAGGTAGCACACATGCACAGGAAATCAATGCTAGTCAACTCCCTGTATAGCTGTCCTATCTCAACTAGCAAAAACCCTTGGTCCTTTCTATTATTGCTTATGCTCTCTCTTCAACAAAATTAGAGATAAGGGCAAAATAGTTTCTGCTAGGTAGTGAGGGGGTAGGGGGAGAGAAGGAGGGGGCGGGGGTAAGGGAGGGGGTGGGGGAAGGGAGGAGAAATGACCCAAACATTGTATGCACATATGAATAAAATAAAAGTTAAAAAAAGAAAAAAAAACCTGTTTCAAATAAGCAGATTTCAGTATGAGCCTTTGGTGTAGTTTCCATTATAGGAGTGTGTGTGTGTGTGTGTGTGTGTGTTGCTGAGTATGGACCCCAGAGTCTTGTGTATGCCAGGCAAGGTCTTCATCACTGAACTACACCCCAGAACAATGTGCAGGAATTTTAGATATAATACCAGGTTATCACTCTCCTGCGTAGAGGTATACAGTTCACGGGCACAATCTCTAATACCATAGCGAAACAATTGGGCAATTACTCAGCCTCTTGCTTATCAATAGATCACATGTTCCTTTTTAAAGTTCCGTGATACTTTTTCCCTACTCTGGTCTTAATTCTCCCCCCTCTTAACTCTCTTACTGCTCACGTTTGTCAGTCTAGTCCAATCAATACTATTTGACATTACTTTAACTTTTCAGCCATCACAACTCTCAGCCTTCTTACAAATACACACTTCATTTGAAAACTTTTGCAATGTGTCAACCTAAAATCTGTCCTTCCTCCTTCAAAGTAAGCCCCATACCTTCTTCATATAGCCTTAGTTGACAATAAGGAGAGAGTAATTGACAATTTAACCAACCTAACAGCTTAGTACACTCTCTGAGCACAAGTGTTTCAGGGATGTGCATATGACCCAGAAACACATGTGACCTATGCTAAGCTCCAGATTGCCACAGACCAAAGACCAGGTGCACTGACTCTCCTCAGGGTCTGCATGTTGCCAGACAGTTCAGACCTGCCAGCCCTACACTCACATGAGCAAATTTCCTATAATAAATTCTTCTACACACACACATACACGCACATACACACACTATAGGCTCTGTGTCTCTGAGGAACCCTACTACCTTCTCTAAACTCCAAATCAGGGTGTGATTTGAGAAAGGATTTGTGGGCTGTTTTGAGGAATAAGTAGACCTGGCCCCTAGTTTTGACATAAAAAAATACCCCAAGAATTTTTAGGATATTTTGATTGTCCAATTGTCCTAACCACTAGGATTTTTAGTCAAATCATCATGGAAACTTAGGCTCAGCATAAGCATTTCTGTGCTATTTTTTGACCATTAATAGAGTCCTGAGGGAAGCATAGCTTAGTGGAAACTTCCTGTGGTCTTGTGCACTGTGGTGGCTGCGGTGGGGGGGGGGAATAAATGTGAGTAAGAACATTCAGACAGCAACCTGGGAGATGGACAGGGCTTCTATTTAACATTTTAAGTACTATACCCCTGTCCATGATGTGCATGTGTGTGTGAGAGAGAGAGAGAGAGAGGGAGAGAGAGAGAGAGAGAGAGAGAGAGAGAGAGAGAGAGAGAGAGAGAGAGAGAGAGAGAGAGAGTCCTGTATTTCACAGGACTCAAGCTTTCTACAATGATAGAAATAACTCTGTGCTGTATGATAAGGCAGTTACTAGTTACATGTGTTTATTGAGCACCTGACATGAGGCTTGTGTCACTGAGGAACTGAATTTTTTTCTGGTGTTAGGGGTGTAAGCCAGGCTATTGGCTGATCCATGCCCAGTGGCCCAGAACTGAACATTTCAAAACTTAAGTTGAGTATGGTGGTTCATACCTGTATCCTGGCTACTTGGGAGGTGGAGGTCAGGAGGATCATTATTGCAGGCTAGCCTCATGGAAAAGTTCATGAGACCCCATTTCAATCAATAAAAGCTAGGCATAGTGGTATGTGCCTGTCATTCTAGCTATGCAGGAAGCATAAATAGGAGGATCACAATACAGGCCTGCCTGGGTATAAATGGCAAATCCTATTTGAAAAATACTTAAAACAAAAAGGGCTAAAGGTGTGGCTCAAATGATAGAGCACTTGCTTGGCCCACCACCTATAATACTAATAATAAAAGAAAAAGAAACAAATTTAAATACCTGCATATGGCTCTCAGCTCCTGTTATGGAGTGTAGCTTTGGAGAATCAGGGAAGCAGGACTGGCAAACTCAGTCTCTAGATAAGCTAGGTGAGGGGGAAGGAAGCCTTGGTAGATGTCAGGCACTATAAAACCCTCCACATATAATTTTGCATAGTATTTGTCATTTTATTTATTTATTTTTTTGGTGTTGGATCAAATCCAGAACTTCTCCATCCTAAAACTAGACTCTATCGCTGATTATATATCCCAGCCCCTTGTATTCTCATATTTTCCTTTTGGTTTAATTTTTTTGCTGCTACTTAAGCTCCATGGGAGCAGGGAGGCTGCCTTTCTGGCTCACTGGAAAGGGCCTGGTATTCGGTAGACATTCATTGATGAATTGGGCTTTGCTGGTCAGTAGCCTCAGAGGTGGTAAAGTCAGGGCCCGTGCAACCTCCTGGAGCTTGGGAAGGGCCTGGCTCCCTTCATTTGCCCTCCCACAGGCCCCATAGCCTACCTGCTTGTGTGGCCAGAGGTCCCTGGTGTCTGACAGAGAGACTCAAGGTGGGGCTTGGCAGGGTTTTCTCTCTGCTGGGCAGACTTCCCATCGTCCCTCAGCAGACTCTCAAAGTACACCACTGGGAGAAATCTGAAAGAGAGGCTGCCATGGGAACAGAACCCATGGCTCCTAGCCTGGCCGCAGACCCCCAGCCCTCCCCAGCTGGGCCCTGATGATCTGTTCACAGACACGGGAATGACCCTCTCCAGTCAGGACCAAGCCCCAGCCCTTCCTCCAAGCTGCGACTCCCAAACACTGAATGCTGTTCCCTGCCCAGCCCATCACCCTCTGCCACGGCCTTGCCCATTCTCTGTGTCTGGGTCTGGGTTCCCTCCATTCCTCCCCCTTGGCCTGTCTGGATCCCACATTTCTCAGGAAGCTTCTATGGAATCTTCTGCCTTTACTGATCTTCACTCGAACTCCTACTACCCACTTGCAATTGTTTTTCTCACCTAGGCTCACATTCTGCCACTGGGGGGCAGGGGAAAATGGCAGGATGGTAAGTTCACTCCAGCCATGCCAGGAGCCAAGTTCAGGGACAGAGGAGGGGCTTGAACTGGAGTCACAGTAAGCAGAGGTGACACTGACACACTGTTCTTGGTGTCCCAGGGCAGATTGAGAAATCATGTAGGAGTCTGCCTACATGACATGGAGTGACTTGCAAGGCTCTGGGGGACTGTGGTGCACTTCCCCCCTCACTGCACTGTTCCCGGTCTGAAAAATGGGGGTAAAGACTCCCAGCAATTGGTCTGAGAGATAATGCCCTGAAAAGCCTGCCAGGGTCGTTTCCTTCTTCTTGTCCTGACCTTACTTCTCAGGCTCTTCCTGGAGGCCTCTTTCTCACTCGAACCATTTTAATTATACATTCATTTATTAAGCTGTTTGTTTTGTTTTGTTTAGATGGAGTCTTATTATGTTGCCCAGGTGGGCCTCGAGCTCCTAGGCTCAAGTGATCCTCTTTCCTAAGCTTCCTGAGTAGCTGGGATTGTGGAAGGTCCTGGTCACCACTAAAGCTCCAGCATTTGTTTAATCTGTCATTATCCTGTGGATCCCAGCCCCTCTCTCAGCATTTACTGAGACCCCACAGAAGGTTGTGAGCACATTACTAGGGTGAACAAAGATTTTGATAATTAGTAGGGTGAGCAAAGGAGATGTTTTAGGTCTGTGCATGTTTTAGGTCTTGTCCTTAGAACAAGAGTTCCCAGGTTTTAGAGGAAGGCTGATTTTTCCAACACTACATGAAAGTGTTGGGGAGCAAGGGGGCTGAATTCTCCCTTTCTTTCCAGATGGTCCCATTCTTTTCATCAGAGACAAGGTATAATTACACCTGTCCTGCTCAGGGCCAGACACCTGCCAAGGGCTGGGGGTTGGGATGTGGCGCTCATAGGATGGCACCCATGGTGGCTCCTCCCTTGCCTTGAGCCGCACAATACCCAGATGAGGACAATGTCTATCATTCCCATGGGAAGACTTCTATGGACTCCTGGGCAGTGAAGATCTGGCTCTGCAGAACAGAAGACTCTTTTCTGGGCCAGACCCCCGTCCTCGGTATTCTCAGCCCCACATCCTCGATGGGATCCCAGCACCTGTCTGAGGCTGCCCTGCATGGGGAGCTCAGTGTTCACAGTCACAGAGCTCCGCCACACCAAATGGGCCCATCCCTGGCAAATGGCCCTGATAGCCATTTCCAGATGAGACTTGTGGGATCCTGCAGCTTTGGTGTGTGAGGTGGCAATGCCACCGCCTGAGGGTTTGTACCTCATTGCCAGAGCACCAGCAGTTCAGCTGGTAGCTAGCCACACTGCACCTGGCCTTGTCTTGTCCTTTGTGTACAGGCCTATGGCTAAGTGCTGGTGTTTCTACCCATCTTGGGTAGCGTGGGTGATTAACTCAGACCTACTGGTCCCCTGCTATGTGGCCTGAAGCCAAGCATTTGAGCTTGCCAAGTGTCCCCTATGAAAGAGGGATGGTCACATACTCCACAGGGTGAGGGGGAGTAGGAAGAGCTTGGCTCAGGACAGGTTTTAGAAAGGCTTAGTTTCCTGACCTCTGCCCCGCCCCCACACCCCCCCTCCCCTGCCGTATGAGCAAGACATCCATCAACTGCAGTAAACCCCAAATATTCTGCCCTGCAGGTGCTGCTTGGGGCTGGGCTCCCAAGCCCAGGGCCCCTGTCCAGGACCCTGCAACTTTCTCCCTAGCACTGGTCATGTCCAGGAAGCCCATAGTGTAAAACAAGGACCAGGAAGTGGCAGGAAGGCCTAGGAGGTGTTGGCTCAGTATTTACAAGAGAGAATGGAATCATTAACCACGCACACATCTGACCAATTCCTGTGTGTAGGGCCCAGGTGAGTAGATGGAAGGTGAGTTTGTAAAAGGCAGTGGAGACCATCACTGCCTAGGCTCTTTTGTTTCATGTGAGTCCCATTTTCAGATGCAAGGACCCAGGCTCACAAGAAAGCCTGGTGCTAAGGCAGCAGGTTAGGTAGTGCAGAGCCGGCACTACTGCCCTTTTTCTGGGCTTTTGTGAGGCTAAAGGTTATTTTTCCAGAGCTATCAGAAGGCCTCTCCCTCTTTTCTTTTTATTTTTTTTGAAGCTGGGAAGTGAATGCAGTTTCCCACAGAGCTTCACCCCCAATCTACTCTTCCTCTTGAGAGGAACTGTACACTCTATAGCTGATGGTATCTTTGGGGAGGGTAACCAGAGCCCTATCATTTAGTGATCCAGTGGCCCAGAGAGGAGCCAAAAGTCATACAGCAAGTGGGAAGGGAAGAATGGACTAGAATGGGTACAAAGACATGTTGGAGAGAAGACTGCAGCTCTCTCTCTAGGAGGCAGGTAGAGGGGAGAGGTGGCTGGGTTCTCTGGGACCTCAGAGGCCACCTCTGTCAGTATGACCACTGCTCTCCTGGATCCCTGGTTCCTCACTAAAAAAGGCCACTCCCAGTCTCCAAGGGAACCATTCTTCCTCCCCGTCCCAAATTGGCAGAAAACAGAGCAAGTATACTCACTGGTTTCTTACCATCAGAGGACTGGGGAGTGAGCCCAGCTAGTTTGCATGCTTTGGCCCAAAAGGGTAGGGTCTGGAAGTCCTTCTGCATGCCAGTCAACAGCCTTGTTCTTAGGATAACCAGAACTCTCGGCTTGGGAGGGTCTTCAGAGGCTCCTGGTTTTGAGTTGGGTAGCTCAGCCTCTAGTTCAGCAGTGTGGACACTGGGATGGGCCAGGAGCTCTGCTTCTCAGGGACCCCAGCCCAGTCAGTCTTTTCTAATATAACCGGGTCAGGGTTCTGAGCTGTATTTAGAGGCATAAGTGCAGGTCTTCTGACCTCCAGCTCTTGTGTGAAGACTCTGTGGTTCTCACAGCCCCCATTTCTTTGTACTTGTACTACTTTTTTTCTTTGCCATGGTGGGGATTGAACTCTGGGCCACTTGCATGTTAGAGTTAGATCCTTAGCCCAGGACAAAGTATACAGAATAATTTTATACAATCATCTTGCATACAATCTATCTGGCTACCTCCCTGTCTCTCACAAAGCAGGCACTCGATTTTTCATTTTTTTTTTTTGGAGTGAATGGGAATAGAGTAAAAGTAAGGAATGAGTTGGGTTAGGAGGGCTTGGGTAGAGTCAGGAGTGGCCGGCACAAGGCTATGGTGGGAAAGCAGACAACCATCCACATGGGTGTGACCAAGAAGACAGAGAACCCACCATTGCCATTATATCCACTTAGCTTCGACACTGTGTATCACCGGGAACTCAGCATGTGATCCTACTTGTTCATGTGCATGTTTTCTCTCTACCAGATTGGCCTGGGACTTGTCATTGCCTGAATACAGTCCAGGGATGTATAAACCTGAATGTACTTATGGTAGCAGTAGTCTATGGATCATTCAAAACTGAAATTCTTTTTTTTTTCCACCTGTGTCATGGCGTTTGAGGATAGACCCAGAGAACAGGAAGCCCCTGGCACCGAAGACATGGCACCAAGAGGGACGGAGCCCTTTCCTTCTGCCTCCATGCATAATGGGAAGTGGGACCACACACCCAGTCCCCGCCAAGAAAAGGAGGGTCAAATTATTCTTGATGGGTACAATAAAGGCTCACTGGTGATGTACAGACTCGTCTCAGTAAGTGGTTGCAGATTATTACAGGATATATGGGATGCAGCAGTTCCACACAGACGTTGAGCTGAGATGTAGAAAAGTCTTCCCAGACTTCAGCTTCTTCTTCATGACCACAGCACTGTTGGGTTTCTTAGAATTTTTGATTTGAGGGAAACATGGCTATGTCATATGGACAGGGATTCAGTTTGGCCTGGGCTTAGAGGTACTGTGACCTTGGGCAAGTATTTTATCCTGGGGCTTCATTTGTTCCCTATAAATGGCAGTGTCACTGGGGTGATAAGTGATCACAGACATGAAAATGCATAGCCCAGACCAGCCACAGAAACTCAGTTCCTCCCATAGCCCAAGGAAGTGCTTGAGAGAAATAACACTAGCAATCAGGTAACAATGAGACATATACAGCTTTATTTAGTAATTCGTAAAAAGTCACTCTGACAGAGTGCATTCCTCATCTGAGCAGAAAGCAAACAATGTGTCTGAAAAGTCTTTCCAAGATTCAGAACTGTGAAACTCTGAGCTCAACATCTCCATGCTCCCAAGAGCTGGGTCCTTGCTGTGTGGCAGCTGGCCTCCAGGTCCTTTTACCCTCCTCCCAGCCATTCCCCCTGCCTGCTGGGACTCTCTCACCTACAGCAGATGGGGCTGAAAACCATTTTGCCTGGATGGGGCTGCCTTGCACATTGGCCCCTTCCCTCTTACAAAGGGACTTCTCAGGATTCAAACTTTCTCAGAAATAGGTTCCATATCAATTTAATGTAGCTTCCACTAAGTTGGCTGAAATCAAGGCTAGACTGTTCAAGATGAGATTGTGTAATGGCTCTTCCTCTGCCCCCACTCATATCCTCACAGTAGATGTGATTTTTAGGTCATACCTCTCTCTGTCCTGGGACTCCCTTTTTTGAGAGCCATTCTCTGTCACAGACCTGGGAGGCACTTCCTGTATGTAAAGTGTAGACATCTGCTAAGTGGCATCCCATGTTAGAGCAGCAGCAGTTTTGCTCTGCAGAGCACAGCCAGACATGTTGTTTCCCACCTTCCTGGGCTAAGAGTGTGTACCAATTTGGCTTCTCCTTTGAAGAAAGAAAAGTCCTTGTATCAGAGCCTCATGGTTCATGGACTTCTAGTAGAATATAGCCCTCCCTTTTATTTATAGAACAGCATGTATGAATCCACATGGACAGAGGAGGTGGCTGCCACCCTGTCTACCTCTCTCTGTAACAGGCCACCACTCTTCATTACTGGTCACAGTCAATCAGTGGTCCAGAGAGTAATTATGGTTTCCCATATTCCTCAGAGCTGCTCTCTTCTGAAATCACTCTGCACTTCCTGTTTACCAACTGGAACCAAAAGGCAATCTAGTGGCTAGCCCCAGCTAGACATCTGTTCTGCATGTTTCCCTTAAAAACACCATTGAGAATGCAAAAAAAAAAGAAATGTCCCTTTTTTGTTTTTGCAGAAGCACTACAGAAAGCATGTCTAAAATCACAGAACTAAGCTCACACAAACAGACACACGTGCTCGCGCACACACACACAATTGGAATCAAAGAATCTTATCAGATACATCGTTGGGCGAGCACAGGAAAGAGCTGGCAAGAGAAGAGATGGAGCTCAGCTCAGTTAAAGATGTTGGAATGTTACCATAATGGCATGGAAGTGGTTCTTGGTACATACAAAAAGGGGTGTGTAGGCAGAGAATGATAAATCCAGGCTACTTGAGAGAGGGTCAGTGACCATGCATGAGTGAAGGACGGTGGAGGCCAGTTGACGGTATGAAATGTTCTATTATGGAGTGGTCATCTGAAGAAGGGGGGACTTGCATGGTCCAGGAGAGGAGCATCTGCTCAGCAGGACACCTCCATGGTCTGGTGTCTGTCCAGGGCATCAGGGGACTCACAGGATTCTTGAGTTCCATCTGACTGATTGCTGGTGACAGACCTGCTGAAGGGACTTTCTCCAGAGCCGATGCTACTTGAGGTCGAGTGGGTTCGTGATCGGGCGAGCCGGGTCATGCTGGCAGAAGGTACTGTAACAAAGAACCAAGAGGACTAGAACAAGGAGCCTGGTAAATCTCAGTGAATCTACAATTTTCACTGCAGGCTTTCTGTTTAGCTTTTCCAGCCTTCCTAAGATGACACCTAGGACAAGATAGAGCCACCCCACTCTGCAGTGTTTGCTCTAGGTAAGAGTCTATATGCAAGGCTGTTTTGATTCTCTGTGTCTGGCTGGTCTTAGCTCATTCTAGTCCACAGTAGAATGGGAGGAAGCCCTAAGTCCAGGCTGCAGCCTCTTAGCTATGCCCATGCCATTCATACAGTGATTAGGAAGGAGGCTTTGGGAACCAGTCACCAAAACCTACAGTGCATGCAAGACTAATCTGAAAAAACAAAGAAAAACCACACAAGAATGAAGGTGCTTCACAAACAGTGCAAGCCCGATACAACGAGACTACCATCCATGTCCACAGGCTATCCTTGCCATTCTGGGAGGAGATATGAGTACAGTGTAGGTAGAAGGGAGGGCAGGTGGCCTGGAGCTGATCTCCATACTTCAATGAGGCACAGGTGGCTAGGTGGGGAACCTCCGCAGCTGATGAACTCAGCTGCCTTCCACTACTTTGACCCTAAGATACTTCCAGCCTGGCCTGGTCAGGCCAAGACCTGATTTAACTTTCTGCCTACTGTACTGAGGCACTGGCCACTCCCCTAGTTGTCATTTTGAACAATGGAGTCAAAAAGATGCCATCACCTTTGTATTTCTCTGGGCCCTAACATTTCTACTTAAGAGTCAAGACTATGCTTCAATCTCTGTGTCCCAGCCTCACCTCTAGGATCAGTGGTTGCAGGTGGAAGGGAATCCCTGCCCACCAGGTTTTAGCTGCTGCTATGATTCTAGATTTAGGATGAGAAGAGAAGGCCTGGGCATTCCAACCTGATCCTTTCCTCCTTCTGGGGGAGCAGGCTGAACCTGTTGGCTAAGCTTTTGGAACACAAGGAGCCCTGTTCTATCGGGCTCTCACTGCACAGGAAAACCGCGGACATGCTGCAGGCAGCCAGTGCAGCAGGGAGAGCATGGCTGGGAGACAGGAAGGACCAGCACAGAGGAAGGTACCTGACTCGGTGCTGAGGTGACTGAGTTGCACATACGGGACTGGAAGCAGGATGGACACAGGAAAAGGCAAGTTAGTGACCCAAAAGGGCCAACTGGCCATGTCTGCCACCTAGTAGACGCTGACAGAATATTCTATGTCAGGGATGACAGTTTCCTTAGAGGTCCCAGAGAGGAAGGTGAGGATGAATGATGGTTAATTATCATCTTGGATATCCCTTCTCTCTAGACAAGGCAGCTGTTCTGCTGCCTCCACTCTATATGGCTGTCCTGCTCGGGATCAGAAACAGGCTGTAGATCAGATGCTTCCTGGGAAGGGATGAGAACACGCTAGGAGGGGACATATGCTGCTCCCAATGAGCCCGAGGGCCATGGGTGTGGGCTCAGTTGGTAGAAGCTCACAGACAGGGACAACACAGTCACTTTAGACAAGACAAACATGGTCTGCCTGGCAGGTACAGAGCTGCACCCAGAGCTGCAAAGGCAGCTCACCAATGCCTGTCACTCAGGTGGTGCCAAAGGTGGGAAATCACCCTGTTGGGAAAAGAGCTCTGTACCTGGCTGAAAGGGTTTTCTTAAAACTCCAGGAAAGGAGCCAGTGGAGTTTTCTGTGACAAATGAGAAAGCTCAGGGGTCTCAGATATGAGACCAGGACAGCAGCACATGATACTGACACATGCTTAGACGTGCCCTGAAATACACGGCCAGCTCATCACCTGTGGTACAATGATTTCACTGAGGACACTACCCTTTTCTTCTAGAGTCTCTGCTGTGTTTCTTAGACCAGGAGTTATGAAACAGCTGAGTTCAAATGCAAATCATAACCTCAGTGGCTAAAAATGTGGGCTCTGGAGTCCAAGGTTTCAATGATGGCTGTGCAGTCCAATTGTTGCCCTGGGAAATGTGCTTCCCTCTTTAAGCTTCAGTTTTCTCTCCAACAAAATTGGTCTAACAACACAGTTACCTCTTCAGTCAAGAAGATATGCTGCATGACACAGGTAAGTACTTAATCAATGTTATCTTTTCCTAGACATATGCACAAAACATGTGCCACAAACATTGTGATTTTTTTCTTTAAGGCTGACTAGCACAGATGTTATGCCCTGAGATTTGTGTCTTCCTAGATGTCAAACTGACCCCATTATCTAGAAATCTTTGCTAGGTAGAAAGTTGTATACTACTCACTGTAACCCATTCCCTGCAAAAAGTACTTGAAGGCTTCGGTGAGCTTCCCGGGCTAGGGGGACAAAATGAGAAGTATTAGTTTTTGCATAAGAGAGGGAGCAGTGCAGTGACACCCTTTAAATTATTATCATTAAAAACTCCTTACCTGAACTACTTGGGGCAACCCCCCGCAATCTGCCATCTACAAGAGCAAAAACATCTAGGTCAGCAGGTATTTCACTAAGAGAAATGCTCTGAACATCCCAAGACCTTCCAAAGGACACGGTTGAATTTTTGGTCCCTTAATGTTCAACTGCATGCAAGCTCACCTCTCCTCAAAGCATTCTATACAAAGACTCAGATACTAAAATCCTTGGATAGAAATCTGGAAGAATATTGTATTTACTCACCCACAAGATGCCAGGTCTAGCTTTCAGGCCCACCCAGGGTGTTCCACTGTGGAAACAGTGAGTTCAGCCACTTCCTGCTTTCTATCTTTCTTTCTTTTTTTTGGTACTGGGTTTTGAACTCAGGGCCTTACGCTACTAGGCAGGCGCTCTACCTCTTTTCTGTGTTGGGTATTTTCAAGATAGGGTCTTGCAAACTATTTTCCTGGGCTAGCTTCGAGCCATGATCCTCCTGATTCCTGCTTTGTGGAGTAGATAGGATTAGAGGCATTAACCACTGACATTGGCCTTTTTTTTTTTTTCCAATGCTGGGATGGAACTCAGGGCCTTGCACATGCCAGGTAAGCAAGCTCTACCACTGAGCTACATCCCCAGCCCCTCAGTCATTTCTTTCAAACCTGGTTTTGCTTTCCTGTGAAGCAAGTTACTTTCAGAGCCTAACTACTTAGTGTTTCATGTTTCTAGGACTCCTTTCATCTTTGGGGAGTGGGGCAAGGAAAGGGGTTTGTAATGCTCCCATGATGGGCTTGAACTTGTGATCTTCCAGCTACAGCCTCCCAGGTAGCTGGGAATATGGGCATGCACCACCCCCACACCCCATGCCTTGCTTTCTAAGTCTCCTTTAAACTCTATATTGTCCTCCCTGTATGATAAATGGAGTCATCCAACCAGGAGTCAGGGTAAATCCCACCAATCTGCCTGGACAGACACTGACCTCTCTAGTTCCATCTAGTGGAGTTGATTTCACTTCTGAAGGTTTTACATTGGTTATTCCTAAGGCCTTTCCAGTGTGCACTGGAACTACCAGGTTAAACTCAGATTCTTGGGTTCTTGCCCCAGGGACTCTGAGTGAATAGGTCTGGGTAAGACGGAGATTCTGCTGTCTACAGAAAGTCCAGCTCCCAGCGCATGGGGCCAAAGACCCAGCCTCTTCCAGGTGCTGACTCTCACCTCAGAAGATCCTATTTAGCTGCCTGGCATTTTAAAAAAAGGAACATGAATCTCTTGGCTTCAATTCACTGGCATTAAAACTATCTTTGAAGGGGGACTGTTATTCATAACAGAAGAAGGCCACAGAAGGCATAGTAGTTCATCTGAAATTCTGGGCATAAGATGAGAACCATACATTTAATCTGACCAGTATAAAAACAGAACCAACTAGAACAGGCTGTATTTTCATGAAGTACAGTTGCTAAAACCTGATCCGAACCATAAAATAGTTCCCATATGCAAATTTATGATACTAGGAGGACCTAAATTTTTTCTTTTTTTTGTATTCCTGGGTATTAAACCCAAGGTCTTACATGTGTTAGGTAAGCACTCTATGACTGATATATACTCCCAGCCCAGGAGAAACTATTTCATACATTGGTACTCATCAAATAGTTGAGAATCTGTGCAATCTGCCACAAAGAGCTCTCCCTCTGCTCCACGCTGTTGGGGATGGATGTGTATTACCCAGAAAGTTCCTCACCTATGGCTGTTGTAGAGCCATAGGTTTTTGTGCATTAAAAAAAATTTTTTTTTGAGGCAGGACCTTGTACTTGCTAGGTAAGTTCACTACCACTTGAGCCCCATTTCTAGCCCTTTTCGCTTTAGTTCATTCTTTATGTAGGGTCTCACTTTTGTCTGGGGCTGGCCATGATCCTCCTACCTTTGCTCTTGCAGAGCTCATATTATAGACATGGAACTCTATACCCAGGCCTAAATTTTTTGCTAAGGATGGGGTCAAACTGTGACCCTCCCATCTCTGCCTCCTGTGTTGCTTGCATTACAGGCATTCACCACTATGCCTAATAGTTTGTTCGCTTTTAAACAGTGATTGAAACTTGCAGTGAAAAATTAATTTGAAATGACCAACTTTTTATTCATACTTTATCCAGCAATCATCTGGAGTCTACAACACTTGTGTTTGGCTACCTCAGAAATCTAAGCCTATGATACAATTCTCCAACTATGGGTTGCTTCTGGTACAGAGCTTCCCTTTCTTTTTCTTTTTCTTTTTTTTTTTTTTGAGTTACTGGGGATTAGACTCAGGGCCTACACCTTGAGCCACTATGTCAGCCCTTTTTTGTGTGATGGGTTTTTTCGAGATAGTGTTTTGTGAACTATTTGCCTGGGCTGGCTTTGAACTGCAATCTTCCTGATCTCTGCCTCCTGAGAAGCAAGGATTGCAGGCCACGGGTGTCCAGCTCAGAGCTTCTCTTTCAAGAACACTTCATTGAGCAAGGGAAGAAGGCAGAGAGAGGTTTTGCAGACTAAATCTAAGCAGTAAGCAACAGAAGATCAGCATTTGAATCTCTAATAGCTTAGGCAGGAGGTAGGCTCTCAGCTTCCTAAACATGCTGGACTTGGGCTGGAGCTCCGTAATACAGTGCTTGCCTGGCATGCAGAAGGCCCTGGGTCCATCCCTAGCACCCCAAGTATACAAAATGTTTCTCTCCTAAACTAGCAGAGGCTCTGGGAAATGCTAGGTTGAGACAATACTAACTGCTCACGGTACATGTGAAAGTGGAACAATCGTGATACTAGCCCTAGAACTTTAGTACAAGAGTTGCTATCTACTTGACCTCAAAGAAAGAAAACGTATCCACCTTGATTACCAGAATGTTCTTGGAAGCTTCATGACCAGTACAGCAGAATTTAGCTTAACAAGAATTTCCATGCAATTATCTTAATTCTCATAACAACATTGAATAATGGCTATAAAACTGTTACTGCTATGGGAAAATACAACAAAAATGTGAGGGAAAACAGATATGGGGCTATGAATTCTTTTGATCTGAATGACCAGGAACTTGGGTGTGGTAAATTGATAATCTCAACACTGGAGAGTTAGAGGCAGGAGGATGGTGAGCTAGAGGACAGTTTGGGCTGCACAGACAGTTCTAGGGAACCATACACTATGAGACTCTGTCCTCAAGACCAAAAATAAAACGGAAAGTATAGGAAAAAAAGACATCAACATTTAAAAAAAAGTAAAAGGCAAAAGCCAGGCACAAGTGGCAGGGCCTATAATCCTAGCTACTCAGGAGGCAGAGATCATGCTTCTAAGCCAGCCATGGCAAATAGTTCATAAGATCCTACCCCAAAAAAAAAAAAATCCATCACAAAAAAACAGCTGGTGGAGTGGCTCAAGTAAGTAAGAGTGCCTACCTGCAAGTACGAGGCCCTGAGTTCAAACCCCAGTGCTGCCAAAAAACTCCAAAACAACAACAAAAACAAACAAACAAATCACCAATAATTTACTACAGGTTACCTTTGGGGGTCTGCATTATGAGGAATTCTTAAGATTTTTATTCTTTATGTTTTTCTTTATTTTCCAATCAGAGTATATTCAGAAAACAAATTTAAGAGAGAGATGGACAGAGAACCCTAGAATCATTCAGAGAAGCTTTGCTTCTTTCTGTGTAGCTATTCTAGAGAACACTAATTTGAAGCCTGTCTAATTTACTCACAGGTGGCTGGCAGTGAGGGAAGACATCTTACCTTCAGCAAAGTTGTATTAATTGGGTTGAGGCGAGAGTTGCATTCAACCTGAAAAACAGACGAAACAAATTTTATAAGTTGTTAGAAAAATAAGAAATAGTTTGGCATGACAATGGTCTTACGAGATCCACAGCTCAGTTTGCCAATGGCTGGACCAGCCAAAGATCTCCAAACCACACAGTGGAATTATATAGGGTGCGTGTTATAGCTGACAGTTGACAAAACATCTAAAACTCTGGCTAATTTCATTTTCTGAATCTGTTACAAGTAGGCCTTAAAGCAGGTTGTGCTGAATCTAAAGATTCTGCATCCTGGCTACATAACACATGGACAAGGCACCTTGACTTCTCTGAGAGGTGAACTGAACCTTGACCCTGTCCTGCTGGGATTTCTCAAATGCCTTCCCAGCACTACTGGTCCGAACAACTGAGTCCTGAGCACCTTCCGAGCCTTCTTTCTCACTCCTCCCTTGGGCCCTGGAGTGCAGCCTTTGCAGTTCTTATACCCTGACTCAGAATTCTGACTCAAGATCTTTGGCTTTGCAGCGTAACACTGAACTCCTGGAGAACTGTTGTCTCACAGTAGTCATCATAATTGAGGATGACAGCCCAATACACTGACACCTTTACTATCTTCTACATTTATATCCATATGAAGGCAGAGACCTCAAAGGAAACATTTTGGACAGATCATCTCTGGGTTCGGCAATGGTTTTTGTGTCCTTCCTTCCTTCAAACCCAGGGCCTTGTGTGGACTCAGCACACACTTCAGCATTGAACTGCACACCTCCAGCCCAACAGGTTCGGGAATATTTTTATAGTTAATTTGATGAACTGGCTTTCCCCGTCACATGTTTCCAGGAACACACATATAAAACCTGTGCTGAGAACTTAGAATCCAGTGGGGTGAAAATATGTAACACAAAGCAAAAGGAAATCACTTTGAAAATGTCACAGTTGAGCCGAGTGAGCCCAGAAGGATGAGTGGGATTTTCAGAGATAGATCAGGAGAAGAGGTGGGTGTTTGAAGGCTTCCATGCTTGCATGTGTGTGGTGACAGCAGTGAGTGTGAAGTGAGGATACATGTAGTGAGGCTGAGAGCAGACTGGAGCTGACTGTGGAGGGAAGAAGCCACAGGCTTCTGAAGTGACTGGTTTGGAGCTGTTTTAGGGGAGCAGTAAGCCACACAGGGAGTGACCAAGGTTCCTAGGGAGAACCAGCAATCCAGCTGAACTTTGGATCTGGGATTGCTAATGGGCAGGTATACAAAGCTCTTTTAAAATCAGGAGATGATATATGGAAATACAAGAGGCCACAAATAGCCAAGGCAATACTCAGTCAAAAGAACAACGCTGGAGGTATCACGATACCTGACTTCAAACTATATTACAAAGCAATAACAATAAAAACAGCATGGTACTGGCACAAAAACAGATATGAAGACCAGTGGAACAGAATAGAGGACCAAGATATGAAGCCACACAACTATAACCAACTTGTCTTTGACAAAGGAGGTAAAAATATACGATGAAGAAATAGCAGCCTCTTCAAAAAAAACTGCTGGGAAAACTGGTTAGCAGCCTGCAAAAAACTGAAACTAGATCCATGTATATCACCCTATACCAGTATTAACTCAAAATGGATCAAGGATCTTAATATCAGGCCACAAACTCTAAAGTTGATACAGGAAAGAGTAGGAAATACTCTGGAGTTAGTAGATATAGGCAAGAACTTTCTCAACGAAACCCCAGCAGCATAGCATAGATAAATGGGACCTCATAAAACTAAAAAGCTTCTGTTCATCAAAAGAAATGGTCTCTAAACTGAAGAGAATACCCACAGAGTGGGAGAAAATATTTGCCAGCTACACATCAGACAAAGGTCTGATAACCAGAATATATAGGGAACTTAAAAACCTAAATTCTCCCAAAACTAATGAACCAATAAAGAAATGGGCAAGTGAACTAAACAGAACTTTCTCAAAAGAAGAAATTCAAATGGCCAAAAAACACATGAAAAAATCCTCACCATCTCTAGCAATAAAGGAAATGCAAATTAAAACCACACTAAGATTCCACCTCACCCCTGTTAGAATAGCCATCATCAGCAACACCACCAACAACAGGTGTTGGCGAGGATGCGGGGAAAAAGGAACCCTCTTACATTGTTGGGAATGTAAACTAGTACAACCACTCTGGAAAAAAATTTGGAGGCTACTTAAAAAGCTAAACATTGATCTACCATTTGATCCAGCAATACCACTCTTGGGGATATACCCAAAAGACTGTTACTCCAGAGGCACCTGCACATCCATGTTTATTGCGGCACTATAAACAATAGCCAAGTTATGGAAACAGCCAAGATGCCCCACCACTGACGAATGGATTAAGAAAATGTGGTATCCATACACAATGGAATTTTATGCAGCCATGAAGAAGAACAAAATGTTATCATTCGCTGGTAAATGGATGGAATTGGAGAACATCATTCTGAGTGAGGTTACCCTGGCCCAAAAGTCCAAAAATCGTATGTTCTCTTCTCATATGTGGACATTAGATCAAGGGCAAACACAACAAGGGGATTGGACTTTGAACACATGATAAAAGCTTTAGCACACAAGGGAGGGGTGAGGATAGGTAAGACACCTAAGAAATTAGCTAGCATTTGTTGCCCTTAACTCAGAGAAACTAAAGCAGATACCTTAAAAGCAACTGAGACCAATAGGAAAAGGGGACCAGGAACTAGAGAAAAGGTTAGATCAAAAAGAATTAACCTAGGAGGTAACACCCACGCACAGGAAATTAATGTGAGTCAACTCCCTGTATAGCTATCCTTATCTCAACTAGCAAAAGCCCTTGTTCCTTCCTATTATTGCTTATACTCTCTCTTCAACAAAATTAGAGATAAGGGCAAAATAATTTCTGCCAGGTATCGAGGGGGTGGGAGGGAGAGGGAGGGGGCAGAGTGGGTGGTAAGGGAGGGGGTGGGGGCAGGGAGGAGAAATGACCCAAGTGTTGTATGCACATATGAATAATAAAACAATAATAATAAAAAATAAATAAATAAAGACTGGACTAAAATAACCACAGTATATCAAAAGCAAATAAAAAAAATCAGGAGATGATTAAAAGTCAGGATCACAGAGTCAGAATGTCGATTTGCTCTATACAAGTGACAATATAGACAGTAGCATACAATTGCACCCGTTCAGATCAGTATAGAATACGTATTAACTCAAAAGGCAGAATTTATAAACTCAATTCCTAACTGCCAGGCACAGTGCTCAGAATATAGTAGGTATGCTATAAAATGAACAATAGGGAGTAGTGGGGCAAAGTCAGAATTAACCTTCAGGACAATAAGTTTAAATAAATAATGTTAAATCTACAAAAGTGAATGTTGTTCAGAAATAATGATTTTAGGCTTGGTGTAATTACTCAAATGGTAGAGTGCCTGACTAGCAAGTATGAGGCCCTGTGTTCAAACCCCAGGACGGTCAAAAAAAAAAAAAAAAAAACTTTGTAATATGGAAAATGCTTTCCATAGTGTTAAGTAATCTGTCTCCTCAATCTGATATATTTAATATAATCATGTCTATAGTGAAGAAAAATGTAAGTCTGTCTGAGTGATGAGATAATGATTTCCCCATCCTTCTATTTTTTAATGTTTTCTAGAAAGAACCCATCACCTTTATCACTGTGCTCAGTATTTGAGACAGAGGTAGAGAAAGGCACCCAAGCTCTTGGCAGCCTTTTGGCCTGCTGGATTTATGGTGGTAATCTATTCCAGATTGAAGGCTGAGGCTGCCAGAAATCTGACAATAAATAAATGGTGTTTTATTGCACTACTTGCCACAAAGTGAACTGCCCCACACAAAGCAATCAAGGCAATACTGATCCCATCTGATGAAAGCTAGTGACCGATGGGCAGTTACTTTTCTAAAATGTGTAAAAGCAAACCCTGATATATACAATCTGATACAATAAAAGCTAGTATTTACCCATGGTTTCTAGTATGTCTATAGTGTGCCCTATACATTTGACTACATTTTAATCTCATCCTCCTCACAACATCAAGACATACTTACCACAGCCTCCACAGCCGGTGAACTGTCCCCTACCACCAATAAAGTGGAACACCTAGGTACAGGCAGGAAAAGAGGTGTCACTCGGAAATAAACACATGTTCTTCACTGAACACTGACTCAATTATGACAGGCAAAGATATCGAGCAATTCAACGTGGAAATTGAGGGACTTACTTCAATGTTTTTAATCTGTTGTCATTTTGGCCCAGTATGGGTCTTTCAATCTCCAGATCTCTGCGTCTAGAAAAACAGAGAGGACAATCTATGCATTTTTCAGGTAAAAGCATGGTACCTCAGGTTATTTCCTGGTTGTGAAACCAGGCCATGTATCAAGGCCTGTGACCACTGTCTTTCCTTCATCCCTAGAGTCAGCAAGGGCCCTGAACTGTGCTCTTGAGTCAGTGTTTCAATGGCATCCTGAGTGGCACAGAGCAGAAATGAGGGAATCTGTGGGATGCTAAAGACAACTTTAAACCCCATAAGCAACACTGTTGAAATCCTCAAGTCCTAAGTGTTTAATTTTCCAATTAGTTTACAGGAATAAACTCCTTAAGGGAAATGAATGACTTGAAGCAGGGGCATTTTCCTTGTAACAGTTTAGCACAGGACTTTTAACTTTCCGATTTCATCTAAAAACAGGGAAGCTCTAGAGATACAATTCAAAATCTGGCTTTGCTCCTTACTGGCTGCACAGCTCTGGGAAAGTTACAGCTGACCCTTTTGCATGTTTCCAAAAAGCTATAAGGGACTAACATTTCCACCTTGGAAAAGCTGTCTCTAAGAGAGGAATCAGTGCTCTCCCCTCAAACTACCCTCTGATGGGGAGAGATGTGACAGTGAATTCTAGAATATACATACAAGAGAAGTGACTAGTGTCTGTGAGTTACTGCTGCTTTATGAGCAGTTATCAGCGAATAGCAACTAGATCAAGAGCCAGGTCTTCTCTCCTTTGCCTCCCTATATGTGCGTGCCTGTGCTCCCTCAAGTTACTTGTATAGTTTTGTGAGTGTATGTAACTTAGATTCCTTTTGTCTCAAAATATCTTAAAAGTATAGCTGGTATCTGAACATACAGAGAGTGGCTTTCAGTTCACTGGATCTTCTTGAAAGCTTTTTGTATTTGTTAAAGGCCTTCCACTACTAGTGTGGTCAAACAGCTTAGCAATCCCATCACACAACAATGGTAAAAGGAGTTTATATGCCCTTCCCCTCATTTGTGGATGTCAATCTTTTTTTTTTAAGACCTGCTCTACAATTAAGTGATGGAATGGGAAATAACTGTACCCATTATAAGAACCCAGGAAAAGCTGTAGGTTTTCTTGGTTAATATCTTGGGCAATATGCAGTCTGTATGTTTGAATAAGGTCCAGGTTGGCTTGTAATTCTTCCTAGAACAAGGGAAAAAAGACACAAGTAAATTTCTGAGCTGCAGAACAAGTCCATCTTATCTCCATTTTCAATGCCAAAAGCCAACTCTCATTGTCCACAATGGTTTTTGGAGTCAAGGCTGGGAGGTACTAATCTATTGGTAGGCTGCACAGCTAAAATATTTTTTATTTGCCTCGGTCTGGTTTGATGCCATATTCTGGGTCAAATGAGGGCTCTGAAGAACCTACTATGGATTCAAATACTAGCTGGGAATTATAGATTATTTAACCATTCTGAACCCTAGTTTCCTTAATTTGGGTGTGTATGTGTATGTGTTGGTGTTCTGCCACCGACTGTAAAATGGAGATAATAACTGGCTACCTGACAGGGCTATTTTAAAGATTAAATAAGAATAGGTATAAGAACACTCAGTGTCAAATAAATGGAAGGCAACATTTACCCTTCTGTTTTTTTTTTGGAGGGATGGGTTTTCAAACTCAGGACTTTGAGCTTGCAAGGCACCTCTACTGCTTGAGCCACACTTCCAGTCCATTTTATTCCGGTTATTTTTTTTCCTTCCTTTTATTTTATAGTTTTTACATTTACTTACAAGTGTATACATTGTTTGTGCCACCTCCCCCCGCCCCACCCCCATACTCTGGTTATTTTGGAGATGGAGTCTCATGAACTATTTGCCTAGGTTGGCCTGTAACTGTGATCCTTCCAATCTCAGCCTTCCAAGTAGCTAGGATTACAGGCAAAAGCCACACCAGCACCTAGTTAACATTACTCTTAATGTAAGTCAGGGTTGGGGTGCACCTTAGTGGTACAGTGTTTCCCTGGCACTGCAAAAAAAGATAAAAAAGGTCCAGTTGTGTGGGTGGCTCATGCCTGTAATCCTAGCTACTTGGAAGGCTAAAATTGGGAGGACTGCAGTTTGAGATAAGCCCAAGTGAGACCACCATCTCCAAAATAACCACAGGAATAATGTACTGAAGGCATGGCTCAAGCATTAGAGTGCCGGATTTTGCAAGCAGGAAGTCCTCAGTTCAAACCCCAGTCCCACCAAAAAAAAAGCCACAAATATGTACAATTATCTACATTTTCACTGATATAATCTGTGTATTACCAATTCAAATACTAACACTTCATATTATACATTATAGAATTATATATTACTTGCCACATAACATTTTATTGATCTAATGAATTTAACATTTGTTTTAACCTCATTATCTATACCTGGTAAAGTATATTAAGTGGGGGGCAAGGGATGTAGCTCAGTCATATAGTATTTCTTAGCATGAGGAAGTCCCTGGGTTCCATCCCCAGGACAAGAATTGAAAGGAAAAAAAAACAAAAACAAAAACAGTAAACAACATGGTCTCCACAGAAAAGTAAGTAATTCTCCACATCACTTACTGGCCAATAGTTATTCTGTTTTTGGCCTTTTCAGAAGCCATCAGAATTAGTTGCCAGATTCTTCTGTGCATATGTGTCCATGTTAATATGAACACACATGCGCACATACACAGATCAGTAAGCAGCTTTAAGGAGAAGGGGAAAATTTTTTTTGCAGGGTCTCTTAACTCCCGGGTTAAATGATCGTTCGACCCCTTTCTCCCGAGTAATTAAGACAACAAGCCGGTACACCACTACACACAGCTCAGGAGGGAAAATTTTTACCTTGGATGAAAAAAAGTGTACCTGAGATAATACAAAAGTTAATACATTCAGAGGAGTATATAGGATTACCAAGCTTTGCAGAGAACTAGAGATAAGGAAAAAGCTTTTTTCATTTTCATCACCATATGAGTAAAGTGACTTAAGAATATAGGTCAAAACTGACTGGAGTCTGTCTGGAACTGAAAGCACCAAAATCACTCTGAAGAAACTTGGCCAGGGTCCCAGTCTCATTCTAAACTATTATAATAAGAAAAATAAGGGGCTGGTGGGGTGGCTTAAGCAGTAAGAGCACCTGCCTAGCAAGCATAAGGCCCTGAGTTCAAACCCCAGTGCTGCAAAAACAAACAAACAAAAAAAACTAACATGACAAATAACAATACAAATAACAATAATTAAGAGATGAAAGGCTCTCCCCTTGCAGGTCTGGAGAGGAGCCTGAGCAGTAAAGTATAAGATAAAAAGGAAAGAAGTGATATTGATACTTAAGGGGCAAATCTGGGCCTAAGTGCTAATGGAACATTTTAGGCAAAGCTGAATTACATATGTCCCCCATACACACATACCTTTTTAAAAACACAAATTATAAGCTGGTGCTGGTGGCTCATGCCTATAATCCTAGCTACTCAGGAGACAGAGATTGGTAGGCTCACAGTTCAAGGCCAAGCCAGGCAAAAAGTTCACAAGACCCTCATCCCAACCAATAAGCTGGATGCAGTGGCACATGGTCATCTTAGCTATGCAAGAGCTAAGATCAAGAGGACTGTGCTTCCAGGCCAGCCCTAGCAAAACATTCAAGAGACCAACTCAACAGAAAAAGCTGGGTGTGGTGGTGCCTGCCTGTCATCCCAAACACCATGACAAGCATAAATAGGAAGATCACGGTCCTGGCCAGCGCAGGTAAAAAGTGAAACCCTTTCTCAAAAATAACCACAGCAAAAAAGGCTGGAGGCATGATTCAAGTAGTACAGCACCTGCCTAGCAAGCCCCAAGTTCAAATCCCAGTATTGCCAAAACAACAACAAAAACCCTACAAATTGTATCTTTCCAGATACATTATTATATACTTGCTTTTCCACTTATGTATGATAGAGATTATTCTTTATCAGGACATATGGAGGGTTTTTTTTTTTTTAACATCATCTGTTTCCTACATCTTTGCCAGTAAAATCACTGCTTTTCATTTTTGCTAACATGGTAGATAAAAAAGTGGGAAGGCTGGTATGATGGTGCATGACCATCATCCTAGCAAGTTCAATGCTACTCTGAGCTACACCAAGAATTTGTCTCAAAAAAACAAGGGCTGGGGGTATAGCTTAAGGGTAGAAAACTTGCCTAGTGTGCACAAGGCCCTGGGTTCAATCTGCAGTATTGCAGGAAAAGAAAAACATGGTAAGGATAGGATGGTATTTTTCCTTATTAGTGAAGATGAAATATTACTTAAGTTTAAAAAAACATAATTGTAGCCAGGTACTGGTGACTCACACCTGTAATCTTAGGCCAGGAGGCAGAGATCAGGATAATTGCAGTTCAAAGCCAGCCAGGGCAAACAGTTTGCGAGACCCTATCTAGAAAATGTCCAGCACCAAACAGTGCTGGCTGAGTGGTTCAAGTGGCAGAGACCCTGCCTAGCAAGTGTGAGGCCCTGAGTTCAAACCTCAGAACACCAAAAAATAAAACAAAATAAAATTTGTTTCCATTCAAAGCAACACAAGTATTTCCTTGCATAAATTTATTTCATTTTATTTTTTTTGGTAATACTGGGTTTTCAACTCTGGGCCTTGCACTTGTTTACCATGCCCCCCAGGCCTCCTTGCTTAAATTTTAAATGAACTCTATGGCTGTGTGACAATCCACTGTCTATGACCTCACATGTTTTAAAGACTTGGCTCCTAGTTTGTCATTATTGGGATGTAATAGAACCATTAGGAGGTGGGGCTTAGTGGGATTCCAGCCACTTCTTACTCTCTTTTGCTCCTGGCATGAGGTTAGTGGGTTTGATTCCCTATCTGCCTCTCCTATGATATGCTATCTTACCTTTGTCCCAAAAGCAATGGGGCTAATGGATCACAGACTGAATGAGAACCCTAAAACTGTGAAACAAAATAACGTTTTTATTTTCTCTTTATGAGTTGACTGTCTCAGGTATTTGTTTTAGTGATGGGAAGTTGACTAACACATCATCTGGTTTTCAAAAAGGAAGCCAATGTAATTCAACATTGCTTTTCCAAGCGTGAATCACTGAGAACTAGTTGCCAGATTCTCTGTGCGTATGTGTCCATGTAAGTATGAGTGCACATGCACACACACGGGCCAGTAAGCAGTTTTAAGGAGAAGAGGAACATTTTTTGGGGGGGGGGGGGACGGTCTTGCTATGCCCCAGCTAGTCCCTTAAGTCCTGGGTTAAGTGACTTTCCCACCACTGTCTCCCAAGTAGCTTTTCAATGAACAGTGTTGGAGCAGGCTGGATTTCCACATGACAACCAATGAAACTGGACTCCCATCTTACACCATACACAAAAATAACTTAAAGTGACTCATAGTCCTAAATGAAAGTTAAAATGAAACAATTAAAATAATCTGGGCATGGTGGTGCATGATTGTGATCCCAACTACGTGGGAGGTAGAGGCAGGAGAAGAGAGCTGAGGTTAGTCTGGGCAAAACTAGTGAGATCCTATCTCAAAAACAGAAAGGCTGGGGACATAGGTCACGTGTTAGAGCACTTGTCTAGCAAGCAAGAAGCCCTGAGTTCAATCCTCAGTATCACAACAGAAACAAACAAACAAACAAACTAGACTTCATCAAAATTAAAAAGTTTTATGCTTTACAGGAAAAGATTAAGAAAGATAAGGGATGGGATGTAGCTCAGTGGTAGAGCATTTGTTTATAGAGCACTATAAAACAAAAAAACTGAAAGGACAACCCAAAGAATCAAGAGAAAATATCTGCATATCATATATCTGACAAGAACAGTTATCCAAATGTAAAAAGAACTTCTATAGCTTAATAATAAAACACAAATAGCCAATTACAAAAAACCCAAAAGATTTTTAAATTAATTAATTATTATTTTTTTTTTTTGGAGACAAGGTCTTACAATGTAGCTCAAGCAGACCTGGAACTTGTTATATAACCCAGGCTGGCCTTGAACTTGAAACCTCTCTGTCTCAGCCTCCCAACAGCTGGGATTACTGACATGAACCACCACGCCTGACAACAAAAGATTTTTAAGATATTTCTCCAAAGACTCACAAATGGCTGATTGTGCCAGAAAAGATGCACAAATGGCTGATCCTCAACACATCAGTCATTAGGGAAATGTACTTTCCACCCTCTAAGGATAGCTATAAACAAAGACAGACAACACAATGTATTGATGAGTTTGTGAAGAAACTGGAACTCTCATACATTGGTGAGAATGTAAATGGTACAACCATTTTTGAAAAAAGGTCTCACAGTTCCTCAAAATGTTAAACACATTTCACAAGAAATTTCACAAGGTATATACTCAAGTGACTGAAAATACAGATCCAACTATATATGAATGCTGACTATACATCAGAGCTAAGAAGTGGAAAACACACAAACAACTATCACATGATGAAGAAATGCACAAAATATGTAATATCTATATAATAAAATATTATTCAGCCATAAAAAGGAATCAAGTACTGATTCCTCAAAACATGCAAGTAAAGAAGACACAAAGCAGTATACTGAATGATTACATTTATATGTAATGTCTAGATTAGGCAAATCCCAGAGAAAGAAACAGATTAGTGGTTAGCAGGGGTAGAAGAAAGGTGAGAATGGGAGAATGACTCCTAATGGATTTGGGATTTCTTTTTTGGAATATTCTGGAATATTCTGGAATTGGATAATGGTGATGATTGCAAAATTCATAAATAGACTAAAACCACTGAATTGCATACATTAAGAAAGCAAAAATTACAATGTGAATTATATGCCATTAATGCTGATTTTTAAAAAAGTTAAAATCCTGTCATTCCACTCCTTAGTATATAGCCAAGAGAGATTCTTGCACAGGTATAAGAGAAGGCACATTCAAAACTGTTCACAGTCATCAATAGTGAAAATAAATGAACCACAACATGTAAACATGGATCCTAGCAATTTGACTTGAAAAAAGTCCCTGGATGGGGGTGTAGATCTAACCAATTACAATATAAGCCTATTTGGAATTGTCACTATGAATCCCCTGTGTACAATGAATATATCCTAATAAAAAATTTTATAAAGAAAAGATACCTAAGCTACATATTACCATACTTTTATTACTAGAAATATATATAGCTATATAAAATATACAGATATATAATATGAAAGAAAACATAAATTCAGTGAGACTACAAGAAAAGAAAGGCAGATAAACCAAGGATAATAGTTTCCTTAGAGTGAGGCTTGCAGGGGAAATGTGTTAACTCAGAGTACCATGTACTCAAACCCAAGCTTTTACATTGGGTAGGAATTTCTTGAGTGTTTATTACATTATTAAAAATTAGATAATTAACCAAAAAGAAGTTGGCTATGCACAAACTAACCATAGTGGTGCACAATGAACCAGAGACAACTATTATTTTAATTAGCCATATTTGTAGTCCAATGGGGGAAAAAATTAAAAAGGAGCCAGAACCCAGATAATGCTAATGCATTCCGTGATACTTCTTTTTTCCCATCTCAGAAGAATACTAACAATTTATTCTAAGAAACAGTAAAAGCCTTCAGACTGTAGACCACAAGCAAAGGTGGCAGATATATACCATACTGATAAAAGGGACATCAGGAGCAAGGATGTAGGTCAGCAGTAGAGCACTTGTCTGGCATGGATTAAGCCTAGGATTGATTCCCAACATAAAAAAATCAATACAATAACAAAACTCCCAATAACAACACATACATGCATGCAAACACATACACACACAAACCATGGCAGTGACGAGAAAGTTTAAGGCCTCATGCTTGTTCTTCACTTGACTCCCAACAATACTAACTATAGCATCTGATATGTAACCTCACAGCTGATCTGGGGAAACAAACTGACCAGTTCTAGAGAAAATATACAAAGGTTCAACATAACGGCTTCCCCAAGGACATGGCCCAGTCTGAATGGCCACAGTGGTGAGCCTCACCTGGCCCATATTGGTCTTCAGTGATGTAGCTCATGAAAGAGAGGCAGCCAATCAGGAGCACTGGTCATTTGGGGAAAGAACCTGAGTCAGTTACCAATTTGTGATTTCTGAGCCTCAAATCCATAAATCCATCCTCTTATATTTTTCCCTTTGCCAGTTCTGTTTAAAAAATGAGCACAGGTGCCAGTGGTTCAATGTGTCAGGAACCCTCAGAGACCAGCTCTAGCTGTGTCTTGGCCAGTGCAGCTTCCACAGCAGCACAGGCCTCCTTTTAGGCAACTGTCTCCCCACATGAAGAGCAGTTCTGGGACTGGCAAGTTTCTTCACTGTTGGCATGCTGTGTCCTGTGGAAATGTGAAGGGTTTGAGGGATTTGGAACTGATCAAGGAAAAACACATGACCAAGAGAGGCAGTGATACCTAAGTACTCCTGGGTGGTCCTGAGAGCAGGAGGAAAAAAGGGTGGGCCTGTGTGTCATGGGACTTGTTCCCTATCTTAAAATTCGGCTAACAAACCAGAAAAATAGTCTGTGGGTCTAAAACATCTAAGTGCCTCGCATGGAAATGATCAATACTCAATAAATGCTTGTTTTTCTCCTCATCTACCATTTTGCCTCAGCTACATTTAGAATTTAAAACTATGCAGACTCCAACTGAGCATTCATTGCCCCTATTTACACTGTTCTCCTCTCCCAACCCAGGTACCTCACAGTCTCTGACCGCACTGCACACTTATACCACACTACTTCATATGTTAGCTATCTCACTTTTCAAAAAAGGACTGCCACCCAACAATTATCCACAAGACAACTGTCACTTCCTCTGTAGACTTCAGTTTCTCACCAGTTCATGGACACTGAGTAAGATGATCTCTAAGGTTCTTTCAGCAATAATACTTCATAGTTGGTTTCTTTTTTCCTTGTGAAATTTCCATTTTGGTAAAGCCATTCCCAAGACCTCCCGCTGGCTCTAAAGATGTTTGGTGAGGCATAAGGTTGTTGTCAAGCGTTAACAGATGGCATGCTACTTACAGGGGACAGGTGGGGAGAGATGCTGTTTTCTCTCGTTCTCCAAACACCAAGCTCCAGGTGGCCTGAGACAGTGCCTCCCACTGGAGTGGCCTTTGCAGGGCCATGTGCATCTCTGACTGTACTGGAAGTGTTCTCTGCGAGAATCAGGTAAACTCTAAGGTACCCCTTTCTTCCTGAGGGACAATGTACCCAGCTCTCCTGGTTGCACAGGCACTTACCTGCCCAAAGTGATGAGCCAATATAATGTCCACAACATTGGTTGTCAAGCCTGAGAGCTAAAAATATAAAAACTTCATCAACAGAGTAAGCATATGTACATATTTACCAAGCTGTCCACTTAAAGGTAGTGTACTTTATTGTATATATGTTATCTCTTAAAAAACAAACAAAAGCCACAGTTCAGTGTCACACATTTCCATGAGGTGGTGGTTTTCAAAGACACATGGTAGAGAAAAACAAGTCAGAGAAACAACTAAGTCTCCCTTCTGGGGCAGTAACAGGGCTTGCTTTGAAATAAGGGCCGGAAGCAACACTGGCTGTTCCTTCTTTGAAAACTGGAGACCTGGCACACATGGCTACTTGCTACGTCGTTTCTGCCTGCATTGCTGTATTTACAGTGGACTGATGGCAGATAAAGATCAACTTACAACAAAGCCATCTCAGAGACAAAAACAATTTTTTTCCTTTCTTTCAGTTTTTGCTATTTTTGTTTCAGGGACTGGGAGGACATGGCTCTATGTACAGAATGTTCTTACATTTTGAACATTTTTTCTCCTCATTCTTCCCATTTCAAAGTGCTGCATCTCATGGTCTAATAAATGCAGCAATCTGTAAATGTGCAGACTGTCAATCTATTTTCAGAAACATTTCCAACTCAAATTGTGTTGCTGATTTTCTTTAAGCCTTCTTTCTTGGTTTTGTGTTAGAATTCCTACTGCAGACTTGGGGGTTTGGTACGGAGAAAAGCAGGTGACAGAGACAGATAAGGACATGGGTGAAATGGGATCGTATACTGAAGAAAGATGTCCTGAAATCGTCCTATGGGTTGTCAAGGATCCACAGTTTATAAGTTAAGGATGATTAGAATAACCAATCTCACTTCATGTATGTGACACTCATATGTATGTATTCAAAATGCTCATAACTCTGAAGTGTTATATGAATTGTATCAGGTTTTCCTCATTATTAAAATGTGCAGGTAAGTATTAATATACCCACCTAGTAGACAGCAATGAGAATAAATTTTATGTAAGTCAGGCTGTGAAAAGAATTTCCACAGCATCTGCAATACCATTGCTAATATACTTCATTCAAAGCTAGGTCATCATTTCTCCAAAACTTAAATGTGGGGGTGAGATGGACATACTGTTGAAAATCTGGTCTTCTGGTAGGTAGAATATTTATAAATAATTAGAAAAGTAATATATGACTATTATAAAAAAGTAGGAAAATAGAGAATATGAAAAAAAACCATCATTTGTAATATTAGCAGCAAAAGGTAGAACCACTAATAACATTATACTCTCTCTCTCTCTCTCTCTCTCTCTCTCTCTCTCTCTCTCTCTCTATATATATATATATACACACACACACATATGTGTGTGTGTGTATTGAACAAAATTAGGATTGTATTGCATTTATGGCTCAAGTGGTACAGTGCCTGCTATTGCAATGGCAAAGCCCTGTGTTCAAGCCCCACTCATTCCCACAAATACAAACTATGTGACTACAGTAAAGTTTTGCTAGGTGCCTGTGGCTCATGCCTGTAATCCTAGCTACTCTGGAGGCAGACATCAGGAGGATCACAGTTCAAGGCCAGCGTAGGCAGTTAGTCTACAAGACTCTATCATGAAAATAAGATAAAAACAGGCTGGAAAAGTGGCTCAAGTGGGAGGGACCTCAGCAAGCTTGAGGTCCATAAGTTCAAACCCCAGGACTGCTAAAAAAACAATAAAAAATAAGAATAAAAAACCGGTATGTTATACAATTTTATGTCTGTTTATCACTTACCATGTGAATTTATACATTTCCTTAAATAACCAAACAACTTTTTTTTTCTTTTTTTTGAGACAGGGTCTCATTATTTAGCCCAGGGTGGCCTAAACAATCTATCCTCTTGTCTCACTTGCCATGTACTGAAATTATACTTGTCACCACATTGGGTCTTAATCATAAAATTTTTTGATTGTGTATTTTTCTATTTATGATTGATCAAGATTTTGTTACCTTGTAATTGGCACTTACACTGTTTCTATCCTTTTGACTTGCAAACAATGTTGCAATTTATAGCTGGGGCTATAACTTTCTAGTTCATGTGACCTTAAGAAATGACTTATTTCTCTCAGGAAGGATAATGTACCACTTTACTGGGTTGTACTAAGAATGATAACTTTAAATATATGTAAAAATGTCTGGTACACAGTAAGCAGTATGTGTTAGTTTCTAAAAGAAGTAATTACCCTCTATTTAAATCTTTATCACTAACTATCCTTCAATTAAGTTCTCCCATACCAAATCGTTGAATCTCATGGCTTTGACTATCAAAGATATGTATATTTTTCAAAGGTACGTTAAATGATCACTTATAGTGACTTGAAAGCATTTAGGAGTAGGCATTTATTTTATTTTATTTATTTATTTATTTATTTATATTTTTTTAATTTTATTATTCATATGTGCATACAAGGCTTGGTCATTTCTCCCCCTGCCCCACCCCTCCCTTACCACCCACTCTGCCCCCTCCCTCCCCCACCCTCAATACCCAGCAGAAACTATTTGCCTTATCTCTAATTTTGTTGTAGAGAGAGTATAAGCAATAATAGGAAGGAACAAGGGTTTTTGCTGGTTGAGATAAGGATAGCTATACAGGGCATTGACTCACATTGATTTCCTGTGCGTGTGTGTTACCTTCTAGGTTAATTCTTTTTGAACTAACCTTTTCTCTAGTTCCTGGTCCCCTTTTCCTATCGGCCTCAGTTGCTTTTAAAGTATCTGCTTTAGTTTCTCTGCGTTAAGAGCAACAAATGCTAGCTAGTTTTTCAGGTGTCTTACCTATCCTCACCCCTCCCTTGTGTGCTCTCGCTTTTATCATGTGCTCAAAGTCCAATTAGGCATTTATTTTAAATGAGATTAATAAACTAGACATTTTATAGCAGGCAACAAAGACTTAGGTTATTTTTCTCTAGAAACATCACTGTTTAATCTAATGTCCATCTAAATTAAAATAACATACAAATAACATGTGTACTTCAGCAAGAAAATGTTTCAAAACTGCTTCCTTTCCAACCTAAAAAAGGTAATTATTTTTAGCATAGCTGAGTTCAATGCAAATGGGAACAGAATATATATTTTTTCCCACATCTCTCTTTTACTCTGGTTTAGTATCACGATTGTTTATATATGTAGCCATTAGCATATGTCTTTAGTTTCCTATTTCCTGACATAGTCTTGAAGTCAAACTCATTTTTCAGATAGCAATAAAAAATTCACCTATCTTTGGAAAAGTAGGATAAATAAGCTGTTTGATTTATTTTTAATTTTATTCATTAAGAGTAAAAGAAAACTATAGGCTAGGACAGACATTTGAGACACATTTGAGAAGGACTTATATGCAGATATTTTTCTTTCTTTTTGTGGTATGGGTTTGATCTCAGGGCTTCAGGCTTGCTACTCAGGCATTCTACTACTCGAGCCACTCTGCCAGATCTTTTTATGTGTGTTGAGTATTTTCAAGATAGGGTCTTGACACAGGTTACTCCAGAGGCACCTGCACACCCATGTTTATTGCAGCACTATTCACAATAGCCAGTTATGGAAACGGCCAAGATGCCCCCACCGACGAATGGATTAAGAAATCTGGTATCTATACACAATGGAATTTTATGCAGCCATGAAGAAGAACAAATGTTATCATTTGCTGGTAAATGGATGGAATTGGAGAACATCATTCTGAGTGAGGTTAGCCTGGCCAAAGACCAAAATTGTATGTTCTCCCTCATATGTGGACATTAGATCAAGGGCAAACACAACAAGGGGATTGGACTTTGAGCACATGATAAAAGCTTTAGCACACAAGGGAGGGGTGAGGATAGGTAAGACACCTAAAAAATTAGCTAGCATTTGTTGCCCTTAACACAGAGAATCTAAAGCAGATACCTTAAAAGCAACTGAGGCATAGGAGAAGGGCACCAGGAACTAGAGAAAAGGTGAGATCAAAAAGAATTAACCTAGAAGGTAACACCCACGCACAGGAAATTAATGTGAGTCAATGCCCTGTATAGCTATCCTTATCTCAACCAGCAAAAACCCTTGTTCCTTCCTATTATTGCTTATACTCTCTCTACAACAAAATTAGAAATAAGGGCAAAATAGTTTCTGCTGGGTATTGAGGGGTAGGGGGGAGAGGGAGGGGTGGAGTGGGTGGTAAGCGAGGGGGTGGGGGCAGGGGGGAGAAATGACCTAAGCCTTGTATGCACATATGAATAATAAAACAATAAAAAAAAAATAAAACAAAATGATCATAAGAAAAAAAAAGATAGGGTCTTGAAACTGTTTGCCTGGGCTGCTTGAACAGTGATCCTCCTGATCTCTGCCTCTTAAGTAGCTAGGATTACAGCATTAACCACTGGCCAAAATACTTTTCTCTGTTTAATAGAAGAAGTGTGGTGAAAGACTTGAAAAGGCTCTCTGCAACAGGATATCTAAAAAAAGTACTACCATCATGCTCCTTAGGGAAATGCAAATTAAAACCAGTATTAAGACAGACATCAACAATTCACAAAGGAATCCTAACTACTTGGGTGCATTAAACCTACAGAAAGGAATGTGTATCTCTACTGAAGACGAAATCCACCTTGTGTCTTCACGGGACATATTTCCTATATGGACTGAGCACAGTAATTAAAAACAGCTACTGCTACCCATATCAAGGATGAGTCTCAGAGACATGATGAGCACAAGAGTACATATGCTATGACCCCAATTATATGAAGTTTCAAACACACAGACCAATCTATGGTGACAGAAGACAGAACAAGGTGAATTCTGGAAAAGGAGAGGAGCTGTCAGTTAAGAAAAGGTACGGGGGACTTCCATATGTAAACATTCATCAAGTTGTGCTCTCAAAAAGCTTACCCTTAAACTGTGTTACAGGTCAATGAAAAATTTGAAAAGTTCAACTTTTCAGAAGGGACCAAAAGGTGAATCAGTGGACACCTTTGGTTGGTACTTACTTTGGAAGCTGCCCAAGTCAATCCAGCCTTTAGCGCACGGGTCAATGTTAATGAGCACAAGGCCTTCCACAAGTTCTGGATGACTGAGCTGAAAAGAGACAAAGACCACAGTATGAATGTCCACACCCACAGTTCTTCCAAAACAGCGGCATAGGGTGAGTTAATAACGCCATGACTTAACTCATGTTTGAAAGAAGACCACAAAGATGCTAGGGGAACATGTGCAAAACAACTCTTGAAATCTGAAACCAGTTTCAAATTGCTACCAATTGATCTTGCCTTGCTTGGATATATAGGAAGACAAGATTTTCACTGCCTCAGAGAGGAGAGCACACTGCAGTTGTTCAATTCACAGTGGGTCTTTCCGGCTGGACAGGTGCCCCTAGAAATACGTGGCATGAGGGGCTGCTCATGCTTAGGAGGGCTGTTTTGCACTAATACAATTTCCAGAAGAACTAACGTAAGACCCAGAGCAGTGCCTGGTCATTTAACTCAGTAGTCAGAGCTGTGACCTGGGAAGTGCTTCGAGGGTATTGGGACTAATCCTGCATAAACTTACTGCAAATCTGCTGATGACTATGCACCAGCTCCAACTCCAATCCCAATGATGCTTTTCATACTGTGAACGGGACACCGACAATTACAATCAGCTTTCTTTACAAGTGGCAATGTATAATGAAATGAATACAAACTGGGTGCATATCCAGACATTCACTGCCTGTGAGTATTTGTATCAGATTTCTTCTTCTTTTTTTGCAACACTCAGGATTGAACACAGGTCTCAAGCTTATAGTCTATCACTGAGATATGCTCCCAGTACTTTTCCATTCAGATGAAATCAGGGATAGCCTCTAACCGCCTATATTCCCTTCCAGAGCAGCTGTTACCACAGCAGTGTGCCACCATGCCTGGCTTGTTTTTGACAAAAAGGTCTTGCTAACTTTTGCCTGGGCTGGCCTTGAACCATGACCCTTGTCCTTGCTGCCCCTGGGAGTAGAGGCGTTTGCACACACAAAGTATTGGACAAGTCTTTTTTAGCTTTCCAAACCCCAGTTTCCTACTTGTATATAAGGATACTACCACTTATTTTCAGGTTCACTTTCATGGTTAAATAAAATATGCCTGAAACCTGAGATTCATCCTCACTCTATTACTCCCTCAACATCCCACCCATCAGACATGCTGTGGAATCCACTCCAGATTTTCTTCTATTACAGTACCCTTCATCCATCTCCCAACAGTGGCCAGCAACAAGCTCTCATTATCTCCTGGCTACACTACTTTAACTGTTTAACTGGTCTCCCCGTATTTTGCTCTCTTACTTCTCCATGAACTATTATAGCAAGAGCAATAACATTTAAAAAAACTAAAGAGTTTTAATTGATGTACAAGTTCCATACCTAGAGCAATTATTTAAAAAAAAAAACTGGGGAGGATATAAGGAAAGTATGAATGAGGGTGAATATGGTAGATGTATTTTGTATTCATAGATGAAAACAGAATAATGAAACCTGTTGAAACTGTTCTAAGAAGGGAAGGAGGAAGATGAGGGAGAATGATGAAGGGGATGATTCCAACTAAGAGATGTTGTAAACCATATGTAAATGTCAAAATTCATCCCCGAATCCTAGCTACTCAGAAGGCACAGATCATGAGGATCGTGGTTCAAATCTAGCCCAGGCAAACAGCTCAACAGACCTTATCTTGAAAAAACCCATCACACACAAACACACACATAAAAAAGGGCTGGTGAAATGGCTCTCATGGTAGGCTCTGAGTTCCAGTCCCAGTATTAAAAAAGAAAAAAATTTATCCCTCACACAACTATTACATGGTCATAAAAAATAAAAAGGTTAACAAAACCAAAAGCTTACTGTATATCAGTTTTCTGCTTAAAAGACCTCAGAGTCCTTCGCCTAACTTAAGGATAAAATTGCACATTCTTACCTGATCTCATGAACCCATGTAATCTAGTCCTTGTCTTTTTCTCCGGGTTCACCCCATTGTCTTTCTCCCATTGCTCTTACTATTACTCTTTCGGTCTAGAATGCACTTGCCCTGGCTCTCTGTCTACGTAGTTCCTTTTATCTTCCAGGTCTCAGCTTACATTGCACTTTTCTAGAGAGGTATTCCCTAGCTAGCCTTACACATGAGGATCCTGCCCTTCCCTTTCACATTTCCACTGACCTTTCTTTGTTGCTGTGGTCTTGGTGTTCGGGTTCAACCTCAGGGGACAGTGCACAGAAGCATGTGCTCCATCACTGAACCACAGTCACTGCCCCACTTCTCTTATGGTACTTTATTGGTATTATTCATTCAGTTACTTATTGACTTAGTCTCCCCAACCCTACTAGCTCAATGAGGACACTTAATATTCTGTTTTGCTCACCATCTTATCCTCTGGCACAGATATAGAGAAGAAAGTCAAAAACAAAGACAAAACAAAAGAGGCCAAACGATGGGGAAAACAAACAAACAATGAAGTGAAAGACTGTAGAATAGTCCCACCTTAAGTGGGCCAAGACTGGAGGCAGCATTTCGGCAAGCTCATCCATCGTGGGGTACTGGTACCTGAAATCCACAAGGACACCTTCTGAGTTAGAAAACACTCTGAGCAGAACACAGTTTCCAACCTGGAATAGCTCAGGAGTCTTACAGAAACACATTTTCTTGTACCAAAGGCTCAAAGGAGCTGATGGGGTACCATGAAACACTTGTGCCATGTTGTGTAATTCTCTATGACCGTCAAGCTAAGAAGAAAATAAAAGAGGCCTCTGGGACCAGAGGAAGCCACATGCAAGAACTGGTCAGATGGCTCTCTCTGATGCTATTTCCAAACCCATAACAATCTCTTCATTGGGATCCAGGCTCAGTAAACTTCCAGCAACGAGTAGCTCTTACTCGGCTGCTCATATTGCAACAGAAAACAAAGCTTTCTTAGATGTAAGGACAGTTACAGATGCTGACACTTACAGTCAACGCTTTTGTATTTCAGTTGGCCATATATGGTTATTTTATCAATTTCCCATTTGTGACATGAACCCTTGGATTCTAAAATGGTCAGGCAAGCCCAGGAACAGACCCAGAGCACGAAAAGTAATGGGCAGGATGTTAAGATGGCTGGCGTTATATGAGGCAGGATCTGCTCTACAACCAACAGGGAAGTCAGCCTGCCTCTGTGGAAACACTCTAAGGCATGGAATGTTCTCAAACCATTTGTGCACAAAGCAGAAAAAATGAACAGAATCCAATCTTATTTGGTATCGACCGAACACGGGCCAAGTTGCCCATGAAGGGCAGAACAACTTGGATACAGTCAACACATTTTCTGGAGCCAGAATGCCTGGGTTGAAATACTACCTCTGCTCCTTGTTATATACTCTCAGCCAGGTTTCTAATTTTCTGGGCCTCAGTTTCTCCAGATGTAGACTGGGAATATGAGTCAATGTGTCCTGGAGGGTTGTGAGGATCTAGTGAGTTGGTAAATGGAAAGCATTCTAAGCAGTGTGTGGAACACTGTTGGGTTCTGTTAGGCACTGGCTGTCACTTGGCTGCAACATCTATTCCGCAGCAAGCACTGGCCAAGGGCAGCTCTGGACATGCGTAGAAGGACAGGTGAAGGGTGAGCACTCCTTAGCTCAGCTTGTGCTCCTGTTCCTTCTCCCAACACCCTCTCCGCAGGCACACCATTGAAGGAACACTCGGGGGGCTTCTGACTGCCAGGCAAAGCAAGTTTATGGATGACACAGAGATTGCCAAGGCCACTCAGATGGCAGCCCCACATGTCAGGGCAGCTGTCAGTTACCCAGATATTCAAATTCCCACCCTAGATGGGAGCCAACAATGGGAGGAGCTCTGTGGAAGCTCAGAGAGACCTGAGTTTGGGCCTAGGTAGTTGGCAGTTTAGAAAGGAACAACAACAATAAAAAAGGACGGCTTTAAAACAGATATGGAAGAGGAGAGATCAAAGACAGTGACCATTATGCTTCATCGTTACAGGGAAGAAAATCCCTGCTGTGGAGAGCTATTCCTGGCTCTGGGAAAATATGCAGCTTCCCCCAACAGACTTATACAACAGCCCTCTCAGACCAAGGAGAGAAAACACGAGTACAGTGGGTTGAGGAGCCTCACCTGAAGGCTGATACCATCAAGTGGAGGAAGGGCCCACTATTGCTCCCCCTAGGGCTCAGTCATTGGCTCTTCTGATCACATGCCTCCCAGAGACCTAACCCACAGCCTTACCCTGTTGGGAAGGAGGGTGCCCCTTCCTGCTGCCCTGGGGCATCCACATGACACACAGCAAAGTGCTGGGTGATCTCTTGCATATCCTCAAAGTTGAAGAATGTGTTGAAACAGGATTTATCTATAAGATAAAAATACCCATAAGTGACAAGCTCTACATTTATCTGCACTTTTCCTCTGCTCAGTCAATGCCATATCATTCTTCTCAATGACCTGAAAACAACTAATGCTTAACTCTACATGATATGGGCAGAGCAGAAACTTCTTTACGGATGTTTGTTGCTTTCCTGGTGGTGCACAAAATAATTTTAAATCTGTAGTGCTGTTGCTTTTCATGCACTTGTCCTCTAACTCAGGAAAGTAACTAGGGGTAATCTTTATAGCTGCTTACATGCTTTGCCTCTTGCCAAAACCGCTATGGTGCAGGGAGGGGCTGCAGTTTCAATTTCTACCCTCTTAGGTTAAGGGCTTAAATGACTTCTCATGCTATGACACTACAAATTTCTAGCCCTGGACAGTAAATCCAAACCCAGGCCACCTTGGACAGTCACAGAAGCCTGAAAAAAATACAAGGATTCCGACCTCATGCGCCTGTGACTACATCCAAATCTTATACTACTAATGGAGCATCAATTTCCTGAAATGCTTGGAACTGTTTTGGAGTCTAGAATATTCCCATAAACAATATGAGTTATCTTGGACATGGCACCCAAGTGTAACATGAAATTCATTTATGCCTCACAAAAACCCAATACAAATATTCTGAAGGTAATCTAATACAATAGTTTGGTGCACCTGTGTGTTGACTGTGACCTATCATAGGAGACTGGTGTGGAATTTTCCACTTGTGGTATCATGTCAGTGCTCAAACAGCTTCAGACTTTGCAGCGCTAAGGATTTTGAGTTCTTTGATTAGGGATTCTAACCCTGTACCATGTAGAAAATTCTACATAAGGTTATTGATGACAAACTGTAGAACAAACACTTTTCTAATTCATTGAAGCCTCACAACAAACTTAAGTTTAAATTATTGTTTTGAAACCTAAAACATAAAAAAATCAAAGTATATACTTGAAGAAAACAGACTTCAGTTCTAGTTTCATAATTATATCTTTGTTTAATTTTCAGTCCTTTAGCAGATATGGCACAAACACCACATGTAAATCCAGTATCCTCAAAAACAAACTGCCCTGTACACACTACTTCTAATAAGTTTAAGCCTGGCATTAATGAATGTAGCAATATGGAGGGAAGGTCATGTAAGACAAAAAGGGCAATAATTCTGTACCATTAGCATAGTATTATTTTCCTTCTTTAATATAAAAAGATTATGCACTATGGTAAAAGGGAGGATGCAAAATCAAATACATACGATTGAGTCCAATGTCATGATATGTCAGGATAACTGGTCGGTTTCCCTTCGGTAAGCCTCTTATTGTGACGTGGACCACACCGTGGGTTGTTTCTATGTCATGTTCCTATAAGAAGAGAATTTAAGGTTTTAGGAGAGGCAGAATGAACTTTCTATGTTGCCATGGTTTCAGCATACTTACTTTACCACCATTTCCTAGTAGTTAGGGCAGGACACGATGAATTATGAGCCCATCACAGAGATGCTGTACTGTGCGTAGTATTCCTACTTTCTCATCCTTCCATATGGATTATTAAGAAACAAATAAATACATAGAAAAATACATTTTGTCATCCTCAAAGTTCACTTAGGAGTTTAGGAAACGGGAAATCTGTTAATACATTTCCTATTAGTAATCAACAAATTTGATAAAGAGTCAGGTACCCCTTAGGGATAGAAAAGTGAAGGATGGAGAAGCCACTGCTGGGTAAAAGTCAGAGGCTTTTAAACATCTGAACTTAAACAAGTTCACCCACATATTAAATTCAGGAGACACTTATGGGTGTGTCTGCCTAGAATCTCTCTCTTTTTTTTGGAGTGTCCTCCAGTGTCATCTACCTCTATAGGAGTGGGTCTTGGCTATAGTGTTTGTAGAACCATTGTGGTAATGGCTTCCTTGGATATTAAGGCATGTTGGATCAGAGTTATTTCCTAGGAATCTGTATTTGGAGTAAGAGAGTCCAGCCTCAGCTTGGTGCTTTTCTTGAAAGAAGTAAAGTAGGGAGTTATAAGCAGGCTTTTCTACCACTTTAAGCTCTGGGTCTCTCAGAGATATCCCTAGATTGCATCTGATTTAAACAAGATTGTATGGGTTTGTTCCAACCCCATAAGCAGCTCAGGAACTGAGTAAATCTGGAAAGGATTCAAGTGGTGCTACTAGGATTGACTGCAGTATTGCAGAGCAAATGGACAAGAATGGACAGGACTGTAGAATACTAGCTGAGATTTATTCTAGTTGTCACCAGCCTTCATATTTTTGTAAACCAAAAACTACTAAAACTGGTCTAGATGTTGATGACATCTGATCTTTCTCAAAAGGTCTCAAATTAGATAATTCAAGGTTAACTTTGTCAATAAAATCCCAAACAAGGCAAATGCTTCCTATTTAATTTTCTATCTGATGATGAGGCTCATCACAGCTTTGGTTTCTTCTCCCATGTAAGAGTCAGAAGATAATTTCTGGCTAATTGGACATTATGATATTTAAATCAGACTCTTCTATGGCCATACCACCCTAAACACACTGAAGAGCTTGCCTGTCAAATCCTAGGCCCCAGACCGGAGCAGACAGATGTTTCTATCAAATAAGCATGTGTGACTCAGTATTTCTGTTAGTCTCTGTTACTGATTTGTCCTATTCAAGCCTACTGAAAGGCTTGAATGAAAGATAGAACCAGGTACTGTGAACTGGCCATGAAATAAAGCATAGGGTTTGGGAAGAAATAAATCCCTGTTACTGTATGAGCATTTCTCTTTTAATAATGCCAGACTTGTGAGGAACACAACAGCAAGTATTTCCTCAAACGTCTATTTACTGCACCCTTACTACACGCCAGACCCTGTACTGAGCTCTGAGGAAAAATAGCAAACCACAAAGATGTCATTCCTGCTTTTACAGAAATTACATTCTAGATAGGGAGTGTGAACACACAAACCAACCAACCCACAACGGCTTGTGATAAGTGCTATGAGAAAGACAAAACAGGTACTGTGATAGAAAATTTAAAAAGCATTATCTTCACTAGCAATCAGGATCTGTAAATTAAATTCCTTGAGATTCTACTTTTTGCACACCAGAATGTAGAGACATAAGAATCCACACATAACATTGGTACCTGTGCATTAGAACAACTGTCCAGGGGAACAATTTGGTAATTATTAGTGAAGTTAGAGGTGCCAACCCTACAATAATTTTACCCTCAGTTATAATCTAATGAAATTCCCAATCATGGTGATACACACACAAAGACATGCAAAGAGATGTACACTAAGTCTTGCTTATATCACAAAATTAGAAATAGCCCATGTACTCATTCATAGGGAAACTGATAATTACACCCTATTCACTAATGAAATACAAATAAAAAAGACTGAATTAAAACTGAATGTGGAGGTACACTTCTAAAATCTTAGCACGTGGGGAGGTGGAGGCAGGAGGACCTCGAGTTTGAGGACATGTGTGGCTACAGAGTGAGATCCTATACAAAAGAAGAAAACATTTAAAAAGCAACTGAACACACAGTATAAGCACTAACAAGAGAGAAAAATCTTGAAGACACAAAGTAAGAGCAAGATGACGCCAGTTGAACTTCTAAGAATGGAGGGAAACACCAGATGACAAGGTTTATGCAGAGGACCTCCCCATGGTCAGGTAGTTGGCAACAGTGTGTGCCAGGAGTGTAAAGGGAGCTATCAGGGAAGTCAGGAAATGCACGAAGAAAAAGGAGCTATCACAGATGGAGTAAAAGAAAACATTTTAAAAGTAGATGAGGAAAAAGCACAAAAGTAAATTGCTTTGTCATGATTCATAATCTGGATGAAATTCAGAGTCAAATTTTGCTCCTTACAAAATCTCATCCTTTTATGGAGATCTCAGCCCCCACTTCCCCATAATATGCCTTCAAATCACGTAACAGCCAAAAAGCATCAAAGGACCATGAGTCTTAGGTTCTATTTGCTGCTCAATGTGGGCCTGCTTACGGCCCGGGGTTGTGGGTATCTCATGAAGTTCCTCATTTTCAAAGCATGTGGGTGTGAATGTTCTGAGAGGAATACAGAATGAAGGAAAGAAGGCACTCACCTCCATGGGGATTGATATATACATCCTTTGTAAACTAGTGCTTGGGCAGCTTGAACAAGAGTCCATGTGGGGATGAGTTGCAGAGACGCTGATTCAGTGGTCAGTCCACTGCAGGGTATGAATTGCTGCTACTTTGTTGCTGTTATTGACTCTCCATTTACTGGTTCTTTCTCTAGTGACCTCCACCCCAGCATTCTAGAGTATGACCCCACAATGAGAGCCTGTGCTCAAATGGTATAATCTAAGGTAGCCCTTCCCATGCTCGGGTGACCATCTGCAAAACTGTGTACTTGATGAGCATGATGCGGTCTGACTTATTTATCTGTAATCTTGGTTCAGTTATGATCACTTATGTCAGTCACTCCTTCCCCTCTTTGGTCAGTGTGAAATAGTTTACATAAATTTGTAGGATAACATGCTCTAGAATATGTGAACATTTTTGTTAGTAAGAAGATTTACTGTTTCCAATAATCAGGTTACAGCATGAGCCTTGGGAGTAGTTTCCATTATTATATAGGAGTGTGTGTGTGTGTGTGTGTGTGTGTGTGTGTGTGTGTGTGTGTGTGTGTGTGTTGCTGAGTATCAAACCCAGAGCCCTGTGCATGCTAGGCAAGGTCTCCATCCTTGAACTATACCCCTAGAACAACATGCAGGAATTTTGGATATAATACCTTACTATTTTAATCCCTAATACATTTTCTCGGACTCTGGCCTTAACTTCCTTTCTTACCTCTCACATTTGTCAGTTGGTCCAATCAATACTATCAGACACTAGTTTTACTTTTAAGCCACAACATCTGTCAGCCTTCTCACAAATACACACTCCATTTGAAAACTTCTTTTGCAATACGTCAACCTAAAATCTGTCTTTTCCTACTTCAAAGCCAGCCACAATACCTTCTACGTGTAGCTTTAGTTGACAATGAGGAAAGAGTGAGTGACTATTCAATCACACAGAACAGCTCAGAACACTTTCTGGCTACAGAAGCACAGATGTGACTCAGAAGCACAGATGTGATTTTACTATGCAAATGAGAGTCTTCTCCTGAGGTTTCCCATAAAGTTAAGTTAAACCTCTTGTTTTAGTGCGGCTGTTAAACACTGATTTTGGGCACTGGGCAGCTCTTACGCATGTGATGTGTCAAGACCTTTTGGAGAAATAAGCCCTATTTACAGGTGAAAAGGGAACTGGGGCTAGGGGCAGTGATAAAAAGGGCTTTAGCTTTTCTGTAATTTTTTTTTTTTATCCCCAAAAGAGAGTAAGGTCACCTTATCCTTGGAACCTATTATTCCTCTCCATACATATACACCAAAAAAATAATAACAAAAAGAAAAATCGGGGGCAAAGTTGGGGGGCGACCTCAAGGGGAGGGATGGTGGACAAAAGCCATGAATTGAGAAGGAAAAAAAAGCTCAAGGTGGAAGCAACCTGTAAGTAAACAATAATTCCAGGGGCATGTGAAGGGAAACCAGGTGACAGGAGCACGGTCTTTAACACAGATCGCAGGAGGAGGTCAGAACAGCTTTCCCTGAACACCTTTTCCCTGTTGGTGGAACTGGCAGGATATTTATTTCACTTGATTCTTACTTTGTAATAATGCCCATTCACCAAGTTATCTGCAAACCCCCTTGAAGAGACAGTTACATACATCCACTTGAATTATAGTACTAAAAACCTGTCCTGACAGTTGGGTTCTATAAATCAGTTCTTTAACAGCAACTGCAATTAAACAGCCAGCATGAAATTAGTCAGCCTTTGGCCATCCCTAGATAACAAACAAGAGAAGTATTCATTATTATTCTCCTCTATGCGAATGACATATCCTGTCAGACAGCAGCTTTTCACTCTCCATTAATACTTACTGAGTACCCCCTTTGTGGAAGTGGAAGGCAATTTGACAAAATATGTCAAGGGCCTTAATATGCTTATTACAAGGATACATCTAAGAAAATAATGCAAAGGGTGGATAAAATTTATGCACAATAAGTTCCACGAACTGAACACAAGAAATCAAACTTCCAAAAATAATGGAATAATTAAGTCATGACATGACCATATGATGAAAAATAATAAGCAGCCATTATTATTATTTTTTTTTTGCAGAGCTACAGATTGAAGGCAGAGCCTTCAGCATGCCAGGCAAGCATTCTACCATTGAGCTGAAACCTCAGCCCCTAAAAGAAAAGAGAATACAAAAACGTACATCCAATATGATAAGTCATATAAGGAAAACAATGCATTTGTATAAAAATTTAGAAATATAATAATATGTGGTTATATCTAAGAAGTAGGGTTATGAGCAACCTTCATTTTTATGTTTTTCTTACGTTTGTAAAAATTTTTTGTTTTGTTTTTGGTGGCACTGGGATTTGAACTCGGCCTCATGCTTACCAGGCAGGCACTCTACCACTTGAGCCACTCTGCCAGCCCTTTTTTGTGTTGGGTGTTTTTGAGAAAGGGTCTCACTTTTGTTGCCTGGGCTGGCCTCAACCTGTGATCCTCCTGATCTGTCTCCTGAGCAAGTAGCTAGGATTACAGGCGTGAGCCACTGGTACCTGGCTTCTAAATGTTTGTGATTATTCACAAAATAAGTATTGTTTTTCTTACAGCAATGTATCATATGTACAAACAAGCTACACCATTTTTCTTAGTACTAGTTCCAATTTTGAAGCAGTCTCACAGAAGAGAACAATCAAACTCCACTGAAGTAGATAAACAGACAGTAAGAATGCCTCCTGATTCACTGTTTCATTCTGCAGTAGGCGCCTCTCTCCTTTTTTGTCAATTCTAAGCATGTCACCTTGAATATTTTTCTCCTTCCTCTTCCATTTTATAATTGCTATTTGCTTCAGAGGAACTATAAAGCAATGATGTCACTTAGGATGATCAAAGAATGAAGAGAAACGACATAGATTTAATTACATTTTCATTCCTGAAAAAATCATGTAGTTGATTAGTAAAGAAAATAGAGGGGGAAAAAGGCAGTTTAGATTTAAATTGTGAGCTTGGTTGATGATACTGAGATAATTTCCTGTCAGTATTATCAAATATTCCTTAAATATTTTTCTGAGGCTATACAGACCCAAAGGAAGCCCTGATTAGAAGGTTTCAGTTCACCCTCATGACACAGCTGTTCTAGTCGATAACACCAATACCAAGGGTATGGCATTATATTTAAGTGATAGGGTATGGCATTCCATTTAGTAAAGACTGGTTTTATATTTACTCTTTCTCCTAATAATGCCCAAGGATGTCTGAGAAGCCTTTGGGCAAACTGGATCATTCTCAACTTCTTAGATGACAGTTCTGCCTCCTAGGTCTCCTATCAGCCTATTGCTAGACTCTGACCCAACTGCCCCTTGTCTTCACAACATCTCAGAAGCCTTTTTTTTTTTTTTTTTTTATAGTGGTACTAGTGTTTGCACTGGCTGTGCAGGTGCTCTATCATCTGAGCCACATCCCCAAAGACAGACCAGAATGAAAAAGAAGAGCCTATAGTTTTTCTTCTTCTTCTTTTTTTTTTTTGTCATGTTGAGACTCAAACCCAGAGTCTTATGCATGCTAGGAAGCACTCTACCAAAGAGCTACAATGAGCTACATCCCTAGCTGGTTTTTCTTTCTTTTTCTTTTTTTTTTTTTTTTTTTTTTTTTTGGTGTGACTCAGGGCTTTGCACTTGCAAAGCAGGCACTCTATGGCTTGAACCACATCCCCAGTCCATTTCGCTCTGGTTATTTCGGAGGAAGATAGGGTTTCACGAACTATTTTCCTGGGCCAGCCTCAAATCACAATCCTCCCGATCTCAAGTCTCTCAAATAGCTAGGATTACAAGCGTTGAGACACAGAGCCTGGCTCGTTTTTTTTTTTTTTTTCTTTTATTCATAAGTGCATACAATGTTTGGGCTGGCTTGGTTTTTCTTATTTAAGACTCAAAGAATCTGTGCATTTAAAAGTAGTGACAAATATGTAACAATAACAAACACTTGCCATCATTCTATTTATATCAGAACGGAATTAAAAGTTGCATTTCACAAGGCCAGAAGACATTATATTAAAGTTTCCCTCAAAGTACCAAGAATCTTTGCCAAACTATTTTTAAGCCTTAATTTTAAACTCAATTGCAGTTAAATCTATAATTATATTTATGTGGGGAAAAAAAATCTCAGCGGAAAGGGGGATTTAGTTCAGTGGTAGATCACTTGCCACTCATGCGCAAGACCCTGGGTTTGAATTCCAGAACCAAAGGAAAAAAATTTCAAAGAATATAAACAAAATATTAACACTGGTAAAATAACAGGTGATTTTTATTACTTACTTTCTGTATTATTTATTTTGCTATGAACATTTGATTTTTTTATATTCCATGTTTTTTGGAGGAGCAAGGTGTTTAACTTGATGAAAACAAGTGCTTCCACCTTCAGACAGGAGGATACATATACTTTTTCTGGGGTGCCTCACCTTGAATCTTATTGTCACCTTATCTCAAATGATCTCCTTTTAGGCAAATTATATCAATGGTAATCAACCTCAAGTGATTCCACATAGGATCCAAACCATAACTGAAGTCAGATCAAATTAAAAACTACTATAAACTCCACTGCCCCAATTTATCAAAACTGATTTTTTTTTTCTTTTTTGAGATAGGATCTCACTAGCCTAGAACTTGCTGTGTAACCTAGGCTGGCCTTGAACTCAATCCTCTGCTTCTGTCACCCCAGTGCTGAAATTACTGGCATGAACCACCAGGCCTGGTTTGACTTTTTGTTTTTGAGTAAAAGAAATGACTCCCTAATAGTCTGGCTGATTGTGTCATATATATAATCAATTAGTTACACTACAAGGTATTTGGAATTGGAATTCAGAAATAATACCATGAGCCTACCCCTTCTGCAGCAAGCCTCATCTGAGCTCTCAAAAACCTCAGCTTTTAGGATAACTCAACTCCTTACAACATATTATCTCTGGACCTGTTCAGGTAAGAAAAAATAGGCAATGGATTCAGAGAAAATGCATTTTTTTCAACTCCCATGGCAAGTTATAAAACTGATTAATTCATTCACCTGGAAAACAGGGATAATAAAAACCATCTTAGACTGGATACAGTGGCTCATGGCTATAATCCCACCTACTTGGGATTAGGAGATCAGGAGGATCATGGTTCAAGGCCAGACAGGCAAAAAGCTGTGAGACCCTATCTCAACAAAATAAGCCAGGCATGGTGGTATATGCCTGTGATCCAGGGAGGAGGATCATGGTCTGAGGCTGATCCTGAACAAAAACAGGAGACCCTATCTGAAAAATAATTAAAAGCAAAAAAGGGTCAGGGTCCTTGCTTAAGTGGCAGAGTGCCTGCCTAGCAAGCACGAGGTTCTGAGCTCAAACCCCAGTACCTCCAAAAAAGTAAAATAACATTCCATCTTATAATAATAATGCTATGTTTCTCTTAAAACATACATTTGGAGATAATATATGTCTAGTAAATATTCTATAGTAGGTAGGCAATAAATTTTTAGGATATAACTGGTTTGTCCATGTCATAGATATTAGTTCTTCCTTTTGATGCCAATCCTACAGTGATTCTACTTAACATAAAGTACACATACGAAAACAACTACTTGCCTATAGGTATATAGGATAGCTGAATACTAAAAGCAGGAATTTTGTTCCCAGCACTCTCTTTTCCTGCCAAAACCATTTGAGTCTACTTCATGTCACTGCTATGGTTATCTGTTCCAAAGTAGGAAAGTCAGGTTGCATGGGCTTACAAGGTTTCCATATCCATGTACTCATTACTTCTTCCCATTTCTTTCAGGGCCAGTTAACAAAGTAGGTAAATGGAAAACTCCTGGTTTATTTTATTGTTGGTAATAGAGCTACAGGCAAAAGCAGACTAGAAAGAACAGTATCATTTAGGAAAATACTAATGAGTCAGCTTGAATTTTGTATTTCTAATCATAAAGCCAAGAGAAATCTTCAGTTCATATTAATAACAATTTGGCTTTCTTTTAGGAAAGGATTTTGTTATTGAGATGTCTCTCTTTAAACTGTCAATATCTGAAGTCAAGTGACAACCCTCTATTTGCCACCTGTGACAAATTAGGTTTCCTATTTGTTTTATTTTCAATTTAATTTCTTTTGCAGTACTGGGGTTTGAACTCAGAACTTTGTGCTTGCTACACAGGTGCTCTTCCACTTCAGCCATGCTGCCTTTTGAGGAAAGGAGGTTTTAATTACAAAGAGAAAGTTCAACCCCAAAACCTATCATCATAATACAGGTACCTCACAGGCACTTTTTGAACATAACAACATAATTTTAAATAAACGAGCCAATAACCAAAAGAGCCTTAAGAAGTCATGACTAGCCATGATAAGAGATCCACTTCTGCAAGACCACCACCACAGGAAGGAAGGCACTGTAGAGATCCTGTACAGATCCTCCTTGGTGCTTATACAGTCCTTACCTGACAGTCAAAGTCCTGGAAGTTTCGTGTACCATTCTGTCAACAGAAGGCAGAAAACACAGTCAGTTTCCTCATGTGGTTTTCTACAATGTGCAAATTCAATTCACAGTGAAAACAGTGCATGTGCACCCTCTTGGCTGCCATAAAACTAAAATGGTTCTCATCAAAAGGCTTCAGAGACAGGGTGGTTTATTGACATGTATTAGTACAGGCTACATTATCAAAGGTAAGATTACTGGTGCGCTTACTGTGAAGAAAAGCCTAGTGTCCCAGAAAATCTTGTAATTTCATGCTTCCCTTCAGAAGGAGAACAGTGAGAATTTGTGGAAAGAGAGTGAAACATCAGAGTACATCCTCAACACACATGGGAAGGGATTGGAAGGAAAGCCATCAGAGGTCAGCCCTAAGAGAGGTAAAACAGATCAGGAGCCAGGGTGTCCAGAGCTAGGAATTAAAGGATTATGAAAAGGACATGCCATGGATGGATGAGTAATATAAGACCTGAAATCTAACCTTTGTCTGATTTTAAGAAAAGCAGTGCCACTGAAGGAGAGAAAAATAGAACAGAGCTCTGAATATAATGGCATACCTGTTAATGTCCTATGAAACTGCTAAGAAAAAATGACAAATCACCAAATCATTTAAAAATCAGAACATAGTCAAAAGATACAAAGGAAATTCACCAAACTTTTAACAAGGGATTGTAAGATAGTAACGTTTGAGGAAAAAGAAAAGTTAGTGGTGATGACTCAGAGGCATTTTTGCAGCATTTCAGATGCCAAAGATGCAAGAGTATGACATCAGAGGAAAAGAAAAAAACAAAACAACAACAACAAAAAGCCAGTTTTGACTTGATTTTTCATAAAGAATTAAGTTGCTCCCTGAAAAGTCATCTCATTATTTAGAAAATGTTTTTTCTCCCCAACAGCTTCTCAAAGGTGAGGAGTTGCTGATAAACACCTCAAAAGTTGCCCCTCCATAGAAACTCTAGATACCTGATCACAAGAGAATGAATACTAAGCACCCCATCCCACTTTGAGAAGCTCTTCTTGGAAACAGTTCTTCTTTGGGCTAGCTCAATGGTAAAGCATTTGACTAACATACTCCAAGTCCTAGATGTGATCCTGAGGACCACAAAAAAAGGAAAAAGGAAACAGTTCTTCCTGATTCTACCACCTACACTGCTGGCAAGTTCTTCTTAGAAGAACTAGTAGAACAAGCTGGGATGATCTGGAGCTACTCTATTTGGTGTAGTAGTCATCAGCCACATGTACAGTTTAAGTTTTTATTGTAGTTTTGGGGTTGGAGGGTTTTTTTGGAAGATTTTTTGAGTTTTTTTGATGATACTGGGGTTTGAACTCAGGGCTTCTTGCTTGCTAGGCAGGTGCTCTCCCAGGTGAGCCATGCTTTCTGCTGTTTTTTTGAGACAGTCTCACTAGGTAACCCAGGCTGTCCTTGAACTTGAGATTTTCCTGTTCTAATTTTCCAACTGCTGGGATTACAGACACACCCTACCAAGCCCAGCCATTAAGTTTAAAATAAGAAATTCAGTTCCTCAATGGCATTAGCCACATTTGGAGTGCTCATGCTATTGGGCAGTGCACATACAGAACACTTCCATTACTGCAGCAACTTCTACCAGACAGCACTGATCTAGTAACCAAAAGCTTCTGAATGAATAAGATTATAGGTAAGTAGCCCTGGTTTGTCTAAAGGTGGCAGGCAGTAAAGTCATAACAGGTCAAGATTCATATAGAGACTATAGATGACACTGAGAACAAGCAAGACAGTGATAGAGACCACTAGTCTAAGCATTAATTCTGACACAAAATTGTGTTTTTTAAAAAATAAAGTCTTGAGCTCGTATGTAGCATTCATCTATAATCCTACCTGCTCAAGAGGTAGGAGGACTGAGGTCCAAGACTAGCCCAGGTAAAATTAGCATGAGGCCTTATCTGAAAAACAAAAAGCAAAACGAGTGGCTCAAGTGGTAGAGTGCTTGCCTAGCAAGAACAAGACCCTGAGTTTAATACCAGTACCGCTAAATAAATAAATAGATAAACTAATAAAGTCTGATGTAGTCACAGAACAAAAAGACAACTAAGACACTGCTGATAAGACAGGATAGCACATTCCAAGGAATAATGCTATAAAGTCATAGTGTTCTATGGCTCCCATTTAATCCTATGAAATGTCTGACAATTTCTTCAGAGAAGTCACTGTGTTTAATTTCCAGTCAGACTATAAGAAACTGAAGGAAGGACCCTAAAGAGACTAAGGTAGATGGTTTCTGTAGGCTATAAATGAGCAGCAGGTGAATTTCCAATTCCTGACTCAAACTTGTACCTTCTTCCAAATATAGCATAGGGCCTGGTGTCAATCAGGTGCTTGATATATCTATAAAATGAACAAGCCAATTAAAAAAAATGCTGAGATTTTTATTAAGACTTTGGGCCAAATAAACAGTGACAAAAAAAGGGACTCTATTTCATTCCAGTTTAAGATATGATAGTTATCAAATTAAAAAAATGATCTTTAGAGTTTGACTTCAACTACTTTAAAATATGCAATAAAAAGACTCTTTAAGTGCTGGGCACCAGTGGCTCACACCTGTAATCCTAGCTACTCAGGAAGCAGAGATCAGGAGGACTGAGATTCGAAGCTAGCCCAGGCAAATAGTTCTTGAGACCCTATATCGAAAAACCCATCACAAAAAGGGATGTGACTCGACGTGTAGGACTTGAGTTCAAGCCCCAGTACTGGGGGGGGGTGGGGGGGAAGGGATGTAAGAGAAACCGAAACATTAACACCACCAGTTACTTCTGCATAGAAAATATGAGTGGTTATAACTTTCTTTATACTTTTCTATGATGGCATGTACTTTGCCTTCTAGAACTACAAAACAAAAAAAAAATTTATATGGTAAAAAAAGTGTATTCAAGTTAGCATTTTGTCATGAGATTTAAAGATTCATTTAATCTTTTGATGAATGATTTATAATGATATAAAAACATATCATGTAAGGGCTTCAGTCTTATGGGGTTCCTAGAGTTTCCTTTAGAGATTTAGAAAGAGTAAATAAAATCACTCTAGTTTGAACTAAAAATCTTGGTCATGGGATATAGAGTCACAAATTCTGATGAGCTCTTCAGGAAGCAGCTGTCACTGCTACATGCATGAACTCTTCTTCTTCATAATCATGTGATCATAGCCATGAGGCATTTTATGGGGCATGAACCTCAGATGAGCACAAAGGGAAAATGGCAATTCCTTCCACAAATGAAAGCTATCTTGCTTGTTGAGCACATAGCAAAAAGCAACTACATGATCTTAATCCAATGTACACAGCCAGACTCCCAGAAAAAAAAAGTACTAATAATTGGGGGTTGGGGGAGGAGCGACATGACAGACTAATGCTTGCTTTTTCCCACCATTTTTTTTAAGAGATGCCAGACCTTCTTTAAGAATGACTTTGAGTTTCATAAATGGTCATCCTGGGGAAAAGGATACAGTTGGGTCTGTTTGACAGTGTTTGGGATCAGAGTTCTGAATGGAGATGATTAGCTGGCTCTGACTCAACTATGATAAACCAAGGCCCCATTCTCTGCATTAATTAAAAGTGCACTACTTACTACTCACTGGGTGCATTCTGGGAGGCCGAGGACTTCCTGGGGCCCTTCCCTGGAGGCTTGTTTGTTGCCAGTGTTCCAGGTATATAGTTACCCTCTAACACAACTAGAAATTCCAGGCTGTGGGTACTTCCTTTCTTTTTTGTGATTTTTGAAGAAGCCATTAATTCCATATTCAGATAAGTTCTTGCACTTGGCAGACTTAACACAAAAGAATTGATAGAAAAACTGTAACAGAAAAACTTGGAGAAAGAGCAAAAAATGTACATCAAGGAAAAAGAGCAATTATTGCCCGGAGCCAATGGCTCACACTTGTAATCCTAGCTACTCAGGAGGCAGAGATCAAGAGGACCGCAGTTTGAAGCCAGTCCAGGCAAATAGTTCACGAGACCCTATCTCAAAAAAAGGCTGGTAAAGGGGATAGGTAAGAAACCCAAAACATGATAGTATTTGATATCCCCACTGCAGAGGAACTAATACAGAAACCTTAAAGTGACAGGGGTCAATATGAGAAGGGGATCAGGAACTAGTGAAAAAGTCAGTTAGAGATCAATCAACTTGAAATGTAACACATTTGCACATGGAAGCAATGCTAGGAATCTCTCTGTATAGCCAACCTTAACTCAACTAGCAAAAACACTGTCTTTCTTATTATTGCTTATACTTTCTTTTCAACAAAATTAGAGATAAGGGCAGAACAAATTCTGCCTGGAAGCGAGGGCGGGTGGAGGGGAGAGTGAGGGGGCGCGGGATAGGGGGAAGAAATGGCCCAAACAATGTATGCACATATTAATAAACGAATAAAAAAATAAAAGCAATGAAAGTTCAAAAAAAAAAAAAAAAAGGCTGGTAGAGTAGCTCAAGGGGTAGGCCTTGAGTTCAAACCCCAGTACCACAAAAAAAAAAAATCAATTATTACTGTAAGTTGCACTCAAGGTAGAAGCCAGTTAAGGGTGGTATTTTTTGGTATAGCCTTAGTGCCAAATGTAGAAGGTAAATGAAACAACTCAAAAAGGTAAAATAAGGGCTGGGGGTGTGGATCAGTAGTAAAGTGTTTGCCTAACATGCACAAGTCCCTGGATTCCATCCCCAGCAGCAAGAGAGGAGAGGGGAGGGGAGGGGAGAAGAGAGGAGGAGGAAGGTAAATTAAAAACACTAATTGCCAGAGAGATGAGATATAGTTCCTTACACTAGATCAAGTCAAGAGGCATATATAGTTTGAAAGACAAATGACAACAGACATGATGCAAAGAAAGACAAGATACATAACATATTAAAACGAGCTACCCATTGAAGAGATTTGTAGAATTTATCTGTTCTGTAAACGTGCAGCCAGGCTCTATGTCTCATTCACCACTCACTGTTCAAAACATCATTTTGCAGAGGTTATGAGCATCTCAACAGATG